CAATATCATAAATAATTCATTCTTGGCAGCATATTTAAGTTGAATATTGTTACTGCTAATAGATTTGTTTACTATCCGCATGCACTTATAGCCTTAACTTCTCGAGTGCTTCAGTTAGTGGGATGAAATTATTTTCGACAGATTATTTATTTATATAACTTATACGTGATCGTCTATTTTTGCACCCATATAAATTGATATATAGATGAATAGCCTAATATTATTTTTATTTTTCTCGTTAATCAATATTCAAGCTACGGCCATCTTGATATCCTCAAGATATTAGTTAAATATCAAGATGAAAAAACAATCGATTTTATGGATGATCAGGATAGAACACCATTGCATGTAGCTGCATGGAATGGATATGAAGATATCATTTCCTATCTTTCATCTTCAAATGCACATATTAAACCGTAAGGATAGATTTTTGAGGAAAAAGGGTGGAAAATTTTCAGCAATAAAGCCCTTACAGTATACACGTATATGATATTGGCCGTCTACTAATCTTAAGAATGTTCTGATAAGTTATACTCTCTCATATTTTATTTAATTTCTAGAGATTGTGATGGCAGAACACCTCTACACTTTGCAGCATGCAATGGACATTTAAAATGCCTACAACTTTTAGTTCAGAGAAATGTATCAGCAGTTAATGAAGCCGATAAGCAATCGGTACAGTAATTACAAACATTATTTAACTTGGTGTAGTAGTCGTCAAAATATCTCTGTTCCCCAAATTTAAGCTGGTAGATTTCAAGGACATGCAATTAGTTTAACATTTCCACTTTTAATTTTCTCCACTAGGAGACGCCTTTACATATTGCTGCTTGGTCCGGCCACGCAAAAATTGTAAAATACTTACTGTCCCTGAAAAAGCAGATGGTTACATTAAATATTCGTAGCCAAAATCCGCTGGATGTAGCAGTGGTGACAAAGAATGAAGATGTTGCATTGGCAATAATCAAGCACAAAAGGTAAGATATAAATTAAACGAAACTTCAACTGGTGCCTTGTTGATATATTCTTATTTAACTATCACAGGATTAATAATTACTTTAGATACAAAACTAATATTTTGATTTTCAACATCATATTATTCTAATTAAAGGATTAAAAAGATTTTACGACGTTTTATTAACAGTATCTACATTTCTGATTGAGAACTAATAACAAATATTTGCTCCAGTATAGCGAATAAATGTTGAAATTTTGGCATTTGCTACTATGGATAATGATGAGTTAATACACTCACATAGTTGAATTACCATTTTCCATAACGTGGAATAGAATTAGATATCGCAGTTACAAATCTAAATTCTCACAAGTTACAACAGATAGTCAGGAATTATTTAAAAATACGTATCAGTACCCTCATCTACTTACTATTTTCATTAATGTCACATTTAAGGTGGCGTGATTTTATTTACCGAACAAAGACTGGAAATTGTACACAGATACAAATTTTAATAGCTAGAATGCCAGCAGCAGCAAAGGTAATTTTGTTTTTTTGATTAGTTTTTAATTCCTTAATTAATTACTCGTAAGAATGATAGGTACAATATCGCTCTTGCTAAAGTATAAATAAATGTGGTCTTGCTACTATAGCTTTTAATGGATCGGTGCATTAGCATACAAGGTTCTCCCAGTCAAGGAAATTATAAGGTAAATCACTTTCTGCTCTATAATCATTGTAATTCATAGAATATGCGTAAATCATCTTACCAACAAGAAATGTGATATCGAGGAATTACTCATAACCTCCAAGTATTCAAAATACGAAACATAAATTTATTTTTGATAGTTATGGTACCACCATAATGTAAAATAGTTAGTTCACTCATATTTCTAATTATATACGATATTTGTTATTAATACAACTTATTTCTTGATCTGATAATGGTAGTTAACAATTTACCCTATTTAATATTTGTTGAAAGTTATAGTACCACATAACTTGATATAATTTGTTCACTCGTAAATTTAATTATGTATGATATTTACTGTTAATGCCGATTATTTTTTGCTCCGATAATAATAGACAACAATTTACGCTGTTTAATATTTGTTGAACTTAAGACGCTACTTTAGCATGAAATATGGTTTGCTCACCAGTAATCTTAATTAAAAACAATAGTTATTAATATCAGTTATTTTTCGTTTCTGATAATATAATAGTAGATAACAATTTGCACTGTTTAGTATTTTTCGAAGGCTATGGTAATACCACAACGTGCAATATTTGTAGCTCACTCGTAATTTTAATCATAAACAATATTTATTATTCAAGCAAATTATATTTTGTGCTGATAGTGCTAGATAAGAATTTAGACTGTTTAGTATATATTGAAAGCTATGGTACAGCTATAAATTAAAACATAGTATCCTCGCTTGTAACTTCAAATACACATGATGGTTATTAACGAAAATTATTTTTTTGGCCTGATAATATAATAATAGTAAAAAAATTACAATACACTATTTAATGTTTTTTTGAAATTTATGGCACTACTAAAACGTGAAATAGAGCTCGCTCATAATTTTAATTATACACGATATTTATTATTACGTAAATTATTAATACAAATAATTTTTGCTCCAAAAGTAATAGATAAAAAATTTACACCATTTAATATTTCTTGAAAGTTAATGGTACTGCCATATCATGTCATTTAGTTTATACACTTATAATTTTAATTATATGCAATATTTATCATTGATACAAAATACTACTTGCTCCGGTAATAGCAATCGCTGATTAATACCATTTATTTCTTTTAGATAATTTATGAATTTGAATTTCTTCAAGGCCAACCACAGAGTGCAGAAGATGGAGTTAAACAATCACTTCAAGCATTTCAGGTTAATTCTACAGACAGATAGAGCTGAGCTTATTTCGCATTAGCGGTATTAACGTTATTATTCATCTGTGTAATTTTGCGTCGGCGTTTACTGCAGCTACGTTATTAATTTTATATAGGAAAGCTTGTTATTATATAATTATAATTAATGCTGTCACGATTACTACAATTAGACAATGGTTGATTATGATCGGGAAAACTGTTTAGTGCATCCCCTCAGCAATGCCCTTTTGAAATATAAATGGTACATGGCATTGATTTAACAGCAATGACATTAAATTTGAAGATTTTGTGAGCTCCCTAGTCGTTGTTTTAACCGCTAACAATTTGATTAAGATAAATTTCTTTGCTTTTCTAGGGATAAATATGGATGGATTGCCTACTTAGTAAACGTGCTGACTTTTGCAACTTTCTTGACATTACTAACATATCAGATTATTTCTAATTCCATTGCTTATATTAACGATTATCCACAAATGGTAGAGTGTAAAAATGTAACGAATCTCAGCTTAACAAATCTACATCAGTCCGTATGTACAGCTATATTTCGAATTTTAGCTTACTTAAGGATTATTATGATCATTCTTGACATTTAATAACACATCAAATTATTTTCAATTTTCTTACTTATTTTAACGATTATCCATATATGGTGGTGTGCGAAATGTAACAAATCAGAACTTAACAACAGGCCTAAATCGGACCGTATGTACAGCTATATTTTTAATTTTAGCTTATGTATTATGGATTATCAGACTTAAGCATGCGCTGTATAACCCAAATAATCCTTCAAACATTCGCAATTTCATTTTAGGGCTCTAAAAGCACTTTACTTAAAATAAACTATAATTCGGACGTTTGTTGCTTTCTCGGCAAAAGTTATTGATTTACGAAATTTACGTTTAATGATTCCTTCGATGTACAGTCTACAGAATTCATTTCGACTCTATTTATACGAGTATATCTACTATATATTAAACGCCTGTATTTCTTTTAATAGCTTACTAAACCAGCACAAAAGATACAATGATTTATAGAGCAGTGCAATAAGTATCTCGTTTAGCAATTAAAGTTTATAATTAGTCAATAGCTAGAACATGCTTACAGAATATTTATCCTCTATTTCGTTGTCACAAACTTAGGTTGCGAACTACTACACTAAACTAATAGATTACTTATGCCTTGCTCCACTACACCTGGAGATCTACTGTATGGTAGTTCTTTACTACTTTCGGTCACACAGAGATAAGACTGTTCTAAAAGATTAGTATAGTTTTTATTAGTAGAGTAGCCGAGTACCTTCTCGTACACGATCTAATAAGGAACTCAAGAACTGAGCATTCGCTCGTCCTTTTATACCATTCCACTAAATTTATGGTGCACACATAGTAACTTGACAATATAAGATTTACATGATTTGTATACGCGATAATCGCACGATAAGTGCGCGATAGTCACACGATAAATGCGCGATAATCGCACGATAAATGCGCGATAATCACACGATAAATGCGCGATAATCGCACGATAAATGCATGATAATCGCGCGTACGTAGCGGGTGCTAACGTATCGCCATTATTAATATCTACTGTATATAGGCTCTACTAATTAATTGCAAATACAATTATGCCTTTTGTCGTCTAGCAATCTAGACATTAATATTCTTAATTTCAATTACGCTTACCAATATGATCCATTAGCTAAATACTGACAAAATCTATTTAATTAGCAAGTACGGTGCTTTGCTCCGTAACATTCGTCTTTACAGTTTCTTTTTGTTATATATTTTTGCATATTTATAGTGACTTTACACAGTCAATGATTTATCAAATTAAGTAAAGCGTTGCAAAATAATTTTAAGTCAAATACATAATTGTAGTGTATAGTAATGGATATCTCCTGAAACGCAATTTAAGTTCCGATGTCTTAAAATATTGCTTTCCTGAATAATTAAAAGAAATGAAGATATTTTGCTGTAATATAAATGCTAAAAAGGGTTAACCCTGATTCTGAAGCTGTGGATTCTTACCAAAAGTCTGTTAATTTTTATACCTTTCTAGCTTATACTGAGATGTTCAAGCTGTACCGGTACGGAAACAGTATTAATCATTTTTTGTGCACTTATCCTGTTCAAAGAAATGGTGCAATTATTTCATCAGGTAATACTAGTACGGCGAAATTCAGACTTATTATATGAGCAAAGTAATACGATAACTAGATAAAATATTAATAGTAATAAATGACTCCGGATTTTAACTTCTGGTATGGTTTTAACATGAGATATCTAAGATCTAATTAATAATTTATGATCTTCTTGTTTCAGAGATTAAAGTATTTTGATTTTACCAACATGCTGGAAATTACTCTATATATTTCAACCTTTTTATACGTAATACCCTGCAATGAATATAAGAGTAGTTATCAACGAAACTTTGGCGCATTAGCTATTCTGGCAGGGTGGTTAGATTTAATCTTATATGTACGAAGGTACGAGATTTTTAAACTTTATGGTGTATCTAAATTTCTAACTTTGGTGTCTACTATTTAAGGCTTTAAATTACTAAATTTTTGAATTATAAAGTTAATAATCTATTATCTATAGGATTCGTATACTTGTATTGACAGTTTTCAAGTCATTCTGAAAGTTGTCTCACAGTTTATCTATCTTAAAGCTAAGGTGGTTACCTTCTTTATGAATTAGGATTTCCTTCCATGGAATATATATTATCATGATATCAACTATGCTAATAACATTATTTCAGGTATTTTAATCAATCGATCAAATTTCAATATTTTTATCAATAAAATTGTAGCAAAAATAGACTATAATTCTAATATATTCATTGGTAGATTTAGTTACATGCTACTGTAAGCAGCTCCTGTCTAACAATAAATCTCAGATTTGCGTGGGCCTAGATCGTTAGAAACGAAATACTAAAATTATGTTATATAAAAATTTCATTTGCATGAGTAAATCAAATTTGTAATTTTATTCTATTACATTTACTAATATTGTATTTATTGTGATATTCGCAATTTGAAGCGATAGCTAGTTAAGTAGAATGAAATTTAGATGCATAAGGGTACAGTATACAATGGTTTATGCTAATAAAAATTACAGAGGAAGTAATCACATCTATATGCTTCATTACTAGTTTTATAAATCTAATTAATGATACTGATTCATATAGGTTCTAATATTGGTAGTAATTTTCATATTTGCTTTTGGATGTGCCTTTATGGTTCTATATACTAAAGAGGTAATACGTGTTTTTAGCATATAAAGTTGGCACGAAAATTATTTCTACTTTAATTGAGTTAAAATCGTACTGTAATTCAGCATACAGATTGCCGTCACTAACGACTACAACAGCCCAGTTTTATGCAGATGTGATAATAAATTCTAATTAACTACCTTTTAATTATATTATATAATGAGAATTCAACTGTTGGAAGTATAGTACTTGTAACTGATGCTATCATAGTAGTAAAATACATATTTTTTATCACTTTACTTAAATTTGTTAGAGTTAGTACTATTGTGCAATGTCCTAATGTTGTTGAATGCAGACAGCGATGTCATATCACGCAATGCAAAGGTTTTCGGTCAAATCAATTATTGCAATGACGTAAAGTCTTATCGGCTTTCTATTTTAGGTTAAGACAGTTTTTAAATCGATGGCTGATGCACTTTTTACTACTTTCCTAATGATGCTTGGTGAACTAACAATCGATCCGAATTTAAGCAATCTCATCAAAGCACATCCTGTTGGAGTGATAGTCTTCATCGTATTTTGTTTAATGATGGTTATTATCATTATTAACTTGCTGGTAAATAAAGTGATATTCGCGTTCAATAGTTACTCTATTACTACGGGTATTCGCCATAGTATACATTACTTGGAATTTGGAATAAAATTACCCTAGTACGCTAATAATGTGGTAAAGGTGTTGCATATATGAGTTTATGTCCAAGTTGTATATGTACTAATATTAAGCTATTTTGCTTTTGTCAATATTTAGGTCGGTTTAGCTGTTGGTGACATCGATAAAATTCGTCAAAATGCTGTTTATAAACGCCATATCATGCAAATTGACCTATTGATCGAATTGGAAGGTACTTTACCAGCTAGTTTATTAAAAAGGTTTTATATTAGTCGATTGGAACAGTTCCCAAGCGAAGAAAGTTCTCGTCTGAGCGAAGTAAGGGAATAAAAAATGGATACCCTAAATTTAGGAGGGCTAACTACTATGTCGTTGTACCTTTACGCTAACGTGACCATCTTAATGAAACTTAACAAAAATTTTTACCGCTCTTTATCGTTTAGATATTTACTGCCCTATCACCGTTTTCTGCCGCTGATCAAAACTTGAGAGAAATTAAATCTTTGCATTACTTAAATGAGTCTCGATTAGACCTAAATTTGGATGAAGAAACAGCTTCGAAGGGCATTACCATCAATAAAAATAGTAACAATGGTAGTTTACAGCAACAGAGGTAAATCAATCATTATTTTCCAGTTTTAATCGTTTTAAAATTGCTCGCCGTCATTTAATTAAGCTAAGAGTGTAGCTTATCTGTATTCTCAATAGTGTGGCAACTGATATAAAAGAAAATAATGGTATTTTAAGAGGCGTCCAAAGCTTAATAAGGAGAAAATGAATAGATATTTTACTTCAAATAAGTTTCATTTTATGTATATGGCAATATTAGGACAACAGTTGCATTGTTTGTTATTACATATTTTTATACTATTATTTTTGCTCAATAGTTTGTAAAAGTTTCATAACGTTGGTATAAAACTCTGCTTTTATTTCGCTAGGAGGTGGACTCATCTATAAGTAAATATATGGCATGAAACAAGGGTTATCTTTAGTCAGCCATAATTCGCTTTATCCGATTATGATAACTGTCATTTAATTGGTACAGCATAGGAGTATAGAGGCAATTATAATCTTTAGTATCGAAGCTTACATGTAGTCGCCGAAATTGACAATCAGGATGTTCCAAAGGTTCACTTGTGTATATATCATGTAAAATAAACCAAACAAGGTCTTGTTCTTGTTGTGATAAAGTCACTAATAGGTTATTAGCAACCTGTAAATAAGTGCCAGAACATCATTTATTAAAACGTCATTTAACTAGCAGACTTACTGGCATTAGAGCATTACATAGTTTGCTTACCTCTTGTAATGGAACTGGTTGTTTGATACTTAGATAACATACAGCTGCAAATGATACTTCAGCGTAATCAGAATTTAGTACCTGAATCTACGGAATAAAGCAATCATTAATCGAATAATTTATAATTTCATTGGGAATATAAATTTCCGTAATATATCAAATTTCAAACTAACGTTTGAAAATATTATAGAAAAATTCTTCAATATCGCCATTTGCAACTTATATTCTCGTGTGAATCTATTTTCAAGATGAAATAAGGACCACAATCATAATAAGCCTAATTTTACACTAAATTTACTCTGTACAATAGTTAAGAACTTATGTTGCATTAACTTACTGGTAGGAATTGAAATCACACTTGGCACTTGGAGAAAAATGATAACCGTTAAAAAAATCAATTCAAAAGTCGAAAGTACCGTCTATGCACGAGTACATCAGTAAAAGCACATTTCAATTTTCATTAAGATATCTTGAAAAAACCTGATGTTAGCTTGAGTAGTAAGATACTTGCAAGCGGTAGGGATAATTTCCTTTGATATTCTTCTTTGTAAAAATTCTCCGCACAATTGAGCCATAACAGATAATACTTCCATTGCCTACAATAAGTAATTGTTAAGAGCATGAATTTTGAAACTATCCAACTATATAATGGATAATAGTTTTGTGGAAAAGTTCAGCCTTAATACACACTAAAAATTCCTAAATTATACAGTAGCTGCTAGCGTTATCTGTCAAGGCAGTATCATAAACCTGGCAGTGACCGTGGTGTCTGCAACGCGAACACAGTTAATACTTTACCTTAATCTGGACAGTTACGTTGCCATCAGTGAATCGCCTGATGAAAGGATTCCAAATTTTGTGAATGGCTGGAAGTAAATCATCTAGCAAGGATAAATGCAAATTCTTATGCTATGAAAAATTCAACCTGGTGTCATCAAAATGTAGCCCTTTGAATTCAGTCATTACATCACATGGAACGCACAAGGTTCGGCTATTTATTATTCTTTTAACTTACTTTCAAATTTAGATAAAGATAGTATACCATTTTTTATTACTTCCAATAACTTTATACGCATGCGGTATTCATTTGATGCCAAGAAATTAGCGCATTTATCCATTACCTTAACATTAGCACAGAGTACTGAAACTTTTAGGCAATAAATGGGTGTTTCGTAATAGATCATTCTAGATGATCAGTCTTTAGCAATCTACAGTAATAACTAATTACTTATGGCGTTTAGAGTTTACCTGTAATAGGATTTGTACGTAGAGTAATTTCGGTTTTTCGACATCGTCTTCGGCATTTTCTAACGATTAAACATCGGCTTATAGTTAGTTTCAATTTTTATTTATGTAGAAACATTAATAAATCAATCTTGATAATTTAACGTAAACCTATAATGGGGAGTCTTTATTAATGTTATATTGAAACAATTTTACAACATATTACCATCATTAGATGCACTCTCAAATACATCATTTTCATCTTCTTCATTATTAGATTCAGTTAAATTTTTGAATTTCCAGTACTCTGTTAAGAAGTTTTCCACGAGGTTCGGCGTTTCCTTTGAACTTTGTACACGATCATCTAAAGTCCGAAAAGTACGCTAAAGTATAATTCATACCGATTATATACTTATTTTTCAGCAAACCTGACATATATTTTTCAGTTTCTTTTTCCTATTTATCAATAATGTGTAACATTAAGGTACATATAATTAATAGGGTGAACAATTTAAAATATACTTGAGATATATCATTTTTTAATTATTTAAATTATTTTAACCGTTTCCGACGAGATAAACCACCGCCTTATCGCACACGTAATCGAAAATAATACCGAGATAACCAAAGGATACAGCTCGGTACTATTATCTAGAATATTATACATCTACTTTCCATAAAATAATTATAAAAGGCTTATTATCGACGTATTCCATATATAAATTTACAATAATCCGAATAAATTGTTCCTCATTTAAATGACTTTTTTACCTCTAGAATAGAATCTTCGAGAATCGGTAAAGTATCTTTTGTTCTGTATGTAATCAAATTTCGTTCAATAGCAGTGAAAAGTTTACCAATAATTACTATAATATAATAGTCGATAGCACTTTGCTTACCCATATTCTAATACAACCTTCAATACCCTATCAAAATTTAGAGAAAGTACTATTTGCAGCAAATGCATATCACTATTTCAATCAACTACTAAAAATTTTATTTATATAGTTTTACTCATAAACGTTAATACTTACTTGAGTGATCGTCCATTTTCATTGACATTTCTTAAATTTAAAGCGATGGCATTAACTAAGTAGTCAATATTATCACCGATCACTTCTGGTATAGAACTAGAAAATTATAATGATGGTTTAGGTTCATTAAATTTTATAGCAAATAGCATATCAAAACAGTAACAACATATGGCACTTGCAATTACCTATATCCAAAGGAATTGCAGATTCGTGTAAGTGTAATGTAAGCAGTCCGGCTGCAAGTACAAAAGATAGATTTAAGATTCGTCAAACATCAGCAATAACAAACTAGTACAGAGGGTTACAAGCTTTGCATTTTTACTTGATTATCATAATCTCAGTATCCAGCTTCTCCAATAGCAAATACAAGCAGTGTCTGAGATAGTATACAGTGTCGCCTTCAAAGAACTTATTTGAAAAATTTGTAAGTATTTAATAACTTAATATTTAAGTAACTAGGAAAATTAAAACAGATTCGTTTATAAAGCTTACATTTACCTTAGCTAAGTTGGCGAGGCCTTCCATTAAAAGACATTGCATGACCGCACCAGAATACCTTTCCTCATTTACGACATACGTTTGCCTATTTACAATTTGCAGTTTATCTTCTATACTTTCGTATAATTCCGCTTCTCCAAGGAACTGTTGTTGCCTTACCATCCAACAAGTCGGTGATAAGTATTCCATTAGTAAATTTCTGCATTTTAATTAAACATATATTATTGAAACGAACAAGATAGTCGCCGAAAATATATGAGACAGTACAATTAACTGAGCGCAATACATTGGAAAAATTAGTACACTTGAGCGTAATGCAATAAATTTTTTAGCAGACAAGAACTGTAAACACTGATAACATCTTAAAATAATAATCTCTATATGATAAACGAGAGATTTTAATCGAATTGAATCACAATTGTATTAATGTAAAAATTTTTTATCATTAAGAATCATTTATCTAAATAATTCTTATACAGACAGCTGTCCAAAGCAACAAAATAGTTGTGGATATAGGCAAATTTCCTTACGTACCTGATAGAATTATGAAAAGCATACTAACATAAAAGAAATTAAATCGTTATTACAGATGAGAAAGGCGTAATAAATACAGTTCTTAGCACGTTATAAATTACTGATCATTATCTGGTGTGTGTTTATGAATTAGTTTACAAAGTATACTATATAAGTTATATTTTATGGTTGATAAAATGAGACGTGAAATTTTACCTTTCGCGCATTTGTACCTTGAACACCTAAAAATATTATTTTCAGATAAGAAATGATTTTATTTAATGCTATGCATTAATTACTGTCATTTCTGTTTAAGTGTCGTTACCCAATGCAGCTCCTAACAGTATTTCGTTTAGTATAAGTAACACTTGCTTTCGATGGGAAATGGAATCCTTCAAGAGACTAATGCAATGGTCAACAAGTACATCGAAGCAACCTAATTATATAAAAAGATTAAGAAAAGTTGTTACTATTTTAGAGAATATAAGTAATATCATAATCAGTAAATAACTTACCATTTTGGCCGATTATTCGGCATAGATTTCGAACGGATGTTTCTACAGCCTCTGACAGGATATGTTTAAAATTTTTTCTAGGATAGTCATCGGAACTTTCGTATGATGTATTGATAGCATCTATTATAGAGGATATTAACAAATATCTGTTCATACATGTTCATTTTACTGTATTTATTATCTATAAATTCTTTCATTTACCAAGCAAAGTTGATCCAATGTCGGTAACCCCTACAGTAGGCTTTTGAAGTTCTAATATCTACAAAATTTATTGATGAATACGAAATCATGATCTCGAATAGTGCTTTGAACGAGATATTCACTGAAATTAGTATCGTCTAACAAAACTAACTTGTATCAATGCCATAGATAATCGTGATAGATGGCTCTGAGAGTTTAAGAATGAATTTAAGCGTTCACCTTTACCTATTAAAAATAATGATAACGCTCAGTTGTCTGCTACATCGGAAAATTCATCGTATTTTTAACGGAAGTTAAATATTTATACCCAGCAATATTAAATATCCACACAGAAGGTTGATTGTTATTAACTGTTTTTTGTCATCTGTTAAGAAAGTTAAAAACGTAAATATTGAGGCAAAATAACAAGTTAAGAAAATTAATTGCCTGGTGTTGCTATAATTCTTGGTAGAGCTATAATGTTGTTCATTATATTTTCTTCTAGCAAATCCGACATAGACATCGCTTCTAAATATAAAAAATTATATAAAAGTCTTCAAATATCTTTCGAATAGAAAGTGAAGAAAGCACATTATATCAAAGAATTTAATGACAACAAAGTTCACCTGACTGTTTACTAAAGTGATTCGGTAATAGTGCCTGTAAAAATTGAAATTAATGACTGTTCTTAATTGCAGAAGTTGGACTGATATTGCAAGTATATTGCCTTACTAATCTATCTTGACAATAATTTCTTATTTCATCATATTCATCGTAAGTAAGCGCTACTAGAACTTCCATAAGAATCACTAATGACTCTTTAAGAGATCTGAGGTTTAAGTAGAACAAGTTCCTCAGATTTCAATGTGGAATACGAATAAATAATGAGCATCCTCGTATTTTCGTTTACCTTATACATGTGAACAGTAATCTTGCAGACAATTTCGCTAAAGCTTGGCGAATCTATAAATTAAATAGTTAAAATAAAATTAATGATGTGGATTAGTAGTTAGTCTGTTTGTCCACATTCTCTGTCATAAAATAAAATTTAAATCATTTTAAATTATTGAGCTAACCTTGAAATTAGGGCAGGAGATAAGTTGAGTTATTTGAGATAATAGGGTCTTTAACTTACTACTTGTGGTTTTGAACCATTCCATGTCTCGCTTTGGATGACGTAGAATTCGATTATCAGCTTGCAAGTATGTAGGATCCTGGGTTTTATCTATTATGTAACAGTTAACGGTCTGGCTACGTATCTCAGATAGTTCAATGCAGTACGTAATAACTACTAAATTCGGCTCACATTAACTTACTTTTAACTAATTTGTAAAATGAATCCAAAGATAATTTTTGATTATCGTTGGGTAAGAAAGTATCATCCATAGCAAGAGAAATTATTAAAGACAATGCTTGAATAGCAGCCTAAAAGCAATTGCACGTATGATAGCACCATCATAAAAATATTAGGCTTCGCTGATGATCACAGGCTAGGATTATATCAATGATTATGTCTTTGTTATGCTACTTTATTAAATTAAAATAAGTTATACTGAGCCAAAAAGAAATGTAGAACCTAAGTTACTTACAGCGGCGACATTCTACAGGTTCAACGAAAGAAACAATAATATCAGTACTCTATCCAGTTTAATTTTCAAGCTCGATTAAATAGAGTCTAAGAATAAATTCTGACCTGGTAGTGATTTGCAGTATTAACAATTACTTTACCCAGGGCCGTTGATATGCCAGGTATGAATATTGAAAGTGCATGTGACATAGACTTTCTCTGATAAATATCCTTAGAATCTAAATGAATATAAAATTTTTATCGGAATTTCATCGGCATTCTCAACCTATTCTTACGATTGCTATTTTCAGTTATTTCCATACTATTCAATTTACATATGTTCCATTACAAAATTTTATAAGACTTAGTGAAATGCAACATATTTATACAGGACTAACACTGCATCTTTATTTCTTCGTTGACATTATATAACGATATTTGTAATAAACAATCAATCGCGGTGAGTCTTAATTTTATCAACTTTTCCTTCTCGATCATTAATAATAAAGATGAAATCAAATGGCCTAAGATTGGTATAGCGTCTTCAAAGTACAGTTGATTCCAAATCCTAAATATCAATCCATATCAGTGATGTCACAATGTTTCAATGTTTATTTTGCCATAATCACGTTTGTAAATACAATTAAAAAAGGTTAGGTAAAACGATGCAGTAGTAGGGATATCAATACGAATTGCGGCACTATTACTTATAAAATTAACATACTTTGAGTTCGTTGCAACGGCGACACAGTGAATACATTCCACGACATCCACCTTAATCTCCTCGCAAATTCCTGAATTGTCGATGATATTGCAATACAAGTTATGATAGAATGTCGAATGACAGTGGTGATACCAAATATTTCAAATATTTACTAGCTGCTAGACACGTTGTGACTGTCATAGTATTATGTGTATATTTTTTATAGCGATAATGGAATATCTTTACTTATAGAGACATGCCTAGCATCCCTTTAGAGCTGGAATTGGATTTATTACTAGGATTAATTGTTAAGCACAATTGTGTAACAAAATCTTTGAGAATATCAAATTTTTCGATGGTGACTTTTGTGAATGCTAATTTAGCACATACGAGAGCAGCTTCAATGACTTTTTCGTCGCTAAATTATTAAGGCAAGAAAAAGTTATACTTTATTAGCATAGTATTATTATTGTTGCTTTATGCCTTATATGTAGTATTTATCGTTCTATTTTCATAACTACATCGATATATACAGTATGCAAAGTCTGTAAACAACAGTATCGCAACTTGCAGCTGTGACTTTCATTCAAGGTTCCTTACAGAGTCGAATGATCAGCAAATCTATCGGTTAAGAAAACCCTGACACAAGGAGCTCTTTTGCCCTACCACAATGTACTTGAACTAAAAAATATTTGCAAAATTATCTACTAGAACAATCAATCTCTAAACTTACCAAAATTGCTTGCCTTCAAAGTTGAACTTCATCAAAATAACTCTTATAGGGAAGATGACATATTCGGTTAGAATTTTAATATCATCCTGATCGACACCTTCAACAAGACGGGATAACTGCCTTAAATTATCAACGCTTGGCCGATTTAAGACTGCGATACAAACAGGTCTGAATTTATGAAAAGTGGCTTGAAGAGCTGCCATTTTACTTTGTGCATAACCACAGTAAGATTATCCTTCTCTCATTATATTTCAATTTGAAATATTTTGCGATTTTAACTTAGCAATGAGGAAAATTTTCTAGCTTGCAACCGAGCTGCTCATTGCTTGCAAACTCCAAGCTTTAGATGTTTTGTGGTCCAGTACTAGGGTACAGTACTGTACAGTACTGTACTGTAACTGTACAGTACAATCCTGTCGCGTACCCTACAGTACAGTGTACTGTACACTGTACAATGTACAGTACTGTACAGTACAGCTCTACAGTATAGCGAGGACCCTCCAATTGAAACGACGACATTGCTGGCAGAAATGGATGTTGTCCAAGGAAAGTCTACAACCTCATCAAGCGATTGTGGAAACGCAGCTACTTATCCTAACATTGAGCCTGGAGTAGCACCTATTAAGAGCGAGTAAGATAACTTGTTGGGATTTTATCTGTTTTAGTTGTTGATTGATACGACATTAATATTGCATTTCCACTTTAGGTTTTTAAGATGTAGGCCTCCACCGCGTACGACCACTGACAGTAGTGCCCAAGCTACCGAGCTCCAGAAAGATGAGCCACAGCAAAACAACGGATCAAATCGTAAGAGGAAACGAGGTCAAAATAAAAAACGGCCTTTAACTACAAGTATTGAGAAAGGAAAACTCTTATGTCCTAAGCTAATTGCAGATGAAGTCTGTGAGTTTGGTACCTCATGCCGCTTTTTGCATGATGTGGATGCTTTTCTGCAATCCAAGCCACCTGATTTAGGTAGGTCTGTAAGCTTATGAATTGGATGATCCAAATATTGATCTAAACTCTAACGATATCAGTAAGATAAGAGAAGAAACTTATATTTCCAATATCTGCAAATATCACATATGATCATGTCATTCTTTTATCACAACTTGGTTGCTATCATTTCGCATCTGTAGGTGACAAATGCGTCATTTTCGACGCTTATGGGAAATGTCCGTATGGCTTAGCGTGTCGCTACGGATCCAGTCATGTAAACAATAAAAAGAATGTGATAGATGAGGAGCGTTTACGTGCCAGTGCAACGAAAAATTGCATGTCCAAAGAAGCTTTATCAGATTTACGCAAAAAGAAAATCCAATTTCCTAAAGCCGATGCTTATGTTAAAGCTATATCTGCAATGAACGATATGAAGGTATTACAAAATCATCTTCTAGGAGCTATTCATGAATTTGAACTTATTGTTTACAACCCAAGCTGTTCTTAGCTGCATTAGAGTATTGGTAATATGCAAAAATACAAGTAGATTAAATCGCTGTATTGTATTTGCAATGTGTTCATCAGAAATTTCAACGAATTGTAATTCCAAGTGTTTACAATGCCCTGTTCTTGTATGGATTAGTTATACAGCAGATAGCGATCGAGATCAAAGTTTCCTTAATTCTAAGAGCCCCTTTGTATCTTACTTTTTTCACTTGCGTAATTAAATTGATAAAGGTGTCCTGAACTGGTATTAACATAATTAGGAATCTGTATCTACTATTTGTATAGCCACACTATTATTCGGTTATGCTTTACGCCATATACATGATTATTGCCGTTTCTGTTTTATATTCAATCATTATATATCTTTCTAACCATTCAGAATGATGCTGCGGAAGGAAGGTCAACTATTGGAACATTAACAGATGAAGACCTTATTACCATTCGCCCTGAAGAGAAGAAGCAGGTTTGTTTTGACTATTCAATTACTTATTTACAAGCAATTTATAACGTGTTACTGAATGTTTTCTTCTTTTATAGATAAATTTTTCAAATAAGTTGTTTCTTGCCCCTTTAACCACCGTAAGTTTAGGAAATACTATTACTTATGCAACTATAGTTTCTTTACTTAATAAATCTTTTAATATTACTTATTTCTGCTTGTTCTAGTCTTGTAGTCAAGCTAATGTTTATTGACAGTGAATATTATGCTAGCAATCACAGCAGTGAATTATCTACGTAATATTGGAACTGATCGTGTTAAATTGTTTAGGTTGGAAACTTGCCTTTTCGAAGAATATGTAAGACTTTTGGTGCTGATGTAACCTGCAGTGAAATGGCATTATGTACTAACTTACTTCAGGTAATATAATAAAATTGGATAAAAAGGAAATAGTACGCTTGCAGGCTATGTGGCTACAGCTACTATTTTCACATTAACAATGTATCTGATGTTCACATTTCAGGGTCAGCAATCGGAGTGGGCACTTGTTAAACGACACGAATCGGAGGATCTGTTTGGTCTTCAGGTTTGTTCTATATACTAGAAAGTTTTTCATATTGTAACTGTACGCATTTATTTGAAATTACGATTATATTAGCTCAGGAATATGGCCTATCCAAGTGTTGTATTTCAAATGATTAAATTAAGCTAATACTATTGTAAAAAAGCCTAGCAGTATTCCCCCAAGATTATTGATATGCTTCTTGCCTGCAACTTGCATTAATAGCAAGTAAAAGTTTTATCCTCATTATTTATATCTGATACTTAATATGCTTAACTCAATAATCGTTTAGTCAGAATTTTAATTGGGCAAAGTTTTTGTTCCATGCAAGAAACTGATACTTATTGTCACTGAAATCATAAGGACCTTGATTACTTAATATTTTTTTGGCTAAAGTTTAAAATATTCCATTTTATGTCCTACTAGCATTTTTTTCTCTGCAAAGAAAATTTCCTACTTTTGCACTTATAACGGAAACTATATTATATTTTTGTATGCTTATGCAGCTGCTGCTCTTTGTTTTTGTTTAGGTATGTGGAGCATGGCCTGATACTCTAGCTCGACTATCTGAATACATCAACGACCGAGTTAATGTTGATTTCGTTGATCTTAATCTTGGTTGTCCAATCGATTTAGTTTTTCATCAGGTGACAATTTTGTAGTTTATTACGATTTTTTACTGTCACGTTTTTGCTTAAAGCTGACTTTTCAATATAGGGTGCCGGAAGTGCACTTATGGGAAGAGCTAATAAATTACAGCAAATAGTTACTGGAATGTCATCAGTAAGTCTTACAATGTAGGGAATAATCATCGTTCCAGTTAACATATTCTGACTCCATTTATTAACTGTATATAATGTTTGTATATTATAGTATAGGTATTTCTTTGTTTAATCTTAACAACTTGCGTATCGTTTGTCTAGCACTATGTAGCGAATTAGATTTTTATAGTCAGTCTATAATGTATCCTTTACCATTCCATACAGATTCTTTCGGTACCTCTTACTGTCAAGCTTCGAACTGGCATTTTGGCTAAAAAATCCACGGCGCATAAGTTAATACCTCAAATTCGAGAATGGGGTGCATCACTCGTCACTGTAATGATATCTTGTTTTTAGTATTTATTGTTTACCGAAGTATTAAATATTGTATGTATCCTTGCTGTAGTTGCATGGCCGATCGCGAGAACAAAGGTACACGAAATTAGCAGATTGGAGCTACATTAATGAATGTGCCACTGCAGCTGACCCAATGCCTCTAATAGGTAATATTGTATCAATAATTTCATAATACGTAGCTATCATGTTCCTATCGTGGGCTTTCTATGGCTCGACAGCGGGATAAAAGTTAATGGTTGCACCCGTTCAAATTTCTTAACCTAATGGGAAAATATCTGTCGACATTGCAGGAAACGGAGATATATTATCATTTGAAGATTATTTGGAACACATGAATAATACCAACGTTGCAGGTGTCATGATTGCAAGGTTTGTGATGTGTGTTTTGCAGATGAATGGCTATATCTGTTAGATACCTAATTGCCGTGAACACCGGTAGAATTAGATTGATATCATTCTTGCTTAAATAATTAGAGGTGCACTCATTAAACCATGGCTATTTACCGAAATTAAAGAACGAAGGTAGCCTGTCGTACCTTGGCAGTAGGAACTTCTAACGATTAGATTATGAGTTACGTAATTATTCTTTACAGGCACTGGGATATATCTGCTAACGAACGATTTGAATTTCTCCGAAAATATGTCAATTATGGTTTAGAGCATTGGGGATCGGACTCTTTAGTCAGTTTTTAAAAATTATGGCCATATCATTTTATTATGTGAAACACGGTAATAATTGTCTTATATTTTTTAGGGTGTTGAAAAAACTCGTCGATTTTTGCTCGAATGGTTATCGTTTTTACACCGGTTTGCCTATTTTTTTATATATTCTATACGTTGCAGTTCATAACGCTGTTCTGTTTGTATAAACTCGATTGTCTGGCTGGATTTATTATACTGTAGATATATACCAATTGGTGTGTTAGAACGTGTACCTCAACGTATCAATGATAGGCCACCGTATTATGTTGGACGAAATGACCTTGAAACAATGATGAGCAGTACTGATTGCACTGTCTGGGTTAAATTAAGGTTAATTAACTATTGCTCAATAGATAATTAACTACTAAAAGCGTAAAATAATACCTGAAACGATATTATCATTTGTCGTATAACCTGACAATATTTCTCCGTTATCTTTAGTGAAATGCTGCTAGGATCTGTACCTACGAATTTTCAGTTTTTACCGAAACACAGAGCAAATTCCTATCAGTAATTGAATTTGTATTTGCATGTCTGTATACAGTGGACAGTCTTGTATATAAAATGTTATCACTTTATCAACTACGAAGACATTTTCATTCACGAAGATTGGGAGACATTATTAATTATGAACATATCAGTGTATGATAAAGATTATATAACTGATAGCTATATAGTTATATAGCTAATCATATTTGTAGTCGGCTATGACAGTCTGGATATCTTGAGACGAAGTTACCTAATTTTTAGTAAAAAAACAAAATTTAATTTCGCGATTGGCGCAATAGCACATCTGTAAGTTTGCATATCTTAATAATGAGACAATGACTTTGTATTTTCCTATGCATGTCTAGCTACAGTTGCTTGTTAGTGTTTTTGGATGATCTAGGGTTAACTTGAAGCAAATTACAATACTTTACACTCTAGAGACCCTTTATGAGGTCTCTACTGTACAGTAAGTACATCATTGTCATAGTTCAATAGCAGAAGTTCGTCTCGACAAACTGTTATCATCTCAAGAGAGATTCATTTTCAATAGCTTATGCTATTATACTATAGCGAGAGGTGGTAAGCGTGCCTCCTTCAACAAATAGACGATTGGACGACAATAACAGTGACCGAAATTGATTCGAAGTAGAAATCGTAGAGAGACAGCGTATGGTTTGTTTAGAATGTCCGGATAAGAAGTCCGTCCAGGATTTGTAGTTCGAAGTATGCAATTAGATATATCTATCTTACTTTTACGGCTAAGTCTTCGAATCAGGCAATCCTTCATCCTAAGGGATGTATTATAAATCATTCCTTAGGTAAGAGCAGTCATGCTTTGGACTGACGGTAAAACATGCTTGTTACAATTCGAGATTTGTAACTGGGAAACCTCACAACAAAGAAACTACACTTTCCTTAGTTGAGACTTATTCAGTGATTCTATTCTTTATTCTATGACCGTAAGCCCCACTCTATATTTTCTCGAACTATATGATATATTACTATTTATAAGTACTGAATATACACTCGAACTAAAACATGTTTAGGTAGTGCTAGCTAATAACAGAACGACAACGCAGCTAAAGTATCACAAACAAGGCTCTGTAATAACTCGATATAAGATCATTAATAGCCTAAAATAAATGCAAATTAGTAATATAGCTCAATGATTTAATATACAGGTGCAAATTGATGTACTGTATGTTCTTGCATGGCCTAAAGCCATGGACTACCGAATAATACCCGTGTTATTTGAAGCCCTGGCTGGAATATGCCGCCAACCATTATAATGTTTATGTATATGTAATATTGTCACAAAACAGCTTTGCAACAAGATAACGCAATATACGATCAATAAGTCAACTCCTTGAACCACGTATCAAGGAACGATATCTGCACTATCACAAACACTTTTGCTCTACTAGCAGACTACACAAAGACTTAAACGCCTCGTATTTTACGTTAAACACTAAGTTAGACAATTCTTCTTTATTTCACGATATACTGCATTTATATACTATTCCTCAATAGTTCATGAGTCATAGTTAATACAATTAACATTAGAATCATTTACTGAATTAGATATTAATTTTAGCTACTGCTCCCTTAATGCAGACAACAGTATTTATGAACATAGACATATAATGACTAATACAGAATAGTCAGATTACGATATGTCCTATCACGGAACATTTCCATGATAATTTACAGTCTACTATAAGTAAATTACAATCACAATGATTCGAACTGTAAGCAGATGATTTGCATTCCCTATTATAACTATTAATTTCAGTATGTGTATAAGTGTCACTGTCATAAAAAATCAGTGCTATATTAAAATACAGTATATCCAAATTAGAAGTTAACTAAATAAGGATAGTCTAACAGAATTATCCTAACATAGTTATTTCTACTGTAATACAGTATTTAATACTGTAACAAATATGTAGTCGATCGAACCGCTTCATCGTTTACAATCCAGAGTGCATCTACAGTACAACAGTACAGTAGTGAGCAGAACAGTCGAGCTGCACAGTGTCGATAAAATAGATAGTACAATATAGGAAATTGTAATGGATAGACATAGTACAATGTACAGTAGACCCAGCCATGTTGACATCGATCGATATCTTCACTACTCATCATTATAGCTGGGCCAGTCAGGGACTACTAAATATTCCTTTCAGTTTTTTTTACCAGAGACTACTGAAGAAATCGAGAAAAGTAGTACCTAATTAAAGGCTACGTATCGTCTAGACCAGTACAGTATACCAATATCATTGCATTGTTACCGTGGTACATAGTGTATAGTTTACAGCGGAGATTCCAGGTGTTTAACCATCTCCGGTCTAAAGCAAGCCACAACTCCAAAAAAATGTTTGGAGCTGTCGCCTATCTCCATCATAGAATTGAATGAGTGTCTTTTAACCCTGGATCAATATTGCTAGGTAGGAGTTACCGATAGCATGGTGGCGGGCAATGAACTCATGATTTTAACCCTTCAAACTGCGCCGCTATGCCTATCGTCGTACAGTACTGTATACTGTATAGTACTCTAGTATTCGTCCAATTTCTATTACTGGTGACAAACTTGACTCCGTTAACTAGCGTCCGACGTCGGTCGATCGGGTTGGTTGTTTCAACTTGTTTGCCACAACTTTTACAGTACAGTACTGTACAATACAGTACATGATACTGTAACATACAGTATACAGTACTGTAGGGTACAGTGTACAGTACAGTACAGTACAATACAGTACAGTAGTTTGATGTACAGTACTGTACAGTACAGTACAGTACAGTACAGTACAGTACAGTACAGCACTGTAGACTGTGCACTGTACTGCCTTGTACTGTACACTGTACTGGGAAATGACTGTGTTTACACTTGCATAATGACGCTTTCTAAAGTAAAGTACTAAACCTTACTAACCTATAGTAGGTCGAAAACCAAAACTATCAAAGCGATTTTTCATTCATAATGTTGTTTATGATACATGTATTCTTCGACGATTGTTATTGTTAGGCTCTCACTGGATATAAATATGGTCTGCAGCCCTTCAATCAGTCACATACCACACTATTTCAGTCCCAATCAAGCAATATTGTCGACAGAAGACTTGGATTGACTTTACTGCAGAAGAAAAGTTATTTTACGGGAAGATCAATTAGAATAATTTATCGACAAGGCACTAGAGGTCAATTAAAACACAACGTTGGCGTCTTGATCTAGAGAGCAACCAATTCGTAATTACGCATTTTACCGTAAAAATCAATCACTATTACTGTAATCATGGAAAAGTATCGTCCATTCAAAGGGATCACTTTCCTGATGGTCGAACTAGTTATCTTGTTATGTTATCAACCGGTACACGCGTACAGTGATTTACATCGTCCCAGACGTTCGAATAGTTACAACCAGCCATCGATCTATGATTTCACAGGTAACTAGGTTAAATTTCGTCAAAATGTTTCTTAATTTAAATTGTTTTTAAACATTCCTTGTTACCATGATTATCAATAATTTGACAATCGCCCCTAGTGTTCCACTCTTTTTTCCCACCCTCTTAAATGAAAATAACTTCAGAACGGTTTCAAACAGTATACTACTGTGCGTATATAGTGTATATTGTAAACAATAAATCCGTGGCATAATAATCACTATGGACTACCCAAATCAATGGCGCCGGAAAATACTGACTTGAAGTATTGTTTTTGCTTTATGAATACAGTTAAGAAATCGTTGCACTCAAATTGTAAACTTATTCTCGACATGATTGCCGTAAAGCGGTTTCTATTCAAAATCGCTTATTAGTTCTCGTTTGAAGATTTGCAGTACATCAAATGCTTGCGACATGAGTTGATACAGAGTCTACTAATTTATTTAAATCAGTATTCAATGAATGGACGAATTGATTAATTAATTAATGTAATCTGTACTGGGAGTTTACTATACGGTACTACATACTACTACGAAAAGAAAAAACTCATTTTAAACTGAACTATAGCCAATAAATTAACCCAAGAACCAACATTGAAACTACCGATTGTCGCTATATCTGTTTCAAAGTGGGCATGACAGTATCATATTAAATAAAAAAAGTTAAGGATACCAATTGGAGGTGACGGCTTAAGCAAGCACAAAAATACGACTCAATGGTTACCGAAACAGTGATCGAAACAATTTCATAAATAGAACCCATTTTTCGTCAGTGAATTTACTGTAGATTGATTAAATAAACTACGAGTAGAGCGTTCCAGTCAACAATTTCGTTATTTTGATTCGATAGACATTCCGTACTATAGATGAGCCAGTCTATAATTTCCATCATCTAGCAATCTCCGACCCAAACTATTCACGTTCACAAAATTTATTAAAACAATTTGATCGTGACGTATTCGACCTATTGACTGCGTAAATGAATGGATAATGTCTCCATTGTCGTGACAGCGGTTTTATTCTCTTTTATCAGTTGTGGATGTAATGCCATTGTTATATTTAAATGAGCTACTTAGATAACTGCGTGCAGACATGATAAGTAACAATGGTCGTATTCATTCCTATGTTACTGTCGCGCCGCTTTGTCCTAATGGATCGTAGATGGATGTCCATTTATTGATTCCCTCACACCTGAGACATGCGAAACTGAACATATCTTCGTACCAATTAGACCGCCATCAACAACGATAGTCTGTATATTCTGTAGTAGTTCGTGGTGCTTACCAAGTAGTAAATTAATATCTATTAAAGGGTGAAAAGATTGAATACTCTTTAATGTTGTTTTAGATACTGACTTGTTAAGTACATGCATTACAGCATAATATCTTGTTGAAGTGAAGTGAATATTCTTTTATAGTCCGTTAATTCTGTAAAACCATAACAACTCATTCCGATCATAATACTAGATACAAATATTTATGTACGAGTTTTTAAGTAATATTGCATAGACTAGTATAACAATTAAAGAAATAATTGCTGCCAGAACTTGTTTCGCATATTACATCTATACGTATGTAATAAGTACGTATATCTAAATTAAGGTAGCTCATCATTAAAGATATTGCCATGAATAACTAATATAGCCTTGCGATTCGATTAGAATCTGTCTATTTCAACAACATGCACTATTTCAAATTTATCTCAAAAGATGATAATTTTGAATAAATGAGAAAATTTGGGTATCATCTTGTTATAAAATGTCTTCAAAATAATAAAACAACAACGACACGTACAGTATCTTGTAAACTTAGTTTATTACATAAACTAGTAAAGTTCCCATACAAATTTTATCCAATTTTAATTGCAAATGTTTGTCGATTATAAAATATAAATAAATCTGTTATCTAATATATAAACTAATTATTAGTAAAGCATACTTACGACGTTAGCATTTCTTATTTGTGTTTAAAAACTGCTTTATGTCGACAATAGGTCATCCGAAGTATTCTACAAGCTGCAATTTCGAGCATGACCTATGCGGGTGGTCACAAATATCAGGCATTGACACCTTTGATTGGACTAGGCGTACCGGTCCAACACCAAGTTTTGGGACTGGACCGCAATTTGATAACACATTTAAAAACAGTATGTTGTTTTTCATAATATGATATGGTAATTTTGTTCAATAAGGACGCCTTGTAACTTTTACATTCATGCTACCCCTGTACGTGCATATCTCTAGAAGTTTTGTCATGATGTAGATCAGCACTCTCATCTCCTATTAAGTGATTCATAGAAAATCACTGTATGTTAATATCACACATAAGCTACAGCCATTGTACCAAGTATTAACAAGACATTGTAGTTATAAAAAAAATTTTATAACCTTCGAAATAGATATACGATAAGCAGTTGCAGACGGTTTATGGAATACTGTATATTCTTAGTCTCAGTGGTATTATTATTCGTAATGACAGCCTTAAGACAGTAAGTTTGAGATAGTTGTTAAGAATGATTCGGTGTACTTTCACGCAGTGAAATAATATACGGTATTCTGTATTTTAGTATCGATTCGAAACCCTGATTTTACCGTGACAACCGTTCGCAACAAATTAGCAGATTTTAATAAGTTTTATCTTCGATCAGCATGAAGTTGTATTTCAATTTCATTTTATGTAGGGCATTAAATTATCCGGAATTAGCATTGAATTCTATTAACCCATACTGTTTTCTATTTTATATGAAATAGGCTCCGGGCACTATCTGTATATAGAAGCTTCCGCTCCTCGTACGAAAGGAGATTTCGCCGATTTATTAAGTCCACCTTTGTATACTCCAAGAAATGTCTATACAGTGAACGTGAGTTTTCTAATGTCGATATTCGTGTCGTCGTAGGTCATTGATTCGGTGGTACAACTTGACGGTCATGGCAGGACTTGTGATCATTTGTCATTTGCAAAGTTTTCTAACTACTGTATCACAGATATTAACATATACTAGTTAACAGTTTAACACCGCACGCTACCATACCGTAAACTTCTACTATTCGCCAAGGTTGAATTTTAATCTATGAACTACCCTATGTATAATTGGGATTTTATACCGGTAAAAGTGTGATATTCATGAATTTTTTATACAGGTCCGTTTCGATTACAATATGCATGGTGATGGAATAGGAAGTTTGGAAGTATATGTCATTTATGCAAAATATAACTTTACAGAGAAGCTATTAAACGTAAAACAAGGCAACCAAGGAAGTCACTGGCTGACGCATCATTTGCAGTTTCATCCTCAATACAATGAATATCATGTTAGTGATTGATTCCTATAGAGCTGCTTTTACATCATACCTTTATAAGAAATAGTTGAATATCTTGCTAAGGCACTTGTTTGCATGCATCTAAAAATACGAAAGATTCATAAACTGAATAAAATATTATATTTTTATCTGGACATATATCTAATTCTCATGCTATTCATGTGTTATATGAGTATATTTATTCAATAATCAATTTTATATTACCAACGTAGATATTTTTCCGTGGAATAATTGGTGATAATTATAAAAGCGATATTGCCATTGATGATATAGCTGTCTACGTCCAAGGTACTGAAAGCTAACTGATAATACGAATTCAAAATATAAAGATCTTAAAGCAATCACTTAGGAGTGTAGCAGTTTGTTTCATACTAAGTACCTATCCATCGCGTATAAGTAAGAAATTAGCTTTACAGAAATTTAATTCTGGTTGCTTTATCAGAAATCAATTGTGTAACTGGAAATGGAAGATTCTTTCGTGGGACAAATTCTTTTACGAAAAGTGGCTTGACATGTCTTGCATGGAATTCATTAGCCAGGTTTAATCCGCGTTTGTATCCGATGGATGATTTAAAGCGAAATTACTGCCGCAATCCCGGAGGTCTCCGGTCAAGACCGTGGTGTTATGTGACAAGTGGCTCATCAAACGGAAGTTGGGAATACTGTGGCGTAACCCAGTGTCTTCCTAGTTCAATTAAACAATTATCAGGCTATCCTGGAGGACGTAAGCAGTGAAGACTTATATGAAACATTAAGATTCTCTAGTAGTAAACTTACTCTGTACTTTAAAGATAGTAAATTAGTTTGCTAAGCTGTTTAAAATATTTTTAGATCGAATTCCTGTTAAGTTAGTTGGTGGGCAAGCAAATTATGGGCGAGTTGTAGTATACCAATATGGACAGTGGGGAACAGTCTGTAATCAAAATTTTGGAACGGCTTCCGCTACAACCATTTGTCGTCAACTTGGATTACCAACACCGGGATACAGATTGAGTAAGCACGGCATAGAATAATTATAATAATATGGTAAAAGCTTAAGGATAGCGATATTTTATAGGTTTACTGTTAGAATTATGCCATATTTCAGTTGTGGTAAATTTTATACCTTGTCGTAATGATCTTGTTGATTGACATACCTATACTTCAATGATGATTTCATAAAAAAAAATAAAAAATTCAAATATATCAGGAATTTTAGTATAAATGAAAGTCTCACTGGATATCTTTCTGATTATAGAACATTCTATTAGTTCGGGCTCTGGTAGAATTTGGATTGAACGTTTGGACTGCTTTAGTTATTCGAAGGATCTATCGGAATGTACTATCTCTTGGAATTCCTCCTATTGCATTCACCAAGAGGATGTAGGAGTACGCTGTGGACCATTAAATGATAATAAATGTAAGATTCATACGCTTAGGCAATCTTTATTCCGATCTGAACTGTGATCTGATCTTTTAATTCAGCAGTTTAATTGAAGCTTGTAATCATAACTGATTATTTCGAATTTTTGTAGCAATTTCTACTGTTACTCCAATCAATAAAGCACCAATAAGCGTGGAATTATTAGGTGGCAGCAGCAACGAAGGCATAGTTGTTGTCAACCTTAATGGTAGTAAAGGAATAATTTGCGATTTAGATTGGAATATCAAAACTGCCGATGTCGTTTGTCGAACGTTGGGATTTGTTGGGGCTAAAAGAAGTTATGGTAAGATCTGCAAAGAATTAACGAATATGATAGCCTTTAGGGTAAAGGGTTTATCAAAAAATTTTACTTATTTGTATTACATATTTAGGTAAATATTTTCCTAAGAGGACCTGGAGAACATTGCTGACGTCCATATCGTGCAATGGGTATGAAAGTTCTTTCCGTCAATGCGGTTACTCTATTCAACCCGGAGTGAACAGTTGCAACACAAAAGTAGCAGCATCCGTCACATGTGAAACTGGTATATTAATGTCTATAGGAGAATTTTAAAATTAGCTAATACTTGTGAAGGTGCAAGTAAATATTTGAAACGATTAAAACTATTATTGCATGTCATATTCAGATAGTAGTGATGCCGCCATGAAATGTGATTTTTCAAACGGATTCTGTCAATGGAAAAATTTAATAACAAATGATCTGAAATGGCTTTGGCACAAAAATGGGTATCATTTTTCACCAATCTTCTCCAATAATGGTAAGTAAAAGTGCGATAGCGTATTCTACTCATTAAATCAGGACTATAATTAAACTAAGAGTTATACAAAATAGTAATAAAACTTATTATAAATTCGAAACCCTCTCCAGTTAAATTGAATTCAAAATAGATAAAATTATTTCTATCCTACAATTGTAGATATGTCATTCATATATTTAACCCTTGCAATGCAAAAAACGAAGAGTGATGGTAGGGCTACTCTCCTAAGTCCTAGATTAAGAAAAAGTTCTACAGTTCAGGTATCAGATTTATATTAATTATGAGCATTTTACGATAATTTACGAATAATTTGGTGCTCATAAGTATAGTTGCGATAGTATTATTTAAAATATATTTAAGATATAATTACTATTAAAATGTTATTTTCAGTATTTGATAAACTTACATTAAGATATGTTTGCTGTGGCCCATATATTAACGTTATCATGCAGTAAAATGTACTATGATATTATATCAAAGATTATAAATCACATTTGAGTGTCATTATGGTACCTTTATAGTGTATTAAAATCGATACCTCAATGATTCTAACTAATAGCTAATTGCTTCATATTACATAGATGTTTTTCAAATATTTAAATACCGGCAGTGGCGTAAAGAAGCTGATTATCGAATATTTGGATGATAATGCATTTACACATAATATTAATACTATTCAGTTGGGATCATTTCAAAATGATGTATGGATCCAGCGAGCATTTAGCTTTTATCCACCGGGAAAAAGTTTTCAAGTATATTTTATGTAGTTAATTTCGTGTTTAAGATATAAGGATAATTTAATAGAGGCATTTTTAATAATAGAGAAAATTAGATATCTTGTTTGTTAATTAGACATAAGATGTCATCGTTGCTTGATAAAATTAACAGTTATATTAATTTCAGATACGAATTGTAGCGGTCTATGATACAGCAGATAATACTAATGGTGGTGCAATTTTAATTGAAAAAATAAACTTATCAGGATGCTCTCCTTGTAAGTATTAATTATGTACGAAATGACTTTTACTTTTATCAACATTTCAGCTTAATCATAATATCTATTGACATTAATTTCATGGTGTTTTGCTATAACAGATACACGAAAAAGTATTACAATTGTTGCTTTGATAACAATCGCTGGGAGTGTTGGTTTAGTACTGACCATCGTAGTGGCCTTCATACGGATTCGACGAAGATACTCGTCAGCAAGAAATCGGTCGACAAACATACCAGGTAAAATCAATTCTTAATTTACTGCAATTTTTTTGTAAAGGTATTATCGATTGAGACTATAACTTTGACAATATTTTTTATTTCAAAGTTATGCTATTTAGTAGCGTTACTTAGTTCTATGTTAATTAGAAATGTTTTTAATGAATTTACACTATATCCGTATTTGGTATATAGCTGGATTATATGACAGGATACATCAAAGTTTAGCTACGTCAAACTCAAATGCTAGTTTACCAGCTTATTGCCCGACAACACCTATTGGCCACCAATCATTTGCAGTTCATGATCAGCCTACAATAATCCAAGGGCAGCAAATTCGTATTTTAGGTAGGATAAGATAACTATTAGTGACACGCTATTATAGGATTTTGTTATAATCTTCTGTCAATCTGCTTTATGATAGTATTATCACTATATTTTATTATATCATCAATTAACATCAATTGATTTTTAGAGCGTTCCTTGCCAACGTACAACCAAGTCGTTGGCCGCGGTAGGAGAACTTGAAGAGAAATGTATGCTACTAAATATGCATTATTTATAGCATTTACAATTTGGATAAATTGACATTGGCGATTTTGATGAATTCGAATATGTGCAAGAGTGACAATATGTTTTATGTTACGTTATTGCAATTAATTTCCGATTATTCGTTTCCATTACCTATGAAATATGACGTTTATTTGCTAGATAGATATCTACGTATATGCTTCTAGTGATTTCATTTTGCTAAATTTTGGCATATGATGGTGCCCCGTGTTTTAAAAGTTTGATCGTTGATAATTTAAATATAATAAGTTGAATGAAACAATACGTATTGTTGGAATGGCGTATTAAGAGTAAACATATTTTCATTTAGTATTAATTTAGAGTATATAAATAGTGAAAGCCCCTATTAGACGTCGTATTCAAGGTATGAATACGTATTTCTTAAAATAGTATCTTGAATATTTAATTATTTTCCACTTTAGAATTAAGTTATGGATGTCAGAAAATAACATCAGGGAAATCTTAACCGTTTTTCCATAGGGCATACAATATTCATAAGGATTCTATCTTCTATTTATATATCATAACTTATCGACACGTATGATACGTTAACTTTCAAGCGTTTCATGCTCACTTATAATAATAATACATAATTTGATTTAAACTAATACTGCTACTTACGTTAGTAGCAGTCCAATCTAATGCCCGTTAATAACGGAGTTTAATCCTATATAATTTTATGTATTTTAACTTTATTATCGTGCTTGTATTGATTAACTTTAAATAACTTGATTAATTGATTGAACGTAGGAACAATTTCTATTTTTACAGAAACTACTGTATCATATAATGTACAAATAAAAAAAATCCTGTTGCCTACAGAATATAATCATAATGACGTCACCGAATAACACCAAAATTAATGCGGCTATACTCTACAAAAAAATGTCAAGATAAAACTGCGTGCAGTATTTCCACTACGAAATACTAAAAATAAGAGCTAATTTGCAACTATTATTAATGCCGTGCAGATGGATATGTAGAGATAAACTAGGTTAAGAACTTTCATAGTTAATACTTGTTCCACCTATACCACTAATATAGTTATTTTGCTATTGATACCATTTTAATGAAAGATGATCAGTATGAAAATTAAGTAGCAATACCTATACTCAAAGCGCAGCAATTATAGCCATTTGAATTAGATCCGGATATTGCATAACCTGCGCAGGCCATAAAGGTAAAACTTCTATAGTGTAGGCTATTTCATGGATTTTTTTAAAGCTTTTCCCATTAAGTAGTACATCTAGTAGTCCATGGCTGTCTTATGCGACGGTGTTGCATACTAAATCTAGTTAGAAATCTCTACAATATTCAGTAGACAGTGGGTGTTATTGTTTACCAATGCGGTAAGCCTCTACTGTAAACCTAGTAATGATTTTGATATTAATTTCAGCTCGATAACAGATGAAAAATTAAGGGGAGAGTTAATTTATTACAAATAAGTAAAACGAAATAATCACACACGAAAAATAGAGAGTAAATAGAACGATTACAATAGAAATGAATTCTTAATCGACTATTATCCGTAGTAACCCTATCGCTCATTATACTCGCATAATATACTTATACTTTTTGCTTTCTATTTACTAGTAGATGCCTCGTTTGTTATACTTCACGTACTATGCTTTACTGTATAATATGCACATAACTTTATCTGATTGTAATTACTAGTCGATCACTTGCTCACTATACTTCGTAGGCTATACTATAACAACTGTAATTATACCTTTTACATTATAATTCATACAATGTATGTACTGCAGAGCCCACACACATGCGGACAAAATTATTTTAATACATAGATGTTGCATATATATTTTCAAAGTTTATAATAGAAGTAAAACCTTTGGAATGGTAGCACGCATAACAGGAATATGTTGTACAAAATAACCATGCACTGTACGAAGTTTATAGCATATCAGAAAGAGGAATACTGTACATTTAAATAGTCCTCATACCTTTTAAATTAAAATTTATATGATGTATGCTGTGAAAAGTACCAACATACAGACACACGAAAAAATCATTTTATTTTAATGCACAGCTACTGCTTATATATTTTCAAAGTTTACAGTATAAGTGATATTTATAGAAGAGTAACAGGAAAATGTTGTACAAGATGATCATGTACTACATGTAGTTTATCGACAATCAGAAAGAGGAATATATATAGCAGGGACTAGTCCTTGTAAATCTTTATATGTAGTCGCTATAATAGGATAATCTCTTCATTATACTCATATTAATAAGTAATATGTGCTAACTGCATATCATACTGTACTTGACGTACTGGATGGTAGTATAGCATTTGGTATATGGTAATCATACAATGAAGAGTCGTGATATTAGTAATCTATGCAGTTATGCATCTACCGCTTAACTATTTAAAGAGAGCATACTGTAGAACAAAGCTTATAGGGGCGTACAGTACAATGTAGAGGGGATGGAACCCTAGTAGTACTACAAAACAACAGCCAGTAAACTGGCCATAAGGAGCTACAGGTAATCTCATAAATTAGGAATAATTATTCATAACGGTAAAAAAGTCAAAAGTCAACAGCAAAGCGAGGTATATACTTAGACTGAATTAGTATAACAAAGCAGTCGCGTTACATACGCAAATTTAGTTAGTATAAGGATGCAGTCGCGTTGAATACGTAAATCCAGTTAGTATAAGAAAGTAGTCGGGTTGTATACGTGAATTTATTTAGTATAGGAAAGTAGTCGAGTTGCATATGCAAACTGAACTAGTATAAGGAAGTTGTCACGTAGAGCACCGTCCTTATAATACGATCACATCGGTAAATATACTTTAAAGTCTTTCTCAATATACACTTAATATCAGAATTTGACTAGTGTAAACAGAAGAAGTTTGCTTTAATTCTTTCATGACTAAATTAACATACACAGTTTTGCACTAGATTCGAGAAGAGCCTGCATTAATCTTCATTTGAAGTGCCAATTTTTCTGATATCACTGCCGCTGAACGATTCATAGACTCAGGCAAGTCATTACAGAGTTTATACCTATAATCAACAAATAGCATGAGAAATCAGCCCGTTCTGAATAGCTAGTTTTGACATACTGTATTTTTCGTTGGCATTTAGTAGTTATCTTACTTATAGTCTTGGCCATTTTAATAGACAAAACCTAATATTTTTAATCTGCTACAATCAATTTTATTAAGGGTCTCTCACTATACTGTACAGCAAGCGTACTTTACTTCAGTTATTCACCCACACTTTTTATTGCATGGGACAATTATTTTTATTTTTGGGGAAGAAATAATTAGATAAATGATCGTAGCCAATAACTTTCAACTCCACCATTTCCTACTACAATTCTTAGACTGATTATAATCATATTCACTTACTATTATTTTTCAAAGTTAAAACGGCTGTCTTTATTTACATCACTAAGTCTTTGAAATCGAATCATTATTTCCTCGCCATTTGTCCACTTTGTATAGCTACAGTACTAATTAATAGTTATTTATGTAATTACTTATCGTTAGCTATCGATTGTTATAATTAATAAATTATTTCGGTTGCCCGTCATTAATCTTATTTTACTAAAAATCACCAGTAGTCATCGATTAACCCTGCCGGACATTTAGATCGTCAATCCGTAATAGGATTGATTAGATTTTGTAGTAATATAGAAATTGATCAGCAAATAGCCACAATGAAGGTAATAAGACAGCATTACGTATCTTAACTTTTGTATCCCAGCACTGTATATTCGATTACTATGGTTTCGTGTTATCAAGGTTTAGTAAAAGCAAATGCAATTTATTTAAATTTGCTCCACTCTACATAATGTTCAAGGAAAGTAAAGATTCTTGTGGTACCTAGAAAGATATTAAATGGTGAAACTACCGACTTAAGAAAACCGTTATTTTAGCTTAATTCTCCCTTGAGTTGCTTTAAATTAGTGGTACCTGGTACCGTGATACCGTTAAAAATGCGAAAGAAATTTCGATTTACTGTAGAATCGCTGTGTTTGATTTACGTTTTACTGCTACTGAATCAAATCAGCACCTATGGGGCCTACCATAGTAAAGAGAAAAGATCAACGTTATGGAATCCAGCGTCCGCCAAAATATATAACTTTTCAGGTAAATATAATCTACTACCACCTATGTAACCGTTTGATTTCCAATGAGCTGAAAAATACAGTACCAGGGCATAATGTATCAAGTCTTCCAGGGTAAAACAGGATCTTTTTTAATTTTTGATTACCATTTTCAATTTATTTTTTGAATTTGTGTGTTTACGTGTCATAGTTTTAATAATGATATTTTTACTAGAAACTAGTTAAAGCGTAAAACCCAACAAAGTCAATATTATACATTAGCTCCTGCTCCAACTAAAGATAGAATACTCTCCTAGGATCCAATAGCAATTATTGCGTAAAAATTTGTTCAACTTAAGTCCATAAATGCGGACTATATAAACTCGTGTATTATTTAGCCAGAAATTAATCGATTTAAACGAATCACTGTACATTTTATTACATCTTAATTCGTTTATAATGTAAGACTAAGAAAATAAGATCTCTGAATGGATCGATTCCATCGGTTACTTTATTCACAGTACTATACCGGGTATTAAAATAAAAACGATATTGTAATTGTTTGGAAATAGGCCACTGTAAAAATAAGTTTTAAGTTCCTACAGAGGCAAACTAGTAGCTTTATTTTACATCAAGTGGCGTGGCAGCGTAAAGATATTTGAAGTAATATGGTATAAATGCGTGAAAAAAATAATTAACTTATTGCCCTTTTCTTAATTAAAAATTAATATTGTATATAGAAATCGGTATAGACTGTTGTATATTCTAGAACTGACTACAATATACCATTAAAATAAAGATAATAGCCCTTTCTATTTGTTTACTTACCATACGTCTTGCAGTCGACAGTGCTACTTACAATTCGCGTATATAAACTGAGTTATGCATAGGTGTTTTGCGCTTAAAAAATACACAAATAAAATTAACTCTACCTGATCTCATGCTATGACTTCTGTAATATTGATACGAATATTTAATTATGTCACATTAGTAGTAGATGATTTAGAATTTTGATGTTTAGAACTTGAAATATGTAAGATCGATTATATTTGTAATATTTAATTCAAATATTATGACAGCAAAATTTCTGTAAGGTAGTATAGCAGTTGTGCTATACTTAATTATGAAAAATGCTACAGCGAGCGGTAACTTTTATGTCTCATTTACTAGCGTATCCAACTATGTAAAGTCTGATGTTCGACGGATACTTATACTTGATTATTGCATTTTCTCTCATTCAGAGTATAATTATCGTTAAAATCAATACCCTTCTTTGCTTTTAGCAATTCCTTTAGCGTCCATTAAATGTAATTTACAAAATGACTTATGCGGATGGAAAGAAGTAACTGGAATAAGTAACTTTGGTTGGAAAAGACAGAATGGATTAGAAGCAGATGCATCAGGCCATGGCCTCAGTAATGATTTCACTTACGGCAATAGTAAGTTGCTGATTCAAACTTACCAATCTAATATTTAAGTAATCACCAAAATATTCACTTACATTGCCCACTGAATATATTTCTAATAAAACACTTCTCAGAAAAATGGACGATAGAGACCATTTAATGCTGATTTTTAATCCTTCGATTTATCTATTGTTTTTTTCTACAGAATCTGGTTATTACTTAATAGCTAATTTTCGAAATTTCTTAAAGCCTAATTATTTCGCTGATTTAATCAGTCCACCAATGCTTCTTCCAAAGCAGCTACAACATGTTAAAGTTAGTAATATATCAATTGAACATAAAACTAGTACAAAAAATTGAAAACATTATTCTTAACAATTAACATACAATCATAGACCATATATCATATCGTGCAAGTATGGCTTCTATTATTTGGTTACAGTATTAAAATAGAAATTTAAAATAATACCGGAAATACAGCATATTAATGGGTTAAGGAAAAGTTTACTAATTACTAAAGTGTGCTTTCTATTTTGTCGGTCTTTCTCGCTCAATATCTTTACAGCAATATCTTTACAACGGTGTAGTACGCATGAATTCATCACAATTCAAAACACTACTATTGACTAGAAATCATTTTTATTAAATAAATTATATTAGCTACATCTAATTAAATAATATTATATAATACTTTTTTGTTATCGTGTCTATTGACTAATTTACGTTGAACTTCTATCTTACGTTTATATTTAAATGCTACCATTTTTAGATACGATTAGTGTGCGTTATACAGACGCAATCTTAAGTTTGATAGTTTGATCGCGAATTAATTTTGTTTTCAAACTCAACATTTTTCATGTTTATGTAGGTAAAGTTTGCCTATAACACTGACATCAGTACTCTGCAAATTTATGCTATCTATCCAAGATATAATCTTACTCAGCATCGTTTACGTGAAAGCATATTTAAAAATCATAGCCATCAATGGTATCAGGAAGATTTCACCTTTCTTCCCTTATATCCGTACTACCAAGTAGGATTGTTTCGATTACTTTTTAAGTTAACAGATCACAACATCATAAACTAATCTACCAACTAAATGCAATAGATAATCATTCGAAGCATCACCAACGCTAAGAACATTCTTATAGCATTAGATGATCTCGAAATATATCCAATCGGTAAAATATTGGTGACCTGAATCTTCGTATATTTCATACATAAATTACTTATCATCATTAATTTTTCCTTGTAATAAGTTTAGGCATATGATAAAATAGTTCATATTAAATATATTTTGCTAAGATGTGTTCTGCTCTACTGGTTTACATTGATGTTTTATCTTGTGATTTTAAAATATTTACTTTTTGCTACAGAAACTAATTGTTATACGGAAAAAGGGCAAAGTTATCGAGGCAACGTTTCTATAACTCGTAGTGGGATTCTATGTCAACAATGGTCCTCAAATACACCACATAATCATTCTTTCAAACCTTCAACTTATTATAATGATGGCCTTGTGAGCAACTATTGCCGAAATCCTTCTGGCCTTCGTAACTCACCGTGGTGTTATACAAGCAATTCTAGTATTTCATGGCAATACTGCAATGTTACCAAATGTCAAAATTCATCCGACACCTTAACATATGTTGATCCTTACAAAAGTACCGTTTGGATTAATTGTTACTTTACATTTTAAATATTAGACTAGTAACGTTAATATATTTGAAGTACCGGTACGAATGATATAAAAATGTCTTAATATGAAAATTTTTACTTATTTCATCTCAGACACTATACCCATAAAATTAGTTGGTGAATCTAGTACCTCTGGTCGTGTTGTTGTTTATCATGAAGGCGAATGGGGTACAGTTTGCAATGATTTAATGAATGATAGAGTAGCAACAGTAATCTGTCGCCAATTAGGTTTACCTCAACCCGGAAAGATGTTATGTAAGAAATTAATTAAAGATACTGATAGAAAATGTGAATTAAAGTAATGTGGAAATTATCATTTCATTTCTTACGATGTCTATAAAATCTATTACTATTTTGGAAATTTATTTTCATAGCAACAATAAATGAAGGTACTGGAACGATATGGATTCGCCTTCTTATTTGTATTGGTAATGAGAAACGCTTGGAAAATTGTCTTATATCATCATGGAATAGCACTTTTTGTAATCATTCTGAAGATGCTGTGATATCCTGTTCAGGAAAGACATTAACAACTACCTCTGGTAAATTTACACCATTTATACATAATGATTTCTAATACCCTAATCCTTATGTGCTAATATGTCCGGCTTTCACTGTTTTACTACAGCAGTGGGATACACAGCGACAGTTGCTACCACCAAACCATCAGAATCGAGAACGGCGGTTCCCTTCGTTTTGATTAGTGCTAGTTTCTTTGTATTAGTGATTTTAACCTTAATCTATATTCGTAATGCGAGGAGATCAATTAGTAGACGGAATCAATCAACTAGGCAGTCAGGTTTGTAGACAAGTTGTTTTTGCTTCTTCTTATACTATTGTGCGGAATAACAATTTACATGTAGACTAATATTTAAATAGCAACTAATATAGCTTATTGTCGCATAACCTAAGAGTGAATTTGATTTCATGATATAGTTGCATAGATTGCGACATTAGCAAACTTTTAAAATATCATATAACTGTAAAATAAATATAGAAAGACTACTGTATCATAAAGAATCTCTATTTTGAGCTTGCATTGCTGAAAAGGAATTTATTGTAAATATTGAATGATTTGATAGCAACACAGCGGCCTCGTATGGTAGCCCCTCCTTCGTATAATACTGCTCTCAATGAAATAACTCGTGATCCAAATGCCCTAAAGGAACTTCATCACAGTCCTACCGGAGGTAAGATAACTACTAACAGTTATGAAATTGAGTAACATTGAACAATTTTTGTTAGTTGGTAATGATAATTGTATAAAGATGCTATATCGTTTTACATATTTACTTTCAGAATCCTTACCTGACTATGTTAGAGCTACAAGCAATGCCAGGCATTTCTGATAAATACATAAATTAGCTGACTTAAGTTTATGTAATTTTTACATTATAATTCTTCCTTATTTATTACATATCATCTAACGCCTCACTAATTCTATCTACGTATGATTGTAGAGGAGAAGCATTATCTCCAATAATTTAAAATTTGATATGATGATAAGAGCAGTAATGTATAATATGCCAATATAATTTAATTATTTAAGCATATACTTGAGTATGTGCTTAACGCAATGGTATTTATTAATATTTATATATTTCTTCCATTATTATTCGAACTATTAGCGTAAATATTTTAAACTAAATGCATAATAGTTAGTTGGGGTACACCGTTAAGAATATTAAAATATCATAATAAAACGTGGCTTATGCTATTGACTCTCCATACAATTCTAATCATGATGAAAATGAAACAGTCTTAAGTAACTGTAAATACTGGTTCATTTATTTTATATTTTCAATCCTACGAATAAATATAGATTGGTCATTAAATTCGTTGTAAAAGTGGTTTGCTCACTCTACTCTATAACAATAAATGGCTTTAAATCGTTGTAAATTAGTCTGAGCGTAAATTCACTGTTGTATTTTGTACAACAAAGGCTAAAATTTATCCTTTAATCTACAAATTGCAGCTAACTATTGAAAAGACTACATACCGGTACTTGTGGTTATCTGCAATGGCAATTTGAAGAAAGATAAAAATCTTTTGTTACCTGTACAAGATAATTCCAAATTGTATTCAAAGGATAGGCAAGCCTGTGAAATTATATATGTTTTTATTCGTTTTATCAGGATGGATATCATAATACCTCAATTTTATAACTGGTAGAAAAATGCTGTATATCAAATTATGGATTAATGTAATCACTTGAAATAATGCAGCCTTGTTGCAAACCGAGGGTTGCAACAAGAAGCGACAGAAAAATAGCCCACCTCACCTAGGGGATAAAAAATACTTTATTTCGCTACCAACTCACTTTAACGAGACATAAATACATTTTTATAGAAATATATATATATATATATATATATTTTAGAAATCCACGGACTAATTTGCTTGGCTCCTTCCATCTATCCATCTTTAGAGCAATCGACTTGGAAGCCTATCTACCATAGTAGTCTGTATGCAACCTCGATTGGTTTGGTGTGCAGATGTGCAATACCGTGCGTAGTGTGAGCCGTAAGGTAGTACAGTACTGTACCCTACAAAGTAATACTGGAGCTTATGGCTGTAGCAGCCCTTAGGGAATAAAGTAACGTCCCTAGGGACTGGTACAATAAGGTACTGCACTACACTAGACCGGATCGTTCATACTGTACCTTCAAAAATGCAACTGACTAGTTGTGTTTATTTTATATAAATAAATAACTGCTAGCTCAAATAGCAAAGCCACATTAGTTTACCGTTAACGCTAGTCAAAAAGAGGTGCAAAATTGTTTAAAATCGTATACATGAACGTCGTGGTGTTACCAACTACGATCTGCCATCGTTTTATAGCCGACAACTAGCCTTAACTTGTTGATCAATCGAGGTAGAGGGAATTGAAGCTAATATAGAAATACGCTTTGATTTCGTCATTGTACTGGTTGCCAAGACAGCAGCACCACTACTAACATCTTTCCTGTAGTCTTATATACCTATTTCAAGTTGGTTCCTGCTCATTCAAAAGGGTTGAAACGATTGTAGCTTTCTGATTTGGGCTATCATTATGCCGCCGATTATATCCATGCTATATGTAGCTCGAAGACTGCGACCAACTTCGAGCTTACGATATCTACGTGAGTTCAATACTTCAATAGTGTGTCAGAAAGGAATACGAGCTAATGAAGCAGTATTGCCACTTTCATCGGCCCTCTATCCGCAGCGATTTTCATCAATAGTATTATGGAGGAGTTGCTCTTCGTTCCATAGCAATAATGACACCAAGCCGGCGCCTACGATGAATTCTACTTCTTCATCACCAGATAATAAACAATCAATCAATAAAGAATCATTAGATGTTACTAAGCTGGCAGCATTGGTAAGCCAATGACTAGCGATAACATGTTTTGGATTAATTTGCTCTTGTTATACCGTTGTTTTATAGTATTTAGTCCCTATCAACCCTTAACTAAATGTATAATATTGCTTGATTTTTTAATTTTAATTAAACATGGCTCGGTTAGTCACTACAAAAGGCAAATGAAAACGGTGAGTTCATTGCTTGCTTAATTATGACTGTTATGAGTATTATTCAATTTTATTGATCTAGAAAAATAAATGATGTTGCTAATCTTCCCTCATCAGATATTATGCTAGATTATTAAATGCTTATGCTACGATAGGATACCTTTCTTGGGGTAGAAACGGTTTATTATTTACCGCAATATCACTTTCACTATATAACTCTGATATCGCCAATCATGTTCATGCGGTAGCAGCTTCTCTTGGTAAGATCAATAAATAATTCGTTTGTAAAGTAGGCTAAATTGGCACTGCATCACGATGACATGAATAAATAGCAATTAAACCTTTCTTTATCAAACAGGAAATCAGTTTCCCTAGTTCTTAAAGTGATATATGTCTAATTCATAGGGTAATGATTCAATTTTAGCATTATTTCTACATCTTTATAGTTTTTGCATCTACGGGCGTGTTATGTATCAGCTCTGGCACAATCCACTATATTTGGGATGGACTCAAGCTACGTCGTCAAATGTTAATTTCTCGTTTTCGCCTGATATGGATGATATCACATGCAAGTTGTATTCTTTTATTTTGGATCTTAGGATTATTATTCTATTTTGAAGACTTGCTCTTTGAGTCTGCCAAATAAAATCCGATCTAAGTTTTCTGAACATCAAAATGGGAGGATAAATTTTTTATACTTTCATTATGTGCAATTGGCTATGTTATCAGTGACTGTAATGCTTGGCTGCATTAGGATTATTTCCATTCTACTTGATTGTTAGTAATATCTTACGAAATATTGATTTTACTGCTATATTGAGTGGTACATTTTATACTGTTATGGTATTGGAAGATTGTTATATTAGCTTTTAAAGATTGCAAGCTTCGAGTATTGTTTCATAGTGTCGTATTGATGGTTGATTCATTTGTCTAGACATCGGTAAATGTTTACAATGTTTTTGCTAATTACGGAATAGACAAAAACTGTATAACTATCACCCATTTATAGATATGCGACGTTGGCGGCCTTCCAAAACTAGAGAAACGTAGGGAGTGTCTTAATGCAAACACTGTATATTGCCAAAATCTTACCCATTGACATTTCGCTATTGAACACTCTACCAGCGTCTCCGCTTGCATTAGTTATTAAAATATTCAACAAGATCAAATAGATCTAGTTGGCTATAGTAAGACCTACAAGCCAGAATAAAGGCTTCTTATAATACCACAGTCCCTACTACGGCTGCCAAAGCCCTTAATATACCATATATATTCATGCAATACTTACCTTTATTTCCATATATTTTTACTTTTAACCACCTTCTGAAACGGTATCATTACTTTTTAAACAATCGTTCTATATTTGTTACATGAATATATATTATCAGCAATTATCAAGTAATAACTGTAGCAACATTATCTCTTTATTTCGACTCCGTTTTAAAATAATTGATTAGATAAAAATTTGACTGACTTTAAATATCATCATTCTCAGTTATACTGGTAATCAATAAGAATCTAACAATTAATAAATGGGATGGTAATAATACCTATTTGCATTTTGAATGAATAATAATTATAACGGTCAAATAAACCATCGAATGACAACACATACATTGCCTCACTAAATTTAAAAACGATGTTCGTAGAAAGAGTTCAATTACGAAAAGCTGATTTATACCACATGTCATAAGATCTGCAATTAGAGGTAGGAAATAATTGTATAAACCAGTATTTACTGTAGGCATTATTAGTAATTAAGAAATTTTGAAAGAAAATTTGTCTAGAAAGTTTGGCTAATCGATCTTTTGTAAATTTTATAATACTTTTACAACTATCTCATAAAGATCGTATTCATTGTGGCCTTCTATTTCAGCAATAAATACTCTGGCGCTGAGAAAGAGAAACAAAAGAAACAGTTTATCCTTTGATCAAACATACCATTTATATATAACTTTATCACCCTCGCAAATAACGTTTTACCTATTCGAGCCTAAAAAGCGAAATTTTTTACCCCCACTTGGTACAATTTGATCATGATCCTAAAAAGTTGTACGATAAACGAATAATGTTCATCGCATAATTTAAATTGTTCAAGAATTTAAAATAAAGATACGCATCTTACTCCTCTGCCTCCATGAAATTGTTTAATTTCAATTCCGTTTTCCAAGATACCTATAATTACTTGGACTTGACAATCTTCCACTAGAAGCAAGAATAATCTTTTATAACTCTGACTATTCTTCTATCTGACATACATTTATTCCATCATACCAACAAACAAAGGATTCCCAGAGAAATTTAATACTGAAGGCATGTTATTGCTTGATTTTAATGTCCCGTCCAAATTATAAAACCTGGTCTGACCTTTATCAAATGCATTAAAAGCGTTAATCTTACGTAGTCTGTAAAATCATGGATAATAAAAATTTAAATTCTACTATTGGTGTCTATCAATTATAATTATTGTACCATTATAGCAAATCAAAACAGCATTTTTGTAAGCCTGGTAACAGCAAACAGGCTTTATCGTAGTAGCTACGGATCAAGAAAATAATTAATAATTTAAACAGATTTGTCGATAGATTTCAAAAGATATACTTTATATTTATTCTGAAAGTTACGCTTACACCAGTTGACATTTGGATACCAGATAGATTGTAAGTTTAGGTCAATGGTAATAAATTCGATATTCGGGCTTGGTTGCTTCGAACTAAAAGAAAAAATTTCGCTGCTAATTCTACATCATCAATTTTCAGTATTCACTAATCCATTTAAATTATTCGATAATGAAATTAAAGGCATAACCTTCCTTACTAAATAACAATGTCACATAAGTCTAAAAATGTCCAACCTTAGCTTAACACCGATGCACAAAAACGGATAATCATGTTCTTGATCAGCGAACAATTCGAATAAGGGCAAATCACCAGGAAAATTAAAAGGAAATCGCTATCCATGAAATAGAAGTGTAATAAAATTTGAATAAAGCGTAAAATAGAAACATAACAGCAATAAGATACTCACTCAGTTCATAACAGAATAAAACATTAGAGTTTAGAATATTGTTCATGAATCTTACTAAGGAAGTTTAATAGAGCTAAAATTCAATATATGTTTTGAAATGTTTGTAGGAATCGACTATATAATTGCTACAGAAGTAAATATCTAAATTAATAATCTGAAATGAAACAATGTATAATGAGACGCTCAGTTTCTTAACTACAAGAAACTGAGCAGGGCTACTCGTAAACGAATGATTAGGTATCTTATCAAAGTGAGGTAGTGCGGACCAAAAATTTGAAGCTGTCATAAATCATTGTATTCTTACTTCGATTTCTTTAAAGGTATTTTGATGTTCATCATATTGCATTAATAGTATCGATTCGGGCAATTGAGCACATAAGTACGTACGATCCTTGTGAAAGGGGTGCGTTACTACAAAAAGATCGATACGTTTTACAAATTTAATAATAACAGGAAAGTAAAATTATGCTATTCTAAATTATAGCCGTATCAAATATGCAACGAACTTACTCATAGTACACCTCTTACATCCTTTCGTATCAGTTACTTTGTTACCATTATCGAGAAATCTACAATAACAATCTAGTATTGATATAACTTACAAAGTAAATTTAACTAAAGAAGCCATATTTTTAAATCTCCTTACGGTAAATTGCTAAGTATATTAGCCGAAAATTCAACTCTCTCATATAACCGGTTGAGATTATAAAATCGAAGCATTAAAGATGAACTGTCATTCCCTATATACGTGTATATAATATAGTTGTTGTAAAATATCCAAAGGGTATTGGTAATGAAAAAAGTATTACTTTACGTAATTTAAATAACTTTTCGAGAAAATCTTTCGCATAAAGATGAATCTTTTCGACAGCAAATTAAAATATATAAAACTTATCTGAGTTAACCTGATAGCGCAGATAAAGTATCTTTATGAACAGCAAGCCATACAGTCTTTTTTCTGATTATTTGAAAAAACTGTTGATGGGTTGGCTACAGCATTCATATCCCGAAATAAGAAAAAATAATTTACTTCATAAGATTAAAATATAATACGATCACTTGGATCAATATAAAGAACATTAGTAACAAAGTATTTCCAGTAATAAAGATTACGGTTTACCTCATTCTCATTAGTGCTCATCAGAAATACACCCTCATCGGTACCAATAAGTATGCATTTATCTAAAGTAAAACAGCAATTATTGGTTCGATGAAACATCTAACAACTACAGTAATGACGATTCAATAATGAATGAAACTACTACCTTCTTCATTGCGACACCAAAATGCAACGTCATAGATATGCATAGGACAACCACAAAAGAGGGTTTTGATATTTATTTTTAACCGACGATTCTATGATTTTAAATAGCAGCATAATTAGAGAAACATTCTAGATTGAAGTAATTACATAATCTAAAGATGTTTACCTCCGGGTGCATTGAAGAAGGCAAAACTGAACGCCGTTGGGTAGGCGCACGAGGAGGAATCGGTGGTTTTTCGCCAGATTCACCTACAAGAGTTCCACTTGGACCAGCAGATATGGCAGCATGTTTAGGAGGTAATTTCGGAGGCTTATTAGGAATGGCAGGTGTCGGATTCACGGCATGATTTGAAGGCGATGGGGCAGGACGACTTGGCTAATTCAATCAAAATAGATTATAGCAATTAAAAATGTCACAAATTAGGAGGTATAAAACCAAAAATTTAATTGAAATATGGTGATATACCTTAGGGATTTCCACCTTTTCAGGTTGTCTAACCGGAACTTTATATTCCTCTGTACAGAATAAAGCAAAGTAATTACGTTATAATTATCTTCATTGTGAGATCCGATACGAAGATTCGCTGATTTTGCAATAAATAACCTGAGTAGAACCTCAGTATTTTTATAACTATATACTGTATATGTATGATATACTTGTAAGTATATCCTACCTTTTGGGTGCTTCACCGATTTGACTCTTTTCATCTCCTTAATTGTAAAAGAAATAAATATTATTTTACACGATGCTAGTTTCCAAAACCAAAGGAAAAACAAGGTTTAATCTGTAAATATCTCCATATCAGAATCTATTAATGTCAATTCCATCATTGCAACATCAAGGTTTAGGGATTTAACAAGATAAATGTAATCCAATCATGCAAATGTTATTATTTTAATAATTATTCTTTCCTCTTTAACCTTATGTTTCTTCTTTAATTGTAATTTTGCATGATATGCATGCAATAAGGCTCTCGTTGATTCTTTCGACAACGGTTGCGCAGCAAAATGGTGCTAAAAAATTCAATCATAATTCAATAGCTTACCATAAACTATCCAGCTGCATAAAGTCAGGTCAGAGGGATGATTAAATATTTTAAAGTTCGAGCTATTTTATCACCTGCAACAACTTTCCAGCAGATGGCCGTCTCGTATAATCTTTTGTTAAAGTTTCTTTAATAAAATCGTGAAATTTGACAGTCCTATTTACGAAAGTAGCATGTACAGTGTTTCAATTTCGTTATCTTTGCGATCTACGCAGTACCTTGAGGACAAGACTTACCATAAATTCTTTTCCTTCAGTTTTGGAGGTTTATAATCTGATTTACCAATGATGAGAAGAGCCCTAGACAAGGAAATGATGTCGAAGTGTTTCATTTCAGTTACAAATTGTTTAATACATAGTTTTGTCTGTTATTAAATAATTATAAATAAAATCATCTATAGTATTTCAACTCATTTCAAATCATTCAAATTCTTACTTCATAGGATGTATTTCATATAGCGGCGGCTTTAGTTGTGCTAACTCGATAGCTGTTATGCCGACAGCCCAAATATCACACTGGCAATAATAATAAGGAGATGGGTTGGTTATTATCACCCACAATGTAGAACTGTAATTTTACAAATTGGTATGTTCGACATTACCGCTTGATCATAACCCCCTTCGCGTTCAACATTGGCGACTTCGGGTGCCATCCTACGAAATAAAATACATATCACACATCCACACCTTAAAATATTCTTGTATCCATAGTCTGTCCATATTTAATTTTACATATTATATTCGGTATTATAAGAGTACTTTTCAATAGTAATTAATATACAGTATAAGGAAATACTAAGAGGGTTGCGCTTGGAAAATGTAATCCTGTAAAATTTCGATTCTATCCATTATTGTATGCCTAATATCATATTATCCAGTTAACTGAGGTGGATAGAATTAACGCAGGTTGAAACTGGTCGATAAAAATTTGAACGTACCAGTAAGGTGTTCCAATAAATGTCTGCCTCTTTTGAAATGTATTGGTTATTTGAGCGGCAACACCAAAATCGGCTATATAGATATGGATAGTTAGCCTTCAGTACGATGCTTAATATATCATCCAATATTCTAACATTAATGATATTGCATAGTTATATGATAATCTACTACTATATAACCTAATTTAATGTCGCCATCTTCCGTTAATAATATATTTGCGCCCTAGAATAAAAGTAATGATACAGTATATCTATAATTATGCTCTTGCCGTTTTCGTGATCGAAATTTTTTAAGTTTAACCTTTATATCTCGATGTAACTTCTGTTGCTGATGCAAATAATCCAATCCCTATTTAATAATTCCATTATTAAGATAGAATTTCAACAATTATGAAAAGAATTAATCTATTTTCACAGCTAGATTAGTTAGAAAAGTGCATCTCTATTACATACTCGCAAAGATTCTCGACAAACAAAAGCAATTTGTTGTTCAGTTAGAGCGCCGGTACCTATTGATATAACATGAAAGGTAATACCATACATATAAGCGACGCCTGATATAGCCATAATTGTTGCTAATGAATATACTCTACATCTGGAGTGAAAAGCTGAATTTAACAATACTATATACACATCAATTATGGTGCATTGTCAGCTATCCTATTTATCCCAAGAGATTACAGTTGTCTTACGCTTATAAATATCCTGTAATGAGCCACCGCCACAGTATTCCATGGTGATCCACAACTGTTGTCGGCTTAAATATTGAAGTCATGGAAAAACATTAATATATACGTACGCTACACATGTTAATACCTATGTTATGCATATAAAGTAAGTTAGACTTTCTTACTTTATCAACTAGAATATAATTTTCAGGTGTTAATCTATCATTTCAACTTTAGATTGATTGATTGATTGATTATTACGTCAACTTAAGTACTACGTTCTGGTCATGAACGATCAATTTATGCATTGTAAGGGAAAGTTTGGGATTGCTGTTTAATGGTGATAGTAGATATTTCTCTACAGCATACACGTATATGTATAATGCGTAGCTTTGCTTACCGAAATTCACTATGGAAATACTGGACAATATTGGGATGTACACAGCCACGAAGTATTTGTATTTCTTGTTCAATGATGGCGAGATCATCATCTTATTATCGTATCCATCAATAGAAATGAGTTACAATTAAAAGCAAGAATAATAGAAAAGTAAATTGCATGAGTAATTTTAAGATAGTTGTACAAACAAATGATGGATAAGTATGGACTGCATAGTACTGTATTGGCAGCACAATGCTTGACATGATATTAACGTACGGTCGACAGAATTAAGTATTGTCATCGCATGTCGAGTATACAAACATGTACACGTAACAGTTAATCCATTTTTATCCTTTGTAAAGTCGAAGATCATTCCGATCGTAAATTAACTCTCGTGAGCGATAATTTTGCTCTCCATAATTAACGAATTGCTCATTTTGTTAGGAGTAGGGATATCACTGACTGTCACTTCAAGATATCTACAAACTACAGTACCGCCTAAATCGGAAACCAACAATGTAGTATCAATCTCAGCTTATCATTTATCATGATTGGATTTGTTGTTAATTCAATGTACAGTACAGTATAGTAGAATTCTGGGATATTTTTGTAGCTAACATGCATACCATGGTCTACTGGTAACTATCAGTAGTATGATCAACAAAAAAACAAATCAACTAAAGACGGAAGCTAAAAATATCAATAGGGGATTTCACAAGAGAGTGACTCATACTTGCCTATCACTGTATCAATCTTACCTTCTTGTATTTTGATCACTTTCAATGCTGCAATTTGATCCGTTTGACGAACTCGTACCTAACAAGGCATAATAAACAAGATAGAAAACTGACTAGAGCGTGTGCTTGCATTATAGCAAGGTTTGCTTAGGGTTTGATTTAGGCATCAAATGGAAATAAATAAAAAATTGGCATAAAAACGAATTTATTGGAATAGGTATTTCCTTCATGTCAAGCTTGTAAAGCGTTATGATAGCGTTATGTGTAGCCTAATTTTTATTTATGAAATTTTCCATAGCGATCATGGATAGCACCGATACTAAATGTAAGATTAATATACATGGACGTTACTTTTTTTTTATCTCCTTACTTTAAAGACGTCGCCGTAACTGCCACTGCCAATCTTTTTCTTGATATCGAATTGCTCTTGCAATTCTCTCATTCCAAGCATCATGGTAGTTAATTTAGGCGTTCAACTGCATCAAATCAATAAACTGTTAGCAAATACTTTATACCTCTTGCTGATGAAATGGTGAAAAAATTGAATCGTACAACTGCCCTTGTACTACATCAATATTTATACGAATGGAAGAGTTCATCAAACATTGACAACAATAAACAGTCCTGGCTGAGTGATAGCACTATAACTACTTTGTTTATGCTTCCAATGTCGGCTACAGAAGCATATAAGTTTAGGCTTCCTAGCAATCATTTATACCAATAACCACTGCTTTCATTATACCTAATATTGAGATAGAAATAGTGATGTTTAAGTCCAATACCAGGGCAATCAATTTGAATCCAACTTGGCGAACTGAAATCTCGTCGTTGGCGTCTCTAGTTGCTTAGTGTCTAGTTGCCTCGTCTTTCCTTCCAGATCAACTTACCGGTATACAGTACAGTACAGTACAGTACACTGAGTATACGACACGATCCGTAGCACCTCTCTCAGCTCCATACTCTACTGTGCTTGAGTATGGTCTAGTATGAGCGTGTCCATTGAAAATAATATACATTCAGTGAAGTAGTCAATTGCTTTCACATCGACCTGAGAAAGGTTCGGTACGGTTCAGTTCGGTTCAATACCTTTATGATCTACAGTATAGTTTCAATGTACTCTACAGTACAGTATCTGCACAGTACTGTACAACTGAGGAATACGTAATTCCATGTGCCGCATGCGCACTCCGGACTCTGATGGCATTGTGATACCTACAGTGTACAGTACACTGTACAGTACACAGAGTACAGTACAGTACTCTGAAATTCAGAGCAGGCAGGGCTCCGAACAATAATGCTGTATTGTTCTTTGTACAAGGTGTCCAATGTCCATCCCTTGCGCGCATTCGCTATTATTGTCTATCTCCTTTTACTGGACTCCTACTAAATACAGTACATTGCCATGGACTACTCAATATTACAACTCAAATATAGATAATTAAATAGTCCAAGGCAATGTCGACTACTGTTCTATTCTCGAGCCCACAATGTCGTAGTTGCACTGTCCTCTTCTACACGAGTGACCCTTGTGCAAAGTCCGTCCATATTACGTTATAGCCCGTAATCTGTAGTTGGCCTACTCTTTTAAAGTTGTCCCTTTGATCTACTGACGTAGATCACACGATCATCACCAACAGAAAGGTTTCCCTAGTTTAGTCATTACAAATAGGATATCATACCGAGTATGGCAACATGAGAATACATATATAGATAAGCTTAATATAGTACCATAACCACATCTATATACGCATGACGTGATAATAACATCGTGATATTTAACCATATATAGAAAGAAGGTAACATACTAATTATGTAACTATTACAGAACGTGACAGGACTACTAACCAAAAATTGTACCCCTGTCGTAATCAAATTTCCCTTGTTCCTTAAAGTTCATGACCAAACTGGTAAATACCTATATTCAAACACTTTATCATAAAGGGTAAAAAAAATAAAAACAGATAATTCCTCCACTTTATATATTTTAGTCTCAGTACGTTGAAAAATATCAATCGGCTTCTTTAATCTATTGCCCATAATTCAATAATATTTATTAATTACTACCTATTTATTTATTAGCTATGAATGAAATTTTCAAATTATTTTTTGTATGATGAGCATGCATAAAGGACATGATGAAACAATTTTATATTGTAAATCATGACAAAGGTAATACTATAAGAACTTCCCGTATTTAAATACGATACAAAATTATTAGCCCTATAAAGTATTGATGTAGATTTCACGGCAACCCAGTGGCAATGCTACAAGGGTCTATCATCATCATTCATTACAGCTCCTCTCAAGTGAGCAAGCACAAGTGTCATGACTTTAGTGCTCCTTATGACGCCTTGGGAGAGTAATGGCATTCTAGCTTTATTACTAAGCTTGTGCAGAATAAATATTTCAAGCAAAGTTCATCGAGGCATTGCTCATAGCGTATAGATTTTTAAAATGATTGTCAATCACACTTCTCTAAGAGTTTTAGTGTCTTTGTATCTCTATCATATAAACGCTGTGCCCTCATTTCCACGATTTTACTCATAAATATCTAGAAATCGACCTTAGATCTTCACAATATAAATTTCCTTCCTTTTCATTATGTAGTAAAATTTTAATAATAACAGTGTCTGACATTTGCGAGGGTAATCAGAGTCAGCAGTCACCTAGATCTATGACTACATGCATATTATTGTGAAGCAATAAAGAAAATATGGCTAATAAAACTTCAGTGAAAACAATAACAAGTAACCTAGTGACGTCTTCGCGATTTTAATAATATTCCATGTAAGCATAAAATGTCCTCTACAGGTTCGTGATCATTTATATGTCTATTGTAGCGTGATATCTTAACGTTGACCTTATTTTTTTCATTCTTATATTAGAATCTGTTTCAGAATGTCGCATAATAATACAAATTAAATATGACATTCTGTTCGTTAAATACTTACAGCTGTTACTGATTAACCCTAAGCAACAACTGTAGTGTTAAAATTTGTTTAATAGATAATCTGTATATCATTGTCATTTATTCTTAAGGCAATTTCTAAATTTTGACGTTTAACTTTACAAATTACATTCTAAAAGTAGTAAATATTTCTTCTAAATAAAAGCAATGACAGCCAGAGAATCTAAATTGCGTGAATTTCCTTGATTTCATGAAGACTTGATTGATATTATTTAATAAACTCGAACTTCAGACGAGAATTTTCTGACAAATCTGGATTTTTACGTACTACTAAGATGTAATTCTTATTGCATCATGTAAATAATCAATAAAAGCAATTCTATTTAATTTTCTGTAAGTATTAATATATTGAAAGGATCTTTGTATTTCATTCACAAAGTTATTGATATGTTTTCTTTTAAATCATTTTCTCTTATCTAATTATAGCTAAAATTGCATTTATTGTCCTTTCCTGTTCAATTCCTGTTCAATTTTTTGGCATTAGTTATGTATACAGGTTAATAAATGATTATTACATGTAAATGCAAGTTTTATACGTTTTATGAATATTTCAATCGACGCTTATATATATTAAGGCCTAAAAAGTTTCAATACTTGCCTATCTTAAATTATTTATTTCTTATTTCTGTAATTATGCCTGTTTATACGCATTTATTTTATTTCATTGGTATAAATACTGATAACTATAAAAAGGAAGAAATTAAAATAAAATTATTCATCCTATGCAGACTTTTGTAAACTTTTGGGTATATTAGAAGTATTTTCGGAAGCAATGGACAATATTTCTTATCTTGCAATTACTAGATGCATGTCAGTATTAAATTCTAAATAGATATGATTCTGACCTATGAGATATACTGTTTATGTTATTATGTCCACCTATTTTCGGTTACGTTCAGTCAGTATATAATGTACAAATGTATGCCATAATTAGAATTTACAGGGAGATTCTGAAGAATGCGATTGATTTATAAACTCTACTTACTTAATTTATTCCAGTAAATTTCTTACATAAATACGCCATCTTTAGAGATTATAACGCTTAGAAAGCAATACACCATGATCAACTCTAGACGTCTACTTGAATTTGTTATAGGTTTGGAGATTTTATATATCAGGTTAATAAATTACGTGATCTTCTATTGTGTTCATTTTTAATTAAAATGATAATTACAGATTCGAACATAGTTATAACAGAAATTAATGTTTAATGAAGTTGATAATTATACTGATATCCAATATAGTATATCAGTTACCCGATATCGCAGTATTTATCAGGTAAATTTAATTAATAATCTTTTGCATACTGTATCTGCTAATTGTAAATTGTCTAGAAAATATCCTAAGGCTTGCACTATATCACGTTAGCATGCAATAACGAAAAACTTTTATAAGGCCGCTGCAGTACCAGAATATTAATATATATTCGCGAAGATTTTAATCTCATAAAGAAAATAACAATTAGAGTTAGTAACTAGCAGGCCTAATCAAAGGCTTAGTAGCTTATTTATGGAATTTACTTGTTATGCGTTCATACTTACGAACTGCATCAACATTGCTGAATAATCAAAAAAATGTGATGATTCTTGTGTTATTACTTTTAATGAAAAAAATATTGCAAAGGAGACATTTAGTCGTTTAGTAATTATCATAATAAAGCTTAAAATAATGCGATACATATGTCGATAACTAATTTTCTTAAAGAGTTCATTTTCGATCAGTTTAAAATATATTATAGCAAGCGATAATAAAATAGTATTCCGGTATATTCTCTAAGTATCTCGGAAACAATGCGGAAAGATAATGACATCTTTACATTGTTACCGTATTTAGAGATAAAAATGGTATTATAGATCAAAGACAACCCACTAGATAATCAATAAAACTTCTTAAATCCTTAATTTAGCACCGTTATACTATAATATTCCAACTAAGAGCCCGTAATTTTTCAAATAGCAATAACTAATTCTGAAGCATTCATAAGCTTTATCTAATGATGAAAAGCCAAAACTTCTATACTTAATAATACCGTTCTCTGAGTTTTTCATAAACTTTATTTGACAAAATAGAGCCTTCGCTCCTTCATTCAATCATTATCTAAGCCTCTAAAAAGCTTTACTTAAATATCTTATTTATCCATTAAGGCTACTTCAGTGATTACCATAAAGGCTTGTTTGTTTTGCCTGAAAATAGGAATAAAATTTTTTAGTTATAGTCACGTTGAAAAGAAAATATCCTTCTAAATTCATTATCTATTTTTATTTACTCGTTTTTACGAGGTGGTTACAATATTGAAATTATATCATTTTCTCGATCGCTTTTAATTTTGAATAAATTCATCCATAATGCAATGAATATAGTATTGATTACAAGATACCGGTTATAATTTATTTAAAAGCATTCTAAATAGGCAATTCACATGATAATTATCTTGCTAACTATGAGACAATATAAGTTAATAGATAGAAATACGTAAATAATTGGTTTTTTTCCATGCCCATCCAGCTGGCATATAAAAAGAAATATTGTGATATTTATAATTTATTGACGTATTCACATACAGGTTTCGTAATATAACAGGACAACACAACTTTACGTAGACACTGAATTACGATAATAAAGCATATTATCTATACAATAGCAAAATTGAAATAAAATAATGTGACTCTTATATAAAGTACTTAGCTTCATTATTTATTTTAAACCTTGCTTATTCATAATTTTCCACATGATTTCAAAGGTAAAAAAAATTTGAAATAAAAAACATTTTGCGCAGGAATGGTGATGTTAACAACAACACTTAAATTAGCAGTCATTAATCAATTATTATAATTTACTAGCTTATCGCTGATCAATTATACTGACAAGAAATCATGAAATGGACTAAATATTCACGTCAGCATATTATGGGAAATTGGTGGTGTATCATAATGGGAATTTTCTTAAATTGCCAATTTAAAAATCAACAAATTACTGTTTTATCTCTCCATGAAGATAGCCTAAAATCGATTTATATTGGTGGATCTTTTTCACTCGATGGCGATGGAACTAGTGTTGGTGACTGTCTAATTGCTACTCATTTTGCTTTAGAACATATTAACAATAATTCTAATATACTGCAAGGGTATAATTTAAAATTGATTTCGGGTAATGCTAGGGTAAGTAGCATAGTTTATTGTATCATTAAACGTTATTGGAATGTTGCACATTAGCCATTAGATCGATTTCGTTAAATGATTTCGTCTCTTTACTTCTTCTGCTTGTTACAATCCCAAAGATTTTCAACATAGTTATTTTTTAAGAATAAGTAAATTAAACGTAATTTCTTTCTGAAATTATCAATAGATTAACGACGTTTGAGGATAAGACTAACTAAAAAAAATTACGAAATATCTTGTATATTTTACCTGCCCAACGGAGCTATGAATTAAACATATTCCTACTTACTAGCAATGAAAACGATACAATTCTCTAATATTTAAGATACAACTTATACGCACTTTTACCATTTTCACACTGGCTAGATACAGATGAAAAGGCCACGAATAGTATGAAATACTTTAAGACGTTTTCAAATAATTTCATTTGAATAAATTCAATTGTAACTAAGGGCTCTCCGCGTCTAGTAGAAGTATATGACAAGGACTAAAATCTATCTATGTAGCAATATATATTCGTAAAGCCTTCCAATCTAACTATCTCAAATGATTATTACGGAAAATACAGTTATTACCTGTTACTATCTGCCTATTCTTACTTCTTTTCAATTTAATTTAACTTTCTTCAATCCACTTTCAGATAAAACACAAATATCGCTTAGTAATAGTGATTGCAACGATACATATATCGTAGAAAATGCTGCACGTTATCAAATTTTCATGGAACCGTAGTGATCTGAAACAGTTAACGAGATGTATATTCAGCAACTAAGCCTTACCAAGTGTTAAAAATTGAAATTGTGACGAGAAAAATTAAACTTCCACCAAAAATTGTTATTACTAAGAACCTACTGTCGGATTTTTCCTCCCGACAACTACCTATAACACGAATCTTAATACTAACGAACTCTCAATCATTAGGAGGTTATAGCAAATTGTACGTTTTGTCACGTCTCTTCGCGACAAAACTGAACACAAGCTTTATTAAAAAAAATCGGTCAATTTATAATGAACGTATAGAAACATTTAAAAATTAGATCATAAATGAATTATAAAATTATGCAGCTTTTCTAATAGAAAATAAAAAACAGCATTGATAAATTTTCTATCAATGTATTCTTAGATATGCTTATTTTATAAAACTAAAAACTATGACACGACTTCTATACAAAAGTAACTCTTCAACACCAAGATAAATATTTCTAGGATTTCGAACTGTAAAATTTGAATACACAAGCATCCGAGTTTGTATTTAGCAAGACCGAGATAATGCAAAATAGGCATTCTTTACCTTCGTCAATCCAGCAAAACTACTTCCTTACATAATGTAAAATGGAATTACTTTTGCAAAAATTGTTTCTACACTTATATACCGGCAACTGATTTTAGTCTACCTTTTATCGTACAGATAACTTTTGAACAACATACATATTCTACTATTCTATTAGCTATTTTAGCTCAACTTAGTATCACTCATTCAGTTGGTCGCTCAACTCACTTTTCATATATGAATAATCCCCTTAACATCTATAACTTTATTAATTAATAGATTTTACTCAATGAGCTTGCTATTGTCACAGTGTTATATGAAGATTTGCTCAAGAAATAATGATTAACATTTTTAATGAAAGATTTTACCATGACTGAATAAATTACCATCATAGAAAATTTTAGCTAGCGCAAGCACTTGCTGTACCGTTTCAGTTTCGAATTTTTCCCTTCAGGATATAATTTTCAAGCTGATTTCTTGTTTCAAGATCTCGATTAGCCTGCAACCTAATAGAAATTATTAATTATCTCTAATTTCTATTAATATTATAATTTTTCGGTTTACCAGGAGTAGATAAAAAAGCAATACTGTAGCTTGAAATTTATTTAACAAATTAAGGCCAAAAAGATCATTTTTTTAGTCATTATAATTTCTCTATCTTAAGATAACTTGCAACACTTATTAACAAAATATAGGCGATTATAACGTAGCTTATGCTAATCTTGGGGGTTATCTTAGCTATCCATTGTAATATTTTGCTGCTCTTTATCGCATATGAATCCGATTAATATTTAAAATAACGGTAATACGAATGATTTATGATGAATTAAATCATTCTTTTGATGCTATTAGTATCGCATATCCAGCTAATAATTCAGCACAGTTAACAACGAGCTGTAATATTATTATTATTATTACTTTGAATTTGTTTTGGAGCAACTCCAAAGATATACAGTTATCGACGCTTTCGCTTGATATTAGCTGAAATAAAATAACTATAATTATGTCTTATTGATTTTATATTAAGATTTACTGTGTTAATGTGACGAGCTTATTCTCGAATATTTTAGTGCAATGCTGGTGTTGGTATGAAGGTCTTATTCCATCAATTGAGTACACCTCCGAAGAAGCTTATGATATTGGGATCTGCTTGCTCCACTGTAACCGAACCAATGGCACAAACTTCCAGAGAATTCGACCTTGTTCAGGTTAATTTGATATATGCTCAACTTTATTCTTGCGTCTTTAGTATATGAACTGTGGCTTACTGTCCTACGTAATCGTGATCGAATTTCCATCGCAATAAATAGTTTCAATCTTGATACCGTGCATTTATTGCTATAGACTATTGCTTAAATGGCTCAAACTGGGTGAAAATAATACGTATGTGTGATTCTATCAGCATTATGCATGATTATTGTGACTATATTGTAATTTAATCAAATATAATTTAACAATGCACGTATTAGTATAGATATATTAAAACCTTTAGTAGAGCTTTCATTCAAATTTTGACGCTACTGCGATAGAATAATTATATTGTAATAGTTGAACATATTAAAACCATATCAGCTGTAAGCATGGCTAATTGAAGCATGTATAAATTAATTTATTTGCCCTATACTGTATTCAAATTGACTTACTGTCTTTTGACTTTTGTCACAATAACGTACTTAAAATATTGACTAGCTAAAAGATTATTTCATGCATGGTAGCTGCAATGATTTCAATGCTTTATTGTCATGTGTGGTATTCTCACTACTACCACGATTGAGGCTTATGTTTACGGAATTATTAAGATTTCTGATCATTGATATTTTTTGCTCGTCTAAACTCCAATTACAAACTTAATATGCCACTGGAAGATAGCTGAAAGTTGTTAGTAACAGCGTTAATAAAGTTGAAGCACAATTAGCGCAAACTTATACAATTGAATCGTTTCGTCATCAGCTACTGTTCATCAAAATAATTTTTAATCAATATATTACATACTACATGTATTATAACTTTTATTTCGAATTTATTGTAATGGATAGGATTTACATATTATTGTTCACCAAAACAGTTTTATTCAATATATTGCGCGCTATTATAGTAGTTATATCGAATTGATTGCTACGGATAAGATATATATGTTACTATATATAGAATATCCTATAGCTATAACAATATTTTTATATTAATATCCTAGTATATAATTTTCAATCATTGACATTAAATGCTGACATCCAAGATTTTACATCGCGCTATTTATTATCTAAAGAAGTATATTTTAGAAAACAGATGAGAAAAGTTTAATCTAAATAATCAATACAGTGATTATAAGTTTAATATCTAGTCAAGGTAAGGACTTGACTTAATATTTATATTTCAACAATAGATTTCCTATGCATCAGTATCACCAGCACTTAGCAACCGAAAATTTTATCCTAATTTTTTTCGAACGCGTTCATCGGAAAATGAACGAATCAAACCTAATTTCTCTATCCTAAAACGATTTAACTGGAAAAATATCGCTGTAATGGTGGAATCAATCAACTTGTATACCTCGGTATGGTCCTGATTATAATTTACCGTACGATTCTTGATGAATTAACGTTCTTTCCTTATCAAAAAATGATTTAGCTTCCATTCAATTATAACTATGAAATAAGTGATTTTCTTTGCAGTAAATACACAATAAAACCAATTTACTAAACTAATTTGGCACAAAATACGAAAATTTATATCGTCTTTAAAAAAATGAGCCGATCTTTTAATTCCAATCTGCATACTTATATACTTGATTTATTACTACTACTGAATACAAATTTAGACAGTTTTCTTTAATAATCATGCTTATTTAGATTCCCATTACACCATTAATTAGTAATAATTTAATAGTAAATATTTATCTTGAATTTAGATCTTGAAAAATCAGTTAGTGATCTATTTCACTTTTATGCACATTAGAGATCTTAGTCTTCACTAATTCTCTTGATATAAAAATTAAGTCATTTTTGGAGATATTCAAGAGCGTATAACCAATTTCGATTCCAAATATAATTTCAGCTAGCAGATCGTATCATTAGTATAGCCAACTCATCTGGAATCAATATTGTTGTTTCATATACATTTGAAACAAATAAAGATCCGTTGCAAGGACTAAGCGTAATCAAGGTTTGTGCTATTGTAATGCTAAATTTAGAATACAATAAATGCTACTCTTGTAATCTGTTATGATAGGAATGATTAAAATTAGGATATTGGCGGCACTTGTGACTGTCAGCAATTTCTTTTACATCTCTTTTAAAAGATTAAAATTATTTATGTGTTAGTAATTAAATTAAAGCTCATAAAAGTCTATAGTGAAAGTGAAGAGAGAATAATAAATTCCATACGAAAGACCAACCTAAAATAGTACAATTATGATCGCTTTCCTTCACATTTCCGAGAATACATTTATTGATTTAAATGAAACGTAATTTATAAGCATATACGCGTATATATGTATTGGTGTCTTTTTTCTTATCAATAAGAATTAATTACACGTCCAGAAGTTTGTTTACTTTATCTTCGGTAATACTAACTAATTAAAATATTCAGTAGCAAGTTAAGTATTACAATATATCAGTTCATTTATCACAAATAATTTATGAAATATTTAATACTAGGCAGTATTCAGAGTAAATTAACATCGTTTGTTAGCATGGACATAAGATAATTAGGCACAGATAGGCCATATATAACTAGTTCGTTATTTAGGCTTCCTACGCTTTTGACTTTTACGATTATAAAAAATACGGTAGTTACTAGCCAATTTAAAAATCTAACTGTAAGCATGCTTTTGCTTCGGTATTTGGAATATTAATTAGATAACTTTAAAAGCTGCTTTTACATAGAAGAACACTAGTGTAATGATTACAGCAAATTATAGTAATACAGTAGGGTAGCTAATAGGACGAGACTTTGGGTTACATAGGCGAAGCAGTAGTAATAGCAGGAGACTTATTCGTTCATTACAATTAGACGATCTACAATTTATTCTCATTCTTGAAGCAATAAATTTTTCTTTAAGTGATTGATAATGACCGTCTTTGTTTGATTGAAATCTAGCAAACACTATGGAATCACTTAGCTCAATACTAGTATTCATGCCATTAACTCAAATATCGCGTAAAACTCAATCTGAACTACGAAATCACCATAAAACGCATATTTTCAATCGATCTATGAATATCGATTACACGTTCATGTGTAGATCTCATTAATTACCCAGTCAAAAATGAAGTAGAACATGCTTCTTCCTTCTATACGTATAAAACATTAAAAGTAGATTGGGATTTATATCTAATGCCGTTGGCATTCTACCCGTTATTATAACAGTAATTCTTAGCGATTCTGACTCATATTAAAGTCTATTGTATCATCTTCAGGAATTGCAGATTTTTACTTTTATCGTAATTAATAACAATATGCTTTCATTTTTGTAGAAATCTTCTGTTCGAATAATATACACCGGCTTCTTCCCTTCGCCAGGCCGCCGTCTATTATGTCGTGTAAGTGAGATTTCGAAAATTAAATTACAATAAATTTTTCCAACTTTATAAACAGTCAAAAGTAACCTCTCTCTACTATGTAACTTTGATGTAATAAAACCACGGCAATAATTTACTTTCGCTGCATATCTTTAGGCTTACCATCTGGGTCTAACTCCACCAAAGTACACTTGGATTGGCCCTGGTTGGTTCACCCAACCCTACTGGTGGAGAGGACGCGATAGTGGCAAAGTTGTTATTGGCAATGTAGAATGTAGTGATGCTGTTATGGATAGTATGGTGGAAGGATTTTTCTCTGCTGATCCTTTACCACTATCGCCCAACAAACTACCGACAGTTTCTGGCCTGGTTAGATATTGAAATTGAGTAAATATTACTTTTATCGCAGCTGATACATTCTTTTCAACTTTTTATTCATAAATAGACACCTGGAGAATGGATACAAGATTATGACATATATCGTCAACAGCCCCAGTTTCATGAATTTCTAGGAGGCAAAAAGTTCGCTGGATTTACATATGATGCAACTTGGGTTATAGCTTTAGCCCTTAACAATTCTATGCAACGTCTAGTAGAGAATAATAAGACTTTAGAGGAATTCGATTATAATGATAAAGTGTACCTGGATATCTTCAGGTCGGAAATGGCTAAAACTAAAATTGATGGTGTGACGGTATGATAATCAATTAAGATACTAAACAGTGCTGATAAACATTTTTTAATACACTAACCATATTTAAAATTCTCATACTTGATGCATTCCAAAACTGATTTACTGATATATCACGAAATAGTATACCGGTAAAGTTACTCATTGATAAAAAATCAAAAAGATTCAAATTTAACCTAGATTACTAAATACAAAATGGTTCCATATGTAAAATCATGCAGGAACTTATACGATACAAAAGTCTTATACCTTCAAGTAGTCACTAAAGGAAATTTTTCAGCATGAAATCTATTACGATTAGAATGATGAGTAAAAGAATATTTAATAAATGAGTAATTTATAATTCATAACTAGTATCATACGACAAATGTTTCATTACAAAAGTATAATCAAGTTGGTTATTAGCGTAACATTAATCGCAACAGTAGCTAATATATTCTTCATTCTCGATATAAAAATAAGCCTTTTTATGCTAATTTTAGGGTCCAATCGCGTTTACTGAAGCAGGAGATCGATTAGGAGTTGCAATGCTGGGAAGACTAGAAAGTAACGACGTATAATAATTTATTTCCTAGCTACTATTCCACAATTATCTTCGTGTATTCCTATCTTTAAAGTAACCTATTCCAGTCGCATCTTTCTTGTCTTATAAAATACAATCAAAACCAGTTAGCAACGGTTTATATGCGAGATATTCATTTAATACTTTGTTCTATAATATAATCTATTTAACTATTATTCGACTATTTTGCAATATTAAAATTTAAATGTTACAATAGAAAAAGTAGTAATAGTTCTTCCAATCTTTAATATTAAGTTTGCCATGTGCAAGAACTTAATTTTATTTCTCGCGTAATATCGGAAATTTGATATAATTCTGCAAGAAAGAACGCTTTCAGTACAATACTAGTATGCATTCCATTTGACGATATGAATTTCAGAAATAATTCTACCGTTATCAAGGACACCCTTATTGCATGATGTTTATTGATAATACATTTTGCTTCCTATACTAAATGCACCAGAGGGAAAGAATGTCGAGATTGGATTATACTATACAGAAACGGACAATGTAGTGTGGAATAATTCTGTCAACATTAGCTGGGGAACTAACGGTAAGCTATTTTAGTACACTTACTAGGTACGGTATTTAGATTAATCAATATCGGAATATATTATTAAGCTCAAAAGAAAATAGAATAAGCTACTTGCAACAAATAGCATTCATTGCAATCCTAATCTTAAAGGACTATTATCTAGCACAATGAGTATATTGATTATTATTCTGTATAATCATCAACTACACAAACTGGCCTTGATAACGTTATTCGGTTAAGGATAAACAATTTTAACCGTTACTGTATTTTGCATATTATTTCAGACGGGAAACCACCAATTGATCTACCAGCTATTAAAATTCACAAAGATACTGTTCCACTCTTCCTATATATTACTATGGTAGTGCTATCTGGATTTGGAATAGCCCTGGCATTGTTTTTTATGACATTTAATATGTTATATCGAAATAATAGGTCAGTCAAGTATGCCATACATTGGTAGGTCACGGTATATTAAAATTTCAACTACCTCAAATTTAAGGACTTTTTACTTTCATACGATAACATCAACAGAATTATCAAAGTAGCTAGTCCAAATATCAACAATATCATTGCCGTTAGTGCCATATTCTGTTACCTATCCATTATCTTTCTTGGTATGAATGCGGAATCGGTCGGTACAAATAAGATCTTATTGCGAACCGCTTGCTGGGTAGGTGGCTTGATTTGTGAAATTATTAGCTCAGCAAACTTAACCTAACATAATTACTAAATTATCCAATTTTAGTATTGTTACAATTCACTCGAGGTTAAATAAATTAGATTTATTTCGCAATAACACTGTAACATTTTCACTTATTAATGAGTTACGAAGGTTCTTTATTAGTCTATCAGAGTTTTGATATCTCAGACTCAATAGCGGAGGGGCATCACATGCTATGAAATTGTGCTGCTAAAGTGAGAACATCCTTTCACTTAAAGCGCGTAGCCTTACATACCTTTACTATTCTACTCTGGGGAGATACAAACCGGTTATTTCCTAGGCTATCACTTATACAGACGTAAACAAAATAAACCAGTAAATTAACAAAGGATAGTTTATGTCTGTCCAAACTGGTAGACATTAAAATATCATAAGTGAGTCTCTTTAACAATCAATATCAAGTTATCCCTGATTTATAAAATATTAGATACAGAAATATGAAGCCAGTATCATAACAAAACTAGCATCGTATCAAGTACATAAAACGAGTATATCAAAAAATTTTCAATATAAAAATAATAAGTACATGCGAATACTAGCATAATCAATGCTTCATAATGCAGAAATTTATTCTCTAAAAATGCTATAAAGTGATTTATAATCGATGCAGATATACTTACTTATTCGATCATTTTCTACAATTATAGGCTAGAACATGGTTACTCTTACTTGGGTTTATGACAGGATTTAGTGCATTATTCACCAAGACTTGGCGTTTGCAAGTTATTTTTTCTAATAGAAGTGCTAAAAGCAAGGTAGCATACAACACTGTTGACCAGAACAATCATTTGAAGGCAGTCTGGCATTCATTTTTGTGCCAGTTGATCGCTAGCATTTGAAATAGCCCATGACATGCATTTTGGACTGTTTTAGCCTTACGGAAGCGATTCAAGTGTCACCAAATAAAATAACTTCTTTTTAAAATTGCAGGTTATTACGAATCAGCAATTGTATTTATTTATTGCTATGATAGTCCTGGTCGGTATCGTTATTCTAACGGTGCAAGCAGTTATCGATCCGATTCGAATCATAGAACGTAATACTACGGAGGTAATTTCATTGGACTATAATGTGTAACTGCTGGCTTTCTTGCAATAAAGATTCTATTACTTAGGCGTAATAGTAAGGAGAAAGTAGACTTTTATCATATGCTACGACTAGTAGCACTAAAATCTTGAATAACTGTCACTTCCAGGAAACTAGCTTGAATGACGATATAATAATTATCCATAACAGCATTACTTGCTCGACTAATATGCCCGCTGTATGGCAGATAACTATGTTAGGCATTAACGGAGTTCTGTTAGCTTTTGGGTTATCGCTGGCTTGGAGAACTCGTAATATCTACATTACTGCTGCGAATGACTCAAAGTATATAGGTTTAGCTATTTATAATGTCAGTGTTTTCGCTGGAACAGCAGTTGTTGTGGGATTAGCTGTTAGCCAGTCTGCCATTCGATTTGCTATGCTATCTGCCTTTATTTTATTGTCAACGACTGGATCAACATGCTTAATATTTATACCTAAGGCAAGATTACTGAAGGAACTATTCTAGTATCACTAAAGTAGTATAACATGTCGCTTGCCGTTGGCAATAATACTAGATCACCCGCAATTATCATGCACATAATATCTAATATTGCCGGATTTTACTTTATAAATGAATCGATTACAAGTTTAGGTTGTAGATTTCAAAGTTCAGTATTTACAATTACCGTGATAAATGCTCCAATAAGCGTAATTAATGTAACTTGTGATTTTTATTTAATAAAAAAGATTGTTAAAATTAAACGGCAAGGATTATCTATATCACGGATTGGAACTCTGGAAAACCGACCTAAATCGACAATCAGATCGAGAGGAGTCGTAAGTCAATAATGAATAGTTATATTGTTAATCAAGCAAACATAGTCTTAAAGACAGCATTGCAAATAGTGATTAGTGGCACAAAATTATAACAAGAATTTTCTACTGTACTGTGAATACTTTATTATTCAAAAGTAACCTTATCTAGTATTTATTGCTTGCTGTAGTATACAATTAAATAATTACGAATCTGGAATAATATATAAAGTATTTTTATGTTTCGAGTTAACTTTTTATACAAGATTTCTTCTCACATTTTAGATAGATAACATAGATAAGTTTTCTCTGATAACACCATTTTTAGTATTTCAGATACGTTGTAAAGAAATTTACTTGCTCCTATTATACCATATTGTCTAAGTACTGATAGTAATAGTTATGCTTATGTAATTACACTATAAATTAGCTTCTTTTTTATCATAATCTAGATTTATAATTTAATTTGAGGAGGGACATACGGTTTACTTGAGCCCTCTGATGTTAGGTGATAATCGATCGAGTCCTATAGCAGAAAGACGTAGGGAAGAACATCCTTTGAGTCGTACGATACATAGATATTCAGATGGACAGCACTTGGCTCATAGTGCACAATTTACTAATCTTAGCATTAATTTCCTCTTTACAAACTTTGGCAAACTGATTATTTTTTACTTTATTTGTTACGGCAATTGCATTGGCAGTACATTTGCAAGTACTGCTTTTGTTCATGTAATTGCTATCAATAGTAAGCAAATTCTAAAGTAATTGACTGTTACAGTGTTATATACTGTATTAGAGTAGAAATATCTATGTTAGGATAATTCTATCAGACTATCCTTATTTAGTTAACTTCCAATTTGGATATACTGTATTTTAATATAGCACTGACTTTTTATGACAGTGACACTTATACACATACTGAAATTAATAGTTATAATAGGGAATGAAAATCCTCTGCTTACAGTTCGAATCATTGTGATTGTAATTTACTTATGATAGACTGTAAATTATCATGGAAATGTTCCGTGATAGGACATATCGTAATCTGACTATTCTGTATTAGTCATTATATGTCTATGTTCGTAAATACTGTTGTCTGCATTAAGGGAGCAGTAGCTAAAATTAATATCTAATTCAGTAAATGATTCTAATGTTAATTGTATTAACTATGACTCATGAACTATTGAGGAATAGTATATAAATGCAGTATATCGTGAAATAAAGAAGAATTGTCCAACTTAGTGTTTAACGTAAAATACGAGGCATTTAAGTCTTTGTGTAGTCTGCTAGTAGAGCAAAAGTGTTTGTGATAGTGCAGATATCGTTCCTTGATACGTGGTTCAAGGAATTGACTTATTGATCGTATATTGCGTTATCTTGTTGCAAAGCTGTTTTGTGACATTGACATTTTGTAATCACTATAGCATGCTTAAAGTGAGTTAGACAGTACTTTCAATCTGCAGTCAATTATTTTAATGACTATTCATTTAATCTACCTATATCTAAATCTCTAAGAAAGTCAAATTTCAGGACTACTTAAACTATATATTAGAAGAATATTATTATATTGGTATCTTTTTTGACAAGTGAAGAACTGAATATCAATAAAACTAGAATGCTAAAATAACGGAGATAGTCTTCTTGATTCAGTAATTGCAGCATGATCAGCATAAATTTTATTAATCCCTTGATATTAAGACTACTGAATAAGCTAAAGACTTTCATGCTTCATTTAGACAAATACAGTGCAGTCTCAGACAGGAAGATCCACTGAAGACATTGTAAAAGAAAAAGATGATGAAATTATTGAAGTAAGTTGATGATTTAATAGAAAATGTCATTTCAATTAGTTAAAGATTGTTCCACCATTTCCTCTGTAGAATATACCTAAAATATTTATTAAATATTGCTGATAAAAATCTTTCTTTTAATAACACTCTAATCTTTTAAACTAAATATTTGATGTTGATATTTGTTAGTTGCATAAAACAATTGAGGAATTGAGAGCCTCCATAGAAATAATCAGAAGTAAGGCTTTTGATACAAGACATGAGGCCATTGCAATAGTAGGGGTAAGCTGCAGTAAATTATAACTATTACTGTTGTAAAAGGAAATTTAGTGGTTGAGCGTTAATCGATAGAAATTAGCTGTTTTAAGCTGAAAGTAAAATTGTATTATCTACTATTTATTTAATTTTAATACGTTAAATAAATTTTAAAAATTTTTACTATTGAAATGTCTTTAATCTGGCTTGTAAAATTATTCTTAACCTAGGGGTCAATGTAAAGCAATTATTTAGATCTAAAAAAAGATTGCAATCCATTTTCAAGATAAGGCAGAAAAAAAAGTATTTATTATCGATCTTCAAACAAATCCTATTACCAGAGTGAAATGAATAGCATAAACCTATAAAATTTAAGTGTAAATTACCTACATTATCGATCAATATAAATTTTATCTAGTTATCTTAAATGTGATATAAAAGGTGACTTCATAAAATATTTTGTATTAAAAAAGCGCTATTGTAAAGTAAATTATCAACAATCCAATTGAAAACTGTAAGCCTGTAAAATTTATAAATTGAAAAAGATAGCATTATCATCTGATATTACCATTGCGATCTAGGAGTATTCCTAACTTGCAATATAAGTTACGAATGTGTTTTTGAATCTATCCTACCGTAAATTGAAATACCTGTCAGTTGATATTCCTATGTAGATATAAATGACCTTTATCACATCACAATTTAAATCGTACCGTCCACAATCTATATCTGGTTACGTAATCTCGGCTACAATATCATTGTAGCCGCAAAGCATGTACTATTTTGGTACGGTGAGTTAACACCGTGACATAAAATAGTCATCACCGCTGAGAAGGATGTAAAAAGGTGAATTCTTCTGGAGGAATTCAGTCGATAACCTGAAACTAGCTGTGTGTAGTTTACGCGGCCTAAGCTTTACTACTGTTATACTCAATAATCTATTTTAAGTAATAGACCATTTTTGACCTCTATTAGGAAGCTAATTAATGAGAGACAAGTTTAGAGTAGGGCTAGAAGTAGTAATTTATTACGAGCTAAATAGTGTAGCTCACAACAGTCTGATGTTCTAGTGGGAATTTTAAATTAGACTGATACTATACTCGTTTATTAGCACGATCATCTCGTAGTAGGATTATTTATAACGTAAATTCGTAGAAAGAATCAGAGATATTTCCTAGGTTGATACCACAGTCACAATCATCTGATAGATTTGATTTGAAAGAAAACATAATTTAGAAATTTGAAGGAAAATTAATTCTGTATTCAAATTAAAGAAGCAAAAGCCCCGTTCTTCTTTATTCATAAAACAGATGGATGTAAATTATTAATTTTAAAGTATTGATTTAAAAGTGTAACTAACAAACCTGGACCTGCAATTGGCCATTTGAATAAATACATGGTATACTTTGCCTATGAGCCTTTTACCTATATTTTCTTTGTTGCTTTTATCACCACATCTTATATCATGAATGATAAATTATTTAATTTTTAAGTCTAAACAAAGAAGAACAATTTTTCATGACAATAATATAAATACAAAGTAGAAATTTATTGACTATTTATTCGTTTATTTTTTCAAACTACAACCATGTTGTTGTCAGTTTCTTTGAAAGTGCCGCAATAACAGGAATATTTATTACTTTCCTGTTTATCGAAATATTTTAATAAGTCTTGATTTGATTTATTTCAAATTTTGGGGGAAACGGTTTTCTCACGTCTACACGCTTAATTGGTTTGACCCCACTTTAGGTCAAATTTATAAAATAATTTCCAAATTCTTTCCATAGTCTCCGTCGCAATCATTGGCTCAATATATCACGAATTGCTTCTGGCATTGAATCTAATCTAAAATCGTTAACAATGTTAACGTCATGGGTCAAGTTATCAATAACGTATGCAAAATTGGTAATGTATTACTAATAAACTACTTATAAGAAAGTAGATTAACAATTGCAGTCATTTCCTACCCGGTGGTATTACATTACAAAATCAACATTTCGTTCAATGCCTTTACTTTATAATGCCATATGCAGTTACGGCCAAATCGAAACTAAGTTTTAGTGTTGTGAGACAATATTGAAGGAAATTAACTTCCATTCTTTATATCGACAAATAAGTCAATTTAGGAGATTATTTGTGGGAAGCCCTCGAAAGATATCTGGCGACATAAATCTACATATATCAAAATTGGTGGATTATCAGCTTATAATAGCAAATTTAAATTTTTATTTTTTCTTAGACATTTCATTGAATTTATCAAATTTCTATTAATCCTAAAGATGCACTCACAAGTAGTAAATGTATGAAATAAAATTTATCAGGGGATAACTTCAGCTAACCTTTATACTGAGACTTTACATTAAAAAGTAAATTTAGCAATGCGTTATGGGATAATTTAAAATCTCCATTTGTTTCTAACGCAATCTTGAAATAAGTTTATTTAAATTTATAACTATATTTCTGATAGAATCCGGAAATAGATATATCGTGACATTGAATTGCCGTATTTTTAAAATGATTTTAGCCCAGCTTATCATCGTATCTGCTGGTAAAGGGCATTCTAACATCATTGCCTCAGACTGATGCAATGTGATATTTGAAAAAATGTAAATTAGATGATAAATTATCAAATTGATATTTAGCATCGTTGAATAATTTACGTCGCCAAAGATAACTTACATTAATAGAAATAATAGGGAGGCAATGATTCATCATCCATCATTTACTGAAATTTTATTATTAAAATATGTCTATTCATTCCCATTGATCAAGAACAATATTAATAAGGTATTATGCTAGATCTTAATTATATTAGCCAATACTTAGTATTGTACTATACTAAACGACAACGTTTTTAATATTTGATGATTTTAAAAGTTACTGAAATGAATAGGATCAAAATTACGTGCGTATGGGGAATGCTGAGGCTTAGATGTTTGATCTTTTCGATATGAAGTTAATTATTTTAATTGAAGGATTTTTATTTAATGCAATATCCTTTTGACATAAGGCTATCCAAGAGACGATAAATTTGACTATCAGAAGTTGGATTTAGTCCTACAAAGATAAGAAATATTGGAATGGACGCATTGTATTAAAGAACCTTTGTATATCCGATCTATAAACGCCAAAAATTTTTTCCCGTCATTGTTATGTTGTTTTAGGCTATATAAGTTCAGATCATTTTAAAAATTGCAACTTTGCATTAATTTTACCATCAATAATCGTCATTATATAACAAATTTTCATCACACTTAAAAATTTGAACAAGCTGCATCTATCTAGCGATAAAATGAAAAAAATCCTTATTGGCGTTTATTTCACCATCAATGTCTATTGTATTTATGTAACAAGTTCAACACTTCTTACAGGCCAAAATTTTTCAATTGATAAATTGGAAAATGGAGCCAAAACCGCCATTACTATAGGAGGTACTTATTCACTTGATGGTGATGGCACATTTTTCGGTGATTGCCTAATAGCCACTATGTTCGCTTTACAACACATCAACAATGACTCAAAAATTTTGGATAATTATCATTTAAATCTTACTTGGGGAAATACGAAGGTAAACATTGAAAATACTGTTACAGATTTTCTTCTCTTAAGTAACTGAAATTTCTAAATTCTATCAAGTGATTTCGGAAACTATTGGTTAAAGTTAGCTGTAATAGAATGATTGATTCAATTGTTTCATTCTTCCATCGCTTTTTCGATGCTACATTATCTTTTAGAATTAAATATCGAGATAACTATAATTTCATAGTAAACATTGTAAACAGCGCCCGTAGTCAGAAAATTGAAGCTGGTTCTTGCTACATCTCAGAGTATAGCAATTTTATTTACTGCGTAGAATTATGACAAAATTTTATTAACTTCAACTTTCAAAATTTTTAATATTATTATTTTGACTCGTGCATGCCAAGATATAAATATAACTGGCTAAATTCTGGTTTATAAAGTCAGAATCTCTGAATTACATAATATCCGTGGTATGTTCTCTAAAATATTTTCAGGGCAAATATAAGCGACTTCTGAGGATTACCTTAAGGCTTCTCCCTTATATTATTGCTGTTTCTAAATCTAATAGTAAGGCTAACTTATGAACTACATCTTTTCTAGTAGATATTTGTCGATTTAATATAATTCTATAGTTCAGGAAAGTCTTCTTCTAAGCTTGTAATTTGTATACGGAGTTCGGCAGGGGATTTGTATCATATCTGAGGCAGGAACATGATGCTATATGCTATAAATTAATTACTCCCCAACTACGATAGATCAAATCGATAGAATGTAAGGCCAATGAGATTTTTACAAAGTACATGCTAATTTAATTATCAAAGAATGATTATAAATAACCAAAAATTAGACAAAGTAGCTAAACAAATATCAAGCCGTATTAAGTGTATCTAAGAAACAATTTCAAGATGTAATTTGTAATTAGTAAGGCATCTATTGACTATCATACTTGCATAACCAACAGAGGTACTGTGTAATGTGCAGAGTTCTCCTATTTGCTAAGAAAATTATTGATTAAAGCCGCTCTTGTGGTTTTGGCAGTGGACTGAACAAGAGTGATTTGATACATTTATCAAATACAAATGGTAGAAAGCGATTAAAAATCTTGATTCTCTGTTTTAGCTATGTCAAAAAGTTGTCTTTACATGACACGAATTTTTCTAAAAATAATTGGATGAAAGAGGTATTGAGTATAGAAGCGTAATTTATACTTGAAATAAGTTATAAAAATGCTATAGCTATTGGAGTATGAAATAAGATCGAAGAAGGATCGAATAGGAATTTTTTTAGTTTATTTCAGTGGTCTTGCAGTTTTTATCGTCGCATAACGATAACTCCTCCGGTAGCTGAATTTTGTTTTGATTCCTGATAAGTAATTGTGATTCAATTATTTTTCAACTATTTCAAACACTTTTAATTTATACTATCGCTCTCGCAAGCATTTCGTACTAGTTAAAGATTTCCTAATATACGTTCATGAAGAATGAATATGGTTCCACCTAGGATACTGAAAGCAAGCATTGTTTACCACGTGTATACCAATTAAGTAATGATCAGGATAATATTATCATATTTTTAACTCTGAATAAAAGCACTATGTAATGGATAAATGTTTGTATCTAAAATCATAAAAGAAAAATAATTATGATCCTATTAAACTAAAACATTCTGATATTGTAGTATTATTCTTTAATGAACCAGGAATTTTAATTATGAAATACAGTACCTTTCCTTACCCGTTTGATAAATTAAGTCATAGACCTTTAACTATTGCAATTTGGTGGTAATTTCCATAACATTTATCGAACATTTAGATGTAATTGTTTCATTTTATAATACTAATCATTAGTTTTAAATGATAGAAAAGAAACTTCGACTCTTAAAGTTATTTATAAACGGAAGGAGGGATTGCGACAATAGCTGGAGCATTGAATGTATGGCCATGAAATTATAGTTATGTTATAGATTATGTCAATCTGTCTAAAATTAAATCAGATTTTAATTTCAAATAAAGATATTTATTTATTTAGAAAAACTTTTTACTATTAATTAATTTTCGAACTAATTGTGGAAAAATGTAACAAGCAGTAGTTAATTTGATTGAAAATAGATGAAAACTATATAGGCGACCATTATCTCATTGAACTTTACGATTACATAATATCAGTAGTATTAATAAACATTCCTAACATTGTCATAAGACACAAGAGTCATAAATATGGTATTTATTTTCATAGTAATAATGTAGGGAAATAAAAAGTACTAAATTTACATAAATATATAATACTGAACTGTAATCCTATCTACGCGATTCATTATTTTAATGAGAATACTTAGCCAGACTGTACTGTCTGTTGTTTACAGTCTTGTGTTAACAAATTTTAAATATACGATTTATTTCTTACACAATCTGTCAAATTTGACTCTATACAGTACTACTTACTTTTAACAGAATGAACTTGTTTTCGGGAAATACCTTAAATTAATTAAGATTCCTGGTTTACTATGCGTCGAGTAGGAATTTGATAACTGATTTTTTTCTACCAAAATAATTCTAACTTTTGATTCTATATTTCATAATCTCCGTATTACTTCACCAAAATCAGATTACATCTTCCTATTCTAATATAATGACTCATGTATAATTAATGTGTTGAAATAAGAAATGTTTAATTTTTTATTTTTCAATCTATTGATCTTTTGTAGATCTTCTATAGTATTTAGCACATTTATTTCTATAATGTCGTGTTCAATCTTCCCACGTATTTATAAAGGAATATTGTTACAATAGTTATTTATCCATTCTAATGAAAGCTAAACTACCCGGTTTATAATTTTTATTTCATATTATTAGCAACATTATACAGAGATTCAAAATTATACCAACATTGTGCATAAATGTTCCATAACAATGCTTGTATTTTTAGTTCTAAAATCTTGTACTTGGATATATTTACTGGAATAATATGATTTATAAAAATGATAGTAATTAGGCCATAACATTACAGATCAATTCCGTTATTTCACTCTTTTAAATTTATCACTCGATATTCGACAATATATATTAAAGTATATTTCGTAATGCAGAAAAATCGATTTGCTCTCATCATAAATACTATCGCGCTTATAATATCATCATCACATTACTTTGATTATCGTATATAACGTCTATGATAAGTTTAGGGATATTCAATTGATGGCATCATGATTTCGGAAGTTTTATGATGCATTTTCTAGCAATTAAGGTTATTTGATAAAAAGCCTATGGCTGGTACATAATGCGAGATTTTGGTAATGAGTGTTATTTAATTGTTCATTTATTGTAAGCTAATTTTATCAGCATGACGATATTACTGCCTGAAGGTACTGCGCTTGAACAGTGATCAAATTTTATTTATGAGATTAATTTCAATTTATAGTTTCACCGTTACGATGCTAAATGGTTCAAAATAAGTCTTTGTTTGAAATTTATTTTCTAAAATTAAATTCAACATTATTCTGTCACGTGAAATTCATTTGAACATGATGAATTATGACATGACTTATTTCTAGCGCACTAGACTAATAATTTGATATTCTAAAAGCAAATTTCCAACTAAACAATAGAGATCATATTAGAAAGGAATTCACACGTAAATTTGCTTCTTTTAACCTTATCTTGCTCACCTGGATCCAGTAAGCCGCTTTTGGATAGCTTTATTGTTAAGTTAAATTAAATCAACTACATGAAGATTTTGTTTATTATTGTGTTATTGAAAGTGCTTACATATCATAATTCTTCCGATGAGATAGAAACTAAATCAATAGATTTTCTTTGTTACTGAATGTCCTTTAAATATAGTTGAAGCATAAGACCATATTAAAATTTCAATAGTGAAAGAGGAATTCTGTTTTTAGTATTTTAAATTATAGATATTTAATAGAATTTTCTGGCACATATGGATCATTTATATCGAATAAGCTATATACCTATTTTGTTATTTCTGTATACTGACAACTCCGGCCATCGCCTTGTAATATTTTTAAAATTTGAATTAGAATTCACAACGGCATAACTAGAAATTCTTAAAATAGAGTGTAATATTAATATAAATGATATTAAAAATAGCTGAAACCGAAATAATAGAGTTTCAGAAAAAGATGCATACCAATAAATTATTACGATTGGTCAAATTGCTTCAAACGGGCTGCCAAAGTAAACACTTAAAAAATAGTAGTTACCGTGAGCTACTTATATTTTCCTAAAATATAAACATTTCCATAGATAGTAATAGAGGATAGGGGTTGACAGGTAATTGATAAATTTGACTTAAATGAAACCTAATACTGGAATGGGAAAAATTTTAAAAATAGAAGAGAACTTCACATAAACTTAATCAAGCCGTAGCTTCTTATACATCTTGACAATTTTTATAAGTAACTACTATCATAGATAAAAATCAAGTTCTATCGGTTCAACTTATTATGGTATGGCCAACAGTCTATTGCTTAGGAAATTCATTTTCGATGTAATTAAATGACAAAAAATTTTAGTGCAATCCTGGCATTGGAATGAAAGTACTGTTCCAGCACCTCAGTACTGAGCCGAAAAAACTGATGATACTAGGATCATCGTGCTCCCCCGTAACTGAACCAATGGCACAAACATCGAGAGAATTCGATTTGGTGCAGGTATGAGTCTGACAATAACCATCATAAAATAATTAGACTTTAGCGCTTTGTATATTCAGTCCATAGTTTGCTAATCAAGTAATATCATTAAGTGAAGGTACATTATCATATTTGCATCAAAATAAATAAGATATTGAAGGTACTGAGGCTAACGTTGGCTCGTTGGCAACTTTTAGGTTTCCTATATATCATCATCACCTGCCTTAAGTAATCGGAATATTTATCCATACTTTTTTCGTGCACGCTCTTCAGAAAGTGAGCGTATTCTTCCGACATTTGAAATTTTTAAACGCTTTAACTGGACAAGAATCTCTATCATTTCTGAGACAAGCAAAAATCTATATACTCTGGTAAGGAAAGAAATACTAGTATTAATTCAAATATTATTAATTATTTCAGTAGCATAAGACCATGGCTCAAATCTTGAAAGCGATATTCATTAGGTTATTATGAGTGCACTATAAAAATTAAGTAGCTATCAAATCTTCTGTCTTCATTAACATCTTTAATTTAGCTATAAAGCAACGATGAAAGTAGTATGTTAAAGCGTTATGAAATCTGCAGTAATAAAAATTACGGGTAGTGTATATTAATATCACAATTTCACTTCTGCGACAAGGTAACGTACAGTAAAAGTTCATAAGTAGCTACTGACTTAAACGCCCTTTACTTAACGTTAAACACACACAGCAAAAGACTGTAAAGATGAAACTTTTATTAGCAAAGATACATCTACAACTTTATACCACACTACTCAACTCAAATGTTCCCGTTTATATAGGAACCGTCTAATTTGTAAACAACAACATCATTATTATTATATCTTACTAAGAGAAACATCTCGAACTGAGATATTCCTCACATAGCTTTTCTATAAGAAAATATTTTGAATCTCTTACTCATACTTAATCGTAATCTAAGCTCGTACATTGTCTAATTCAATTATCATCAACTAGAACTTGAATCATCTTACTGCTATCTATCACACAATAACAATCAATATCAAATATGTAATGAACTATTACAAACAATATCTACGTTAAGGCATTACTTATCTTACCTAGCACTACAAATATAGATATTCTCCATACTAGCTACTACTGTACTTATTAAACTATCCTAATGACAAGGTAACATCGTAACAATTAATCACACTTAGTTCAGGAATTTAAGAGGAAAGCGTAAACTACCAGATAACGTGAAGCAGCAAGTTATCCGTCTGATCAATATCTTAGTGCATCGTCACTATTTTATAAACAGCTGGAAAATATTTATTTGATTAATTTAATTGCTTTAACGGGACAATTATGATATATTAAAATAAAAAATATTTACCGATCATAAATCACTGCAGGTAGCTAAACTAAACGTAAAGTGACAGTAGAGAATATTAAAATGACCATATTAGTATAAGACTGTACCAGCGCCATTCAAATAATATTTCATTAAAATTGCACGATCACTGCGAGAAATTGCATCCACGAAATTTGATAATGAGATTAAGATTTGTAGCGTATACAAAGTGATATAAATACTACAAAAATGTTAGTTTGATTACATTTTTCAGAAAGGCATGATTATACCTAATATTTGTAATATTATTTAATACAGAGTTTGAATATTCCATGTATGATTAAGGATAAAGTTGATTTAGAAAAGTTATCGATTAAGGTAACCTTAACAGATAGTGGCTTTGATATATACCGATCAAGAAATTCCAAATTTTAGAAAAATAAGGGCTTTATTGAATCTTATACAAAGATTAACTACACACAGCTTTGGTCTAGCCCGAATACTACTACTAAAGACTTCTAGAAAGAACTAAGAGAATAATCTAAAGTTGCATGCTTTTATACTTCTCATAGCATTCGCAGCTACAATCCGCATGGCAACCTTTTACCTTATATTACACATAGTTTTATTTATTTTTAGTAACACTATTCTACTGCGGACCATCATTTAATCCAATATGAATATGACTACAGTATTACGTAGACATTATTCACACCAGCCAAAGTATAATGAATTAACCATATCCTAATATATGATTTACAGTTCTATTTTTACCTATAACCTTATTAGTAACTCAATACCTTACTGTATTTAGTCATCTATACTCTAGCATAGAGTCTATACCACTACAGTCTATAGTTATGACTACCAAATATCTCTTAGGTTAAATATCTACCGTACATTATACTAAGCATGGCTAGCAGTCTACAATCACAATACTAAATTACATTACAGTGGCATAGTTCAAGATGGTACGATGCGGCGAATTACTTGATCTTTTTTAATTTGCTTTAAACTATAGCTAACGAATCAAATTATTGCTACCGCTAACCGTACCGGACTAAATATTGTGGTTTCTGCTGGTTTTGACACAAATGAAGATCCAGGTCAAGCATTGCAGTCTATAAAGGTTAATGATTATGAATATACATGTAAAATTATAGACCAAATTTCGAATTCTTATAAGTAAAGTAATACTAGAAGGCTAGTAAACATTCTGCGTAAATTTTGAGGTAAAATATTGATCGATCGCTTGATATAAGATAAATTTTTCTGCCGACTACATATCTAACGGAAAATTCATCATTATGAATGAATTGTTGAGCTTAAGAATAAATAAATTTTTTTATCCCAATACAGACGTATCTTGCTCTTATTGATACATTTTTTATCACCATGATGAAAAAGAATATCGAAATCATTGCATTAATTATAAAATTATTAATAGAAGCTTGATGGATAATTTTAAATTCTTAACAGATGAAATCAAATCATTAATGACTAAATAATTTCTGTATTCAAAGTAGAATTCAAAAGTTCGCATTATATATGCAGGCTTTTATCCAGGACCAGGACGTCGAGTGCTATGCAAAGTAAGAATTTTTATCTATTAGTATATGTATAAAGCAACAACATTTATATAGAGAGTTATTTCAAAGTTACCTAGATGATATTTAGTCCAGTTACGAGCTAGGAATAGCCTTAAATTGCAACAAGGATAGAGAGGGTGATTTCTATCCTTTACTACTGCTATTTGGAATACTAGACAATTGGTATTCCAAGGCAGATACGGTTTAACGTAGGCAGACCTTCAAGACTTACTAGAAAATCACAGTCTAATTTATTGTCGGTGAACTCGCCGTTTATATAGGCTTAGGATCTAATACCGGTTTAGCTACACAAGTCACCTCGTCTGTTAGAAATTATCCAAATTAATACCCTAAAGAGATTTTATCTGTACAGATTAGATGCAGTCTAATCCTATTAAATTTACTGTAACAGTATTAAAATAATCAATGCTTATTAATAATTTAACAGATACATATATAGCTATCCTACTAAGACATTTCCTCTAAATTTAAGAGTTGTACTTTGACCTTAACAACTTAAAGGTGATAGATATAATCCAGTTCAGCTTGTTGGCAATTACCATTTTAGTCTATGTAATCCTAAATTAAGGATATCAACTGCTAACCACTAAAAGTACAATTAAGGAGACCGTAAAACATTTCTGAGATATAAGCATATATAGAACGTAATATAGAAATAAATAATATGTCACGAAGATTACCTAAAAAGTCCCCTAAGTGGTTTCCATTAACATTTTAAAAGACAGCATAGAATATTATTCCTGGCTCTTGATATGTAAATATATAGATAAAGAGCAATTTAACGAAGTGACAATTTTGTATGGATGATACAAGAAGTTTGATATGTTTCGTAGATAGCGATTCTTTACAGAATAAATTCCGAATCTGATATACTATAAAAACAGTTGAATATTTTTACTGCTTCATGATAACACTGGGAAGTAGAGTAAATTCGACTAGAAATTATACTATTTTGAACAGTTGAATGGTACTAAGTATAATGACTGATAATGCAGATATAGTGGTCTACAATAGAATTTGCGACTAAAATATTTGAGTATGGAAAACACTCTAGGTTTTAAAAATGCAATTAGAAATTGCTCAGACTCACAATCTAGATATCAAACTTAAAGGCTCTTGTACTGCAATATTTTGACGACCGAATTGAGTTTGCATCTGTGACTGAAATGTTAACAGAAATGCATAATAATCATGATACATATATGAACGCGACCGTATGCGAAATCGGTCATGCGGTACCGTTCATATATATATATGCATTATAGGTCGCTCAGTCACGCTTGTCATGATACTGTACAGATATGCATCATGAACACTTAAATAACAGATACTGTGCGTGCTCGTATAAAAGTAAATTTTATCTTAGGTTCGTAGGCCTAACTTTATTACGGTTTGGTAAACTTACACAGAATAAGATATAGTCAGCCGCATTACAGACGGTTATCAATTGTTAGTAATAAATTGTGAGTTGTTAGTTCAATTGGCCGTTTTAATAAATAGCTTTTAGAATAAAGTTATGATTCTTAAGCTGAGTATTCTATCGTCTAAGACTCAAATCTAGATTTGGTAGATTAAAGTGTGCTTAGAGTTAGTTGCTTAGATAGTTAAAACTACTTTAGAGGAAAGAATCCTATTAATTTTTGTGTTGCAATCTCGCATGTGACATAATAGCAATAAAATATGCCCATTAAGTTTAGTCGATTATAGAAAGGATAGTATTATGTCTAAAAGTACTCTTTAATATAGCGATGAACATGAAAATACTTTAATAATCATCTTGTTCAGTACCAACGATAAATAAATGGACGCGTATTTTAGAGATTATCTTCACATATAGTAGATTCCATTACAAAGGAATTGGTAATTCTGGTAGGAACATAATAATTTCATTAATCTTGATATTTCCTGTAATATTACGGCACATGTTATGATCTCTTAAGATCTTTTCATTAACATTACTTTGACCAGTCCTTAACATATACATATTATCACCTAGCTTAAAATAGACTAAATAAATTACAAATAAATATTATCCGATATTTACCTTGATATTGTATACCGTACTTTACGTTCTCCTAATATACAGTATCTCACAGCATGGTTCTAATTAGTAGGAAAAAATTCCGACAGTAAATATATTTACGTTAATATTTTTGAAGACAATAAACAACCTTATAAATATCCCTATGAACAACGTGAAGTTTGTTATGTAAACAGAGTAATTTCTCAGTAAAGGCTTAATTCCTATCTTTAAATTAAAACTGTCGCAGGCATATCATCTAGGCTTAGTACGCCCAAAATATGTCTGGGTCGGGCCAGGTTGGTTTACCACTCGCTATTGGTGGCGAAACCCGGAAGGCGGTGAGGTTGTCGTTGGAAAGTCAAGATGTAACGATACCATAATGGATTCGATGGCGGAAGGATATTTCTCCACGGATCCATTAGCTAAGTCTCAAAGCCCAGACCCAACTATATCTGGCATGGTAAGGAGTTTTCAGAGTACAAAATTTATTGCTCGATAATTATAATCGTTGTTGATTATTCCTCATCAGTTTTTTTATTTAAAAATTTTTATCCGGATGCTATAGTTTGAAAATTTTTATAATTTAATGAGATTACTACAGCTAGAATATCGAGTCAAACTAAAATTAAAATGAAGATTGCTAGGATTTTCGATGCCGTTAGACTAAAAGTAATGTTCTGCTTTGCTTCTAAATTGGTTAGACAACGAACGAATGGATTGAAGCATATGATAATTTTCGAAATTCTGAATCTTATTCAAAATATAAAGGAGGAATTAAATTTGCAACTTTTACCTATGATGCTACGTGGGCAGTTGCAGTAGCGTTAAATAATTCTATTCCACGTTTGGCTGAAATGAATAAAACGTTGCAAGACTTTCAATATAATGATAAAGTGTTTTTAAATATATTCAAAAATGAAATGGCTAAAGTATCATTTCTAGGAGTATCGGTTAGAAGTTTTACCAATGATGAATTACTTGCTTCGATTGCATATAACTATCTATAGCGACATTAAGATATAAAACTATATAAACCTATTACAAGAATACTGTATTCAACAAGATATAATGAATAAAATACTGCATTGAAGAAAAATTATAATTACAGTATTCTCATAATTCGGCTTTGTGAAAGTTATTATTATCGTTACGAAGTTATTTACATTATAAATAGCGCTTTTGCATCTTTTCTTATTCTATTTTTGGCTGATAGGGTCCACTAGCATTTACAAATACCGGTGATCGACTTGGCATAACTGTCATTAAGAGAATACAAAGTAAGCGAAAATTATCTTTAAAAGGCATTTTTATCATCGTTCAATGCATCATAATATACGTGTATATGGAGCCATAATTTTTACCTTTAATTTTATACTTGCCTTATCTTATGGGTTATTTATTTGCTGTTAGGATATATATTAATTTTATGTCATATAATTTTTCTTCGTAATAATCTATTACTAGGAATATATTATATCTTCAAGAGTATGCTTTCATAAATTTATAAATTATTATTCTAACTTAAACAGATCTAGAGGAAATTACTGTTGCACTGTACTACGATCAAGGTACTAGAGTGATTTGGAATAATTCTATCCAATTCAAATGGGGTACTCCGGGTACGAGCAAGTAAATTCGAAATTATATGCGACTACTTGTCGTTTGATATATTACTTTAAAATTCTGACAGGTGATAAAGTTCCAATTGATTTTCCTGAAATTCGTCCTGAAAAAGAAGCCGTTCCATTATTCTTATACGTCTTTATGGTCATTCTTACATCTGCTGGCATTATTTTAGCTCTGTCACTTCTAGTATTCAATTACTACTATCGAGAAAATAGGTTAAAGCATTGTAGATTCTTATCAATAAATATGCCAATATTTCCGACAAAATCTATTGTTATAGCTATAGAGACTTCGATAAGTCGGCCGATATTGAATTTGTTGCAATTCAAAAAATTATATTAGAGTATTAGTTGAAAAATGGGCACTGCCTATCGATTAGAATTTACTTAGAATGCGGTAGTTACTGTAGAGCAGTGATATGCATACATGTAAGCTCTCCTGAAGCAATGTATGAAATACTAATACCGCAGCTATTACTATCAACGAATTCGAAGGCATAACTCATCAGGAGTATTGGTAATTTTGAACATAGAACATATGTAGAGAATAAGATTGTAAATCAAGTACGAAAATACTAAAACAGTCCATGAAGTAAATAGGCCGTAACGCTATCAATAACTAAATATAACTTAATATTCTTGCATCCAGACCTAGAAGACTATAAATTTTATCTATATTACTACAGAGCCATATAGAATACCAATATTTGAGAATACGTTAGAATTATAGTAAAATCTTAAAGCAGTGCTATCCAATGCTAAATTTTAATTTACTTTTCCCTTGCTTCTACCATTACTGATCTTACAGAATTATGAAATTAACAAGCCCAAATATAAACAATGCCATCATCTTTGGTTCAATATTTTGCTACTTGTCCGTCATATTTCTTGGCATGGATTCAGAAACACTGGGAATCCATTATCGATCTTTCATGACTACGGCCTGCTGGGTAAACCTTTTCTAGATTAATAGTGATTTAGAATAAACTGAATCCTCCTTCTATCGAGTCAATAACTTTAAGTCGACAATACTGCGGACATCAAAGACCTTTATTTGAACTGTATATCATTTCAGCAGCATAATTTTTTGATTTATTTCCAATAGATTCAAGTTTGGTTACTGCTATTAGGATTTATGTTAGGATTTAGTGCACTTTTTGCTAAAACTTGGCGTTTGTACGTTATATTTACCAATAAAACTGGCAAAAGCAAGGTAATTTTCACTCCATGAGGGCTTAATTTTATTAATACTAGAGTAAATACAGTTCGTTACACTTTGCGGTATTTTATCGCTACTTTATTTATTAGTAATTAATGCTCGATTTTATCCTTTTCATCTCATAGATCATAAAGGATAAGCAGTTATATGCTTTTATTGCCATAATTGTCACTATTGGAATTGCAATACTAGTTGCACAAGCAGCTATTGATCCTATATACCTCGAAGAGCGCAACCTCTCTGCTGTAAGTAATAATCTTCGGAAGAAAATATTTTCTACCAGCTAATTTGAGTACTTGTCTGGTTAACTTTCAACTATCATATTCTGATTTTTAATAAGAATGAGAAAATACTGTTTCTCCAAATGATTAACTGCGCATTCTTGATATATAACTTGGCTATACGTAGATACCTTATAAAAATGGAGATTTAATCGTGATTCCAGTCTCTATGAACTGCTTAACTAGAAATTCCGTCATCTGGCAGGTCATTATGCTAGGACCCAATGGTATTTTATTAGCTTATGGTCTGTTGTTAGCGTGGAGAACTCGAAATATTTCTATTACGGCTGCAAATGACTCCAAATACATTGGATTTGCCATCTACAATGTCACTATTTTTTCCGGTACTGCAGTCTTGGTTGGATTTACGGTCAGCCAACAGGCGATACGTTTCGGTATGATTGCGTCTTTCATCATTTTATCAACGACCGGATCAATTGCGTTGATTTTCGTACCAAAGGTGAATCGATTATTAGACATCATAGATTAAACATTATATAGCAGTTTGTATTTTTAAGGCTTACAATATCAGCATAGTGAGAGTTTTGAAATGATTATTAATGTTGCATTTGTCTAAATAGATTTTACAGATTAAATATAATAGAGTTGCAGATGCAAATTCGAATGCTGGAGAAATGACTACATTCGGCAATGAAACTGTAAGGCTAATTAAATTAAGAATTGAATCAAAATTTATAGCATTTATTAATTTGGTCAATATTCGAGTTGGTATATATTAACGTACATATTATAAGATAATGACACCCAAATGGTGAAAGAGATCACTGCAAATGGTTTTACAGAATTAGCTTAGCTAATAATATTTAAATTTAAAAGTCTTAGCTTTGAACTTAAGATCAGCAAGGTAGCATGACAAATAGAATAATATTTTTTGGAATAAAATCGCCTAAACTTTAATATCCCTTAAACTGAAGCAATCTTCCATTATCTTGCGTTATATGATCAGACCCTCATTTCAATTTCATATTTTTTAATTGATAGCTGGAAGAAAAGATTAACCGGCTGCAGTTGGTCGTGGAAGAGAAGGACAAAAACATTAAAAAGGTAGGCTAGTGTTTATTACACTAATCTGTCCTTGATATAGACTGCATCGATTCTCTGAATGTGAAAAATAGATAACTTAATTTCGGTTAAAACTATTAATCAAATAATTTACGTTATGTTCGAATGCATTATACGCATATATTTCCATACATAATAGAATAAATGGCTGAGTGCGAATCCAATTACGGTATATTATTAACGTATAACTGGTTGACACGCGATTGCTATACTTCATGTACTGTATATACGGTCTGTATATATTTATAATGTTTACTTTACAATTTACAGTTTATTATACTGATATTGGGCATCATCGACAACTTTAAAAAGATGTGTACGCTATGAATTTACGTTTCTAATGGAAGACCCATAAAAGAATATAGATTCATAATGTATTAATAGCTCTAGTTTCGAAATCTGTAGACTAATGAGTATACCACCCAATAGGCACTTAGGATATCATTCCTTTCAATTTGAAAACCTCATAGATATATAACTGACTTCTATATTTTGCAGAATGAGAAAGTACTTTAATTCCGAAAGTTCATAATTAAGACGAGTCAGTTTCTTATTTTGAAAATGATGAATAATATTTCTAGCCAATATATTACTATCTAGCATTCTCGAATTTATGCCATTCTAATATCTAATGCAAGCTTACTCTAATAATCTTTCCTCTATTGGTATGATATGTAACATAATTTTACTGCTAATAATACTAATAATTTACTTCTAGTTGGAAACTGAATTAAGCAAATTGAGTGCAGATAAATGTGAGCTGCAAAATAAACCTGTGGAACAAGGTGCGTACAGACTAACTACTTAGTAATATTTTGATGAAATAGCTATATATTGTATAATTAAAGTATGATTTTAACTCCGATTAGTTAAAAACATGCTTGATTCGTATTTGAATGATATCGGTGCAGTAAAATACAGTTCTTCTTTTCGCTTATTAGCTGTAGGAGAGCAGAATTAATTGGTTCCTTAAATTTCCAAAATGTTTTTGGATGATAGAAATATAAAACTGTGAGCTCCGTTTTATCCCTAAAATATCTTACGAAACTGAAGTGGAGCTAATATGATCAATGTTGGCGTTCAAAGTAATAAACGAGCACCATTCCAATTCTATTATTGATTGATATTTAGTACCGTAATACATAACGCAATATCACTACTTTTAACATACTCTACCAATATAAATGTCTCACATGACGAGCGTTGCAAGGTTAGTTTATCGATTTAAAGTATTACCTTGATTACATTATCAAGGTAGTAAAGGATGATAACCTATAAAATAACCAAAGTCGTTATCAGGTTCATCTTTCATTTGCAGTTTTTTAGAATTACATAGCTTATTAATCCACTCTTCTGATTAACCTTGCACTCTTTACCAGCTGCAATAATATTTAAATACTAACTAAATTAAAATATCAATTTAACTACACGTACTGCATAAGCGTTCACTAGTTGGCTATTAATCAATTCTAATACTCTCAAGCCTTATACGTCTATTACTATATCATCTCTTAAATGCCTTTTAGAAAGAAACTGTTACAAACATAAACACGGATTAACATAAAATATTAATTACCTAATTAACGTAGGATACTACATATATTTAACTTCAAGAGCTAACTTGACAAACTCTTACAATATCTATTCCTTTTGTATCTTTGATCTTACAAATTCTAAATACCTTTCCTAAACGATTCAAATATTATAAATATTAATCCACTAGAAAGATTCGTTTAATTAATTAATGAATTAATTGATAAATGTACTGATTTTGTATCCAATCAAATGTCTATCAATCTACTATTATGATCATAAGTATATATGTACTGTAGCATACTATATATGATTTACTTTCTGTTCCGTAATTAATTTATTAGAGTACAATTCAAGCAACAACGAAATGATAATTAAATAATTTATGCCTATTATGAAATTATGTTCACTAGATATTTTTTTGGGAAATAAGATCGCTCCCACCCGAAATAATATGTTATACTTAAAAAATAACCTTATTATGATAGTATAAAATAGACTGCTGTACTGCATGAAAAGTGTATATACGTTATCAATTGGAAGATTTTAAACGATTATAACGGTAATGTATCTTCTTTAGAAGTGATAATCATCGTGAATAAATATGAAATACATTTGCTCCTTCAATTGCTGACACTTCTGGCTACGATAGTGGATTAGATTTAAAAGTGTGATGAAATTATGATGTTGAAGTTACGTATAGTAAGATTAGATTGATTTTAATGAAAGCAACTGTGATGTTCCGGAAGATAATGCGAATGTCATGATTGCAAGAAATGACAAGAGAAAGAATTATGATCATTCCTAAAATCGTCTTTTTACTCTATTTGATCTCCGACTAGCTTCAGGGATCCTCAATAAGGAAACTAGTTTATTCCAGTTCCACTCATACGAGCTAATTGATAGTAATTTACGTTAAAGATTTTATCTACGGGTATTGCAAATTAGTGTACGCTAGTACCAGTGCACTATAAACTACTCTCGGTAGGACGGAGTTAAAAATTAATAATTAAAATCTAACATAGTTTTCCTATTTCACACATATGCCCGGGTGCTAGTCTCTCAAAGTATAGTCATATGAATTATGCACTATATTCATACATATTTACTATTGCCTAGGTCTCGGTGATATTTTAAATCGCACAGCAAAGGTTTACTATCAAACACAAACGACATTACCGTCGTAATTAATTTTTTAAGCAATAAGGAGCAAGCTCCAAAACAGTATGATATGTGGCAAACGTTTCATCTTTTACCATAACTAAAACTCAAATATAGTTACTAAAGTAGTAAATGATTCAACTGATTATCTTATGTAAATAAAACCATTTTAAACTGACGGATATGATTTAATTATATATTCTCTTCCAACCTAAATAATGTTAATGTTTTAGGGGAATTTGGAACTGGAATAATCATTACCTTCTATTATTAAAAATATAAGATACAAACAAACAAAGTGAATACGAAATAGTCTGTGAATTGTTTTTGCCAGTTTTTAATTTACCATAGGATCGCTATGACTTTTCGTAAAATTTTTTCCAGTTTTTGTAAATTTTTGGTGTATACAGCTCTCATTTTGAATTCAATTTTGAATGGATCCATTTGTAGCAGTGATGATCAAGCCATAAAGAATATTACTATTGGTGCTAGTTTTCCTATAAGTGGAGCTGACACTACTTGGGGGGATTGTTTAATGGCTGCTAGATTCGCTTTAGATCAAATCAAAGATCAAAATTTGCTTTCCGGATATCGCCTTAATATGGAATGGGGAAATACTAAGGTATTTCGTACAATTTAAGCATTTACACTGTTAACGCAGTTAAATTATCGCCTGCTATGAGCATAACTCCAAACTGCTGTAATTTTCGAGTAATTTTATCCATTGAAAGCAATTAAGACTCTAATATTTTCACCAATGTTCTTCTTAGCATTGAAGAAATTACCGGGCTTATATTTTAAAAAGCAAACACTACCGACTATTTTAATAATAGTTAATTTTGTATCAAATAGATAAAACGAGCAAAGCTATCTGTTTCTATTGGTATAGATCAGAATTCAGAAACTAAAGTACCGAACTTTAATTTCAGATTCCATAAATTTTGAAGTTACTAAACAAATTTTTAATTCCTATTGTCTAGAACTAATTTAGAAACGAGACCCCGGACTTTAACTTCAGATTGTACTAATTTTTATATTAATGAACAAGCTCTTAAAATTTATTCCATCTTAAATTTTTGCTTCATTGAAGATGAGATGATATTTTGCTAGAATATAAGAGTCGTATATAATTATTTTGATAACTTATGACGCGCTATTTTCGTTTACGTTAAAACATTAACGGAAATAGTTTTTCTTTTAAAGCTACATGAATCAAAGATGCAATAATGCCTTAGTTATGTATAGGACTTAAATCCTTCGTAGAGCATTAAATAGTTAACTTACTTCTCTATTGTAAGTGAGAATATTTTGTCTTATCGCAAAATTCTAATTCTGTATTCTGGATTGCATATTATGCGAGTTATTTGCACTAAGAATGTGTAGCAGTGCCGGTGTTAATTTCAATGGTACACTATAGAGAATCGTAAATTGGTTTAGCTTTGTCAGAAATATCGTTAACATCAATTTTCTTTCTAAATTTGAACGAAGAAAATTTAGTCATTGCTGATACATTCGGTATAAACTCTGATTGTCAAAGGAAAATTTAATTACCATATTTCATACGTACCGATGTAACACCGGTAATAGGGTAGGGAGAATTCAATTCTATTCGCTGTTATTCGTGACAATTATTTTCCACCATGTTTGCTCTTAAAATCCTATTTCAGTAACACTATAGGGATTGTAGCACTGACTATAGCACTTTATGAATCCAAATATTGGTTTAGGCCAGCTATCAGCGTTAACGTCTCTACCTATACAGCATATATTTATTTACTTTACTATAAGTTTTTAAGAAATTATCCTTATATCACTTGAGATTAATCCCGCTTGCAATATTGCGTAGAAAATATAAAGGGTCAAGTTAACTAAAATTTATACATTTAAAGCTAAGATGATGCCGACAGTGAACAAGTACTGACTAAATATATATAGACTTAGAAGCAACAATGAGTTAACTTATGCTATATTACCATCTATAAATGTAAAAAACGAGGATTTTCTAGATAGTCTAATCACTCTATCACAAAATATTACCCCTTACCTCATTTGCATTAATCATTTTCTAGATTTTAAATTATTTTACAATCTGCAATATAGACTTCATAATCTTGACGAAAATATTGCTATAATATTGCGATGAGATTAGATTTTGAACATTTATGAAACTTCGAAAGTAGTAAGTTTACGCTAGCTTACAGAAAAATTCTTAGCCTTATTTTTACAATAAGACAACACCATTTCGATCTTGCTAATTCAATAGCAGTACCATATGAACCATCAGTTGAAAATATAAAGCCCATAGCATAGTTATTACTGAAAATCTATTTGGAAATTACTTAGAACACAAATTTATCTGATTCTACAGCAAAACTTCACGAGAAGATACATTCCACCGTTAATAATGGAGTAATGCGAAATCTATTTCATTTTGGCGATTACATGAATAATTCTTTCTAGATTACAGTTCGAATTTGTAAATAATTTTTTAAGCCAATTTCTCCTTTATTTCCCTCAATATCTTCCATTTAAGCAAACTAGCCAGTACATCTAGAACATATACCGATAGTTCGTGCTCAGCTGCATAGCTGATGGATCAACTAATTCACTTTCATCTTATTTATTTATACTTGGCGAAATCACTGCAAATTTTATTTAGATAATTGATATACTCGTATGAGGGAATATTTAATCTCGATTTGCAAATATTTTATGGCGCATTTCAAAACTTGAGGCTAACTTGATACAATTTGTCGTAAAAGACGACATAGTGAGCCATCAAATATCTCACACTTATCCCTATTTCAATGAAATATTCTCCATAGTATATCCGTAGGCTAAGTTGCATGAATACGTTAGATTGATATACCTTATCAAAGCTGATTTCTAAGTAGGAAGTATTAGTAAAATCAATTTCCTTGTTATATCTAACTATTGACTTTTCTTCTTTGCATACCTTGAAACGTGATCCATTAGTAAATGAAATGTGCGATAGTAATTTTGAAATATTCATCAACACTTGAATTTATAAATTATAAGCTAAAGGTTTCTAAAATATTTATATAGTGTGATGCTGGTACCGGTATGAAAGTGCTATTTGATTTAATTCACAACCCGCCGCAGAAGCTGATGATTTTAGGCTCGGCTTGTTCTCCGGTTACAGAGCCAATGGCTCAAACCTCCAGAGAATTTAAATTACTCCAGGTTCGTAATTATTCTTTTTCAGCTTTGACCATGAATAATACTGACTAAATACAAAGCAAGGTGAAATATAGTATCATCGACTGCTAGAATTAAAATAGAAATCGTGCTAATAATACTTATGAGCTTTAAGAAACATATAATGCTCCTTTTCTTAATAGATCTCTTACATATCGGCATCACCAGCATTAAATAACAGGGAAACTTATCCTTACTTTTTTCGGGCTCGCGCTTCGGAGAGCAAGCGAATTCTGCCCAGTTTCGAAATTTTTAAGCGCTTTAATTGGACAAAAATTGCTATCATCACAGAGACAATCAATTTATATACATTGGTAAGATAAATTTCCTTTCTATGGGAGTATTTTCAATAATTCCTATGGAACTTGGAATTACGGCTTTCCTAAGCCTATTTATTGAACGTTTTTTAAAGTGATGTTTGGCTAATAAAGGTGTTCAAAAATTCATACTGACATAAATGAAACTAAAATTTTAACACTTCAATTTATTCCTTACGGACACACTGAAAATATTCATTGTAGGTTGCCAATGAAGTTGTAAAAGTGGCTAATGAAACTAAGACCGAAATTGTCACTTCTACAAGCTTTGATACGGAAGAAGATCCACAAAAAGCTATAGCAAAAATTAAAGTATGCCATTATACCCAATTAAAACTAATAGAGTAATTAATGCACTATTGATAGCAGTGTCAATAAAATTAATACATCATCGGCTTGTAATTTGGAACTATCTCAAGCTTGATGGTATCAAACAAGATTTACCATATTAGGTATTATGCAAAATGCCTGATTTCGCAAATTACCAGTAACTGGAGATACACTAAGTAGATAGCAAGCGCATTTTGAAATCATTTGCGATCTAACTCGAATACAACATACATTTCCAGGATAATGCTATAAGAGCTTATTGGACATTCTAAGATGACTTCCATATATTTTATATCTTACAACAACGTACAAGCTTTTGTATCTCATTTAGCCTAATTTTTCAAGAATCTCCCATTGAAAATTGTAACAGTAATATATCTGTTATGATAGAGAGAATTGAAGCGATGATTTTAAATGTCTGCTTTACTAGAACCAGATATTAACATGATTTTATATTATACATATTTTCATACTAAAATCGTATATCATTGAACAAAAATTAGGAATCTCAGGTCCGAATTATATATGCTGGATTCTATCCTAAGCCTGGTCGTCGCGTATTATGCAGGGTAACTGATCCTAAATTTACTATTACATTAAACTACCAATTATAATCTTAAAGTAACTAAATTTTCTTTCAAAATGCAAGTATCAGCAATAAGCATTTCGAAATGCATCTGTGATAAAGAGTCTCCTTAAAATACAGCTAGAACTACAGTTTCTTGTGAACTTCACTTTATTACATAAGATTAAGTTCGACTTATAACTACCAAGGACTATCTAACTGCAATCAGACTATCTCTGGACTATCTGAAGTATCTCAGTAATATTCACAATTTATGTACAATTAGTAACACATTGAATTTCTTTCAAGCACAATCATATATTACCAATTAAGTTACAAGTTCATTTCTAAATTTACTATCGCGCATCAATTCATGATTCGCGCTTCTAGTTAAAGCGTCAAGATACAAATCTCACAGTACTAACATAAATAACGCTATCTATTATTATCTCAGAATCTTAATATAAGCATCTCAATACAATTACTACAATACCGACTGTAAACATCTTCCAAAATTAGATGCGTATGTAGTCTTACAACCTAGCCTACAATTTATCAATTTTTGCATTATTCCATAATCTTAGTCTTAAGCTTATTTGTGGCTTCAATACAGCATCAAAGCAGAAAAATACTGTAGAATCTGTCATTACAATACAGTAATGTAGAAAAAGTACTGTACAGTATTGTAGTACTGTACTGTACTACGATACAGCTTACAGTACACGGTATAAAGTTACTGAACCTCTGACAGGTCTATCAAATGGTAAAATACTATCTGTTAAATATTAACAAATGAGCACATTATCGTAAACCATCAGCAAAGCGACGGGAGAATGTACTAGTAAATATAAATAAGATAAGTAACTAGCACAACATTGTGCCAGTTATATCATAAATTAAGGAAAATTGCAAGAAATATGCTAAGTTCAGTGGTTAGGAGTTTGGAATTGAGTAGCTAATGCATAAGGTTAATCACTTGATTACTTCTGCAGTCATGAATATGGCAATCTAGGAGTCAAATCCTTAAAATGTCTTTGAATAAGATAGTATCGAATTTAATAAGACTGCAATCACATACCTAATACATAAATATATATTACTTATTATTGCATTGATGAGGCTTATAATGGTAGACTGTCAATATTAATAAAATTTAAGAAGCTAATATAAATATAGTTTTTTATTGCTATTTTATATCCTGTAGTGGATGCAACCACACTTAATTTTCATATTTCTTACCATGCGCTCTAATATTTCCCCATACTACGACATCATATTATCTGTAATCATTTCTCTGAATGTTCTTAGCCAATAAAATTTACAATTTCTATTTAAAGTTGTCATTTTACATCTAGTAGAAAATGGATAACGTTCAAAATTTGACCTAATGTTATTATACTTAAAAGGCTTATCATGAAGGTCTTCGACCGCCTCAATACGTGTGGATTGGACCTGGATGGTTTCCGGGACCATATTGGTGGAGAAATCGTGAAGATGGCGATCTCATCGTAGGCAATATAACTTGTAATAACACAGTAATGGATTTTATGGCAGAAGGCTATTTTTCAACAGATCCTCCGCTAACGTGGGATGGCAATAAAACCACCGTTTCCAATATGGTAAGAAACAGTAAATTACCTACCATTTTACTGGAAAACCTAATCGTTTTCGTTAGATCTAAATTCCACTCATTATGGTAAATATTTTATTTCTTTCATCTAGTATAGAGAGTAGCTTGAATTATTAGTTGCACTCATAATGATCAAAAAGAAATTTAATACAAATTCCTATACCCTAAATTTATTTCCTGTGCTTTGTAGACTTCTGAAGAATGGATTAAGGCCTACAATACATATCGAAAATATGATCTATATGCAAAGTATGCTGGAGGGTATAACTTTGCCGGCTACGTGTACGATGCAACTTGGGCGGTAGCTCTTACCTTAAATAATTCTATTCAGCGTTTAGCTAAAAAAAAATTGACATTAGAAGGCTTTACTTATGGAAATGTTGATTATCTTGAAGTATTTACTTCAGAAATGGCCAAACTGCAGTTTCTAGGCGTAACGGTAACTAATAAATTAACGACGAATAAGCGTAATTACTAAAATTCAGTTTGATGGCGATAATCTTGAAATTACCGGAATTGTTGCGTAGTGCTATATATATAAGTGAATGAATTAACTTTCGTTTGAAGAATCCAATAAATAGTAGTTATAGCAAACTTGCTGTGATAGATTATAAATTCTTATTTAACAGTAAGAGGGCCCAGGCTTTTGAAGCTTTCCAAATTGCTGACAGCCTAAAATAGCGAGGTCTTTCTTTCAAAAGCTGATAGTCATCCATTAATCCAATTTATTTGTTTATCCTAAATTAATAAATACACTAGGGGCCTTTATCATTTACCAAGACTGGCGATCGTATTGGTATAACAGTGATTCGAAGAGTTCAAAGTATGTGTTCAATGATGTCGATAGCTGTAATGCAATCTCAAACCGATATTTTCTGGTTAAGTGTGATTCTGTCTACGATCCATTCTTGAGATCTTGAGATATATGTGTATTTGTAATAAAATCATTATTGCGGTACTTCAATTCGCAATGCTGTAACGACGATACATTAGAAGTTTTACAGTAAAATAATTTAAATCAAGCCTTTTGTGAGTGATTTCAGTCGGATAGAGGCTAATAATTATAACAGCTTATTCGATCTAAGCTTTTAGGTTTCGTCATCTAGTTGCAAATTATTTGTGAACATGGTACTGTATGTTAACTTTATTTTCACGAGTGCAATGGAATTGTGATTACATTCATATGATGCATTAAAAATGATACTATTATAGTGTGCATGAATATATTTACTATTCTTTCTCTTAAAAAGACGGTAAACCTTGCAATTATTGTATTATAAGCTGAAAGATGACTTCGTTTAAATGTAATTACTTTCTATATTACTAACTTCATTAATTGAATAGATCATAGCCACATTGTCATTGCCAAGTATATCGATCAGAGTGCAAAAGTGATATGGGATGATTCTATCAATTATATTTGGGGAACACCCGGTAGGTATTTGACAAATAATGTCAAGTAATATTGTAGCCGATTAGATCAATACTTAGTTTTATGGATGTTGTCTCTATAGCTTTTATATAATCGTGACAAAGTAGGTCATGGTAACTGATATAGAGATTATTTTTTGTAAAGCGATCCTTTCGAAGTCTAAATCACTAATTAATTATAATGATATAAGTTTTTATTATTCAAATTCGAAGTTATCCTGCCTTAAAAACTTTATTGCAATAACCGATGCAGATTGTCTAATCGAATAATACCTTTAAGTCATAAATTTATTTATTAATCTTAATTTTATGAGGTAAATATTATTACATCCGCATTAAGACGTTATCACGATATCTGATCGAGAGATAATTTCATATAACCATATATGTGACAGTGTTATATGCTGTATTAGAGTAGAAATATCTATGTTAGGATAATTCTGTTAGCCTATCCTTATTTAGTTAACATCTAATTTGGATATACTGTGTTTTAATATAGCACTGACTTTTTATCACAGTGACACATATACACATGCTGAAATTAATAGTTACAATAGGGAATGCAAATCATCTACTTACAGTTCGATTTATTGTGATTATAACTTACTTTTGGTAGATTGTAAATTATCATGGAAATGTTCCGTGATAGGACATATCGTAATCTGACTATTCTGTATCAAGTCATCAGATGTCTTTGTTCGTAAATACTGTTGTCTGCATTAAGGGAGCAGTAGCTAAAATTAATATCTAATTCAGTGAATGATTCCAAAGTTAATCATGCTAACTATGACTCATGAACTGTTGAGAAAGAGTATATAAATGCAGTATATCGTGTAATAAAGTGGATTCTCAAACTTAGTGTTTAACGTAAAATACGAGGCGTCTTAAGTCTGTATGTAGTCTGCTAGTAGAGCAAAAGTGTTTGTGATAGTGCAGATATCGTTCCTGTATACGTGGTTCAAGGAATTGACTTATTGATCGTACATTACGTTATCTTGCTGCAAAACTATTTTGTGACAACATCATAGAAGATTAGAGCACTAATTACTGTTATAAATGTCATCTGTATTAAATTATAATTATACATCATGACTAAGCACATGACATTAAATTTATCGCTTGTTGGATAAAATGTTGTGCTATCAAGTTATTAAGTTTAAGATTATTTTTAGGCAACAAAACTCCAATTGATTTCCCTAGAACAGTTACGAAAATGATTACAGTCCCAATATCATTATTTGTTATAATGGTTATAGCATCTGGATTTGGAATAGTGCTAGCGATAATTCTACTACGATTTAATGTATCTTACAGAGAAGATAGGTAATTTAAACAAAGATTTATAGATAACTTTCGCATTTTAAATACTTCTACATGGTGGCCAAGAGAGTAATATTCTTTTTTATGTCAAGAATGTAATATACAGCTTTCCAAAAATTTATCTTATTTAAATTTTAACGGAAATTATTTATAAAATTTTCTCGATTCAATGATCCCTTCTAATTCAAGAGCAATAAAAATCACCAGTCCTAATATAAATATTGCCATTATTTGTGGCGTAATATTATGTTATATATCGGTACCATTTCTTGGTTTGGATAGTAATATACTTGGCATCAGTACTTATGGAATGTATGCACATTCATTGGTTTGCAGGGTCAGAGAAGTATCTTACTTGAATATAAAATTTGAAATTATTGATTAATTTTAAACTTACATTGCAACTTATTTTACAACTTGTGAATAAATGGCCTTGAATTATTATATAAACCTGTGCTGTTCGAAGTATATCATCAATTATGTATTTTTTACGTAGATCAGAATATGGCTACTGTTGTTAGGATTTATGATGGGCTTTAGCGCCCTCTTTACAAAAACCTGGCGTTTATATGTCATCTTTACTAATAAAACCAGCCGAAAGCAGGTACAGTCACACGAATGTGTTTAGTTCAGCTAGCCGAAATTTTGCTTTTAGATTCCTATCTATAGAATATTGCGATCTTCTTTAATATTTAGCGAGGCAACTATTAGTGGGTTATTAAAATTTATTTTCGTAATGGCACCAGCCATATAACTAATAACGATTGATATTGGTGGCAGGGAATGAAAGACAAGCAATTATCTAGATTTATAATTATAGCCGTACTTGTTGGAATTATCATCTTAACTGCACAAGCCACCGTTGATCCAATCAATCTTCAAAACATGATACTCAATACTGTTAGTATAATAATTTTAAGTTGATTCTATATTTATCAAACTAAATCTGTTGCTGTCTTAGTAATACATGAATCAAATGTCGAATAATGAGCTTAATTTGAGCACAACCGTAAGATAGTTAATAACGTAACAGAATCATAATTACGTTATATAATTCTCATATTCTCGCTAGTACATCATATTTGGAGACGATCATATTGCATATCATATTTAGAGATAATATGAAAACTACAAGAACACATCTTATCACTCGTTTTTAGATCCATATCTATTCTTTTAATCTGTTTCATCTGTCAAAGATTGATTAAATTAGAAATTGTTATTACATTATTTAAGTTTAAATTATTAGGAAAGCTATAGCAATTGAAGGAGAATATAGGTGTATTACCTTACATATCAGAGAAAAATTGATGTATACCGTAATTTGCATACAATATCTATTCTTGCATTATTTATTTTTACTGGTTATTGATCATTCGAGCATAGGACTGCAGTGTCTTCTGCCAGTTCTCCAGTATTAGGATGCGAATGATGCAGGCGACTAGTTTCACTTATTTGATGCTATTTATCGTCAAATCTTGAAGTATTCTGAGTATCATTTTATTTCTTTTAAATATGCTAGTAAAGATAACGAATATAATACCTATATTGGAAGTTTAAATTATAGATTTATTCTTATTTACAGAAAACTGAAGAGAATGGAGATTTTAAAATCGTTTACTCCATTACCACGTGCGTTACAAAGCATCCAGCAATATGGCAGAGTTTAATGTTGGGTAGCAACGGTATCTTGCTGCTTTATGGTTTAGCATTAGCTTGGAAAACTCGAAATATTGCGTGTGATGTGGCCAATGACTCTAAAACCATTGGGTTGGCGGTATATAGCGTTTGCGTTTTTTCCAGTACGGCTGCCTTGATTGGCTTCACTGTAACCCAACCAGCAGTCCGATTTAGCATGATTGCACTTTTCATCTTGCTATCAACAACTGGATCAATGTATTTAATTTTCTTACCGAAGGTAAAATTTCCAAGCATCTTGTTTTTGTTATAACAATTTCGATCCCAAATAAATATATGCAATATTATAGAAGACATGCCTATAAAATTTTATGAATCAAGGGAATTTAATATGCAAGAGAGAAGTATTACAATTGTATAAATTTACTCAGTATTTTAATCTAACGGTGATGAAAAGGTTTGGATGATTAAAGATCTAGCCAGGGTTAATTCAACGCAAAGATCGAATGAAGCTGATTCTGAGCCAGGAAAATTAATTGAGCGGGTATGATTAAAATTTCAATTCTCTCTCCCACATTGAAGGCATGATGAATCGAATTTCTTCGATACTAATATTTTTATGTATAGTGTTTAAAAGTTAAACGTATGATGCAATTTATATTCTTTTGAGATTACTTTCTTATATATATTCTTATTTCGTAATCATTAATTAGCTTATTTTCATAATAGCAATCTGTGTAATATATATTTGCTTGATCTAATTTTGCATTTATTGGCTGTTAGGTGAGCGAAAGATAAAGTAAATTACTATATATTATACAGCTGTATTCAACGTACTTTGCAAGAGGACTTCTTTAATGCTAGGCATTTTTCATTTGCATACGTGTTTATCCATGTATCTATCTTGGTTACAGCTGCATCAATTCTCTGTAGATTTCCCATTTTCTACCTATTTTTCGACTTCTTTGAGTTATTAAATTCATTAACATTAATATTTTACTTTATAATGAGTTTGTTCATTCTTTCAGCATCTTCATCACTCTGCTAGTCGATCGTCAATAATGCCCGATCCGAAAGTTTATAAGGTATCGTTGATTGGGCAACTGAAATGGATATCTTAAGAAATCAAAATAGAAATTTGTAATAAGACTAACTCATTGTTATTTCTTTATAGTTGCAAGACGAGATTAGTGAGCTGAAATCTCTTCTGGCTATGAAGTGTCAGCGTATTGAGGAGGTAAATCAATTTCGTGCACTGTTAGCAACATTTTTCTTGTGTATGATATCTGACATAAATGATCAAAAGAATATCATTAATCGACAATTTCATTCCAAGTTATAACCATTCAGTTAATTAACATGGTATAACTGCATCATCATTAGCTAGAGGAGAGCTTACTAAAATCGAAAATAAGCACCATTACTAATAATGAAGACACCATACCAAGATTGCATTCAGAATTAGTGGAGGTAAAAAATTATTTTCCAGTGATTAAAACATGTACTTACAGAAACATAGACAGCCGTCGTAGGACGAAATAATTCAGTATGACGGAGTTTTGAAATCTAATTTAAATAATGGCGTTCATAATTCAACGGAGATCAAGCCTAATTTATAGATCGCCATATGAAAGAAACTAATTTGTAATCGATAAATCAATATTGGCACTGTTTATTTAAAATTTAAACTAAAATAGGATGCAAGCAATTCCTGTCGATGCAAATCTGCAAATTGTTGGAAATCTTACTTCAATCAGGACAGTCAGGAAATCTCAAGCTATAACAATTCTTATTTGTCTGTTCAATCGCCACAACAGCGCAGAGTTTCCTTCCTGCCTAAAGATTAGAACTAATCTTAAATGAAGCAAGTATATAATTAAACAGACAGATTAAGTCAGCCAAAGCAATACAAATCTGATAATGAATACGATATTTTAGATAAATAGCTTAATTAGCTGTAGCCGTGCAATTCGTATATTACTTGGACGAAGTCATAGATTCAATTTTTCTTCCTCTTTGTTGTACTAATATCTTCCTTCTTCCCGTTACTATAACATCGATTAATAGATATTTGCAGATACTTATGTACAGTAAGAAAACTGTTAATAATGATTTAAGGTTATGATTATCTATAGTGAACAATTGCAAAATATAATAACGATCATAGATTTAACTCGATCATACAATAGCAAAGCCGTATTTTCACTTTCCCTTCCTTTTCTTTAAATAAATCAATTCTCTCTCAAGCTGTGGTGCTGATAGATACTTGCAGCCATTTCTCATAGACAGTAACATTCAGAAATTAACCACTTATGATACTCCTGTGATTCGATCAATAGATACCCACAGATATGCACCTATATATATATACCTCGTATAGTAGGAAAATTCTGTTAATTGTGAATAAAGATTATGATTATCTACGTGGAATAACCGGCAAAACGACTGACGACTATCGATTTAACAAGATCATACAACAGGCAAATTTTTGAACTTATAATTAATGCAGTTGAATAAAGTCATATTTTCATCTTTCCTTCTGTTTTCTTTACAGTTAAGTAAATCATTTTTCTATTAAGCTATAGCAACTAATGGATACTCGCAGCTATTTATATAGCAGACAGTAATATTTACTCGTATAATCAACCATTTATGATATTACTATGATTACTTACAATCGGTAAATACCAAGTTAAAAATCACCGAAACCTGCAGTGAACTAAGATCTTATAGAGAATTAGCATACCTTCAGTTTTATCTATCTTCTTTCTAGTATTTTATTACATCAATTCCAAATAATTTTAAAATTCAATCAATAAGTATGTAGACGTAACTATATTAAGTAATTTTTTACAAGTTAATGTGAACATCTAATTCAGTCAATATCAAGGAATAATATTTCATTTTATAGCAATTATTTCGTGTTCTAAGATATCGTAGGTAAAGCTAATGAGGCTAGCATTTTCTCTACCCAATCTATTAAAAATACGGTTATAAAGCCTTTCATCATTACTGCAACATTATTTACATGTTAATTTCCGTTTTTAATATCTCTTTTTTAATGTGAATCAAAGTATTATTTTATGATCATAATACGTATTAATAATAAAGAGAAAAATGTTGGTTATAAACTAGTAGTTGCCCAGCATTAAAAGGATAATTTAGTCTACACGAAAATCTGTGGTTTCTCATGCTTCTATGCTAAATTTTGATACGAATTTCTAGAGGACAATCTATTTGCAAGTCTTTTCAATTGATTACATCGCTGATGCTTCCTTCTATATATGCTGCACGCTAAAGCTATCAAATGAATGACTACTTGCTGATATCATAAAATAAAGCATCTACTTGAACTTGATTAGAAGATATTTAGCTTTACAGGGTTTTGAAAGCCCTAATTTAAGCATAAAAGATCTGATTTAAGTAATTGCAATAAATTAACTGGCCTTAGATACTTGATATCCCTACATTGGCTAAAATTTAAAGGTGCGTATTTTTTTGAGCGGAATTATAGAAAACGATTCAGATTGCATTCTCCCTTAAAGTCGACTTTAAGTATAAAATAAGATTACTAAAGCACGCTATTACCTATTGGAACATTTTTCACTATTCCAGTATTTTTGATCAATTCAATATCTCCATCAAATGTAGCAATTTCAACTCATTGCAGTAGTAGCATGAAGGCGTTATAGAGCTTATTCACTACAGCAAATAAGCTATCAAAACAATAATCTACTAAAATAATCCATTTTAAAGAAATTTTATCACCTACAAGCTTCTTTAAAGTCCTAATTTTAATTCTAAAACTTAATAGTCCATTTATGCCAAACAACTTACAATAAGATGACTAAGCTTAAAAGGACTAGAACAAATGTCTTTTCTAACTAATAGAATACAATCAACTAGTCAACATGTTGTTTATGATTGGATCTAAACGATATAGATTCTGGATACTCCGACAATTCGTACATAACCGATTGTGAACACAGTAGATAACTGACACCTTACTAGGGGATTTTACTTATAAGTATCAAATTCTTTGCGAGCTAGTGCTTCGGTAAGCTTTACCAGTATTGTTACAGTACTGTTTAACTGCAGCGCCAGATGACAATTGAATTAAAACAAGACTGACTGGTTGAACGAGAACATTGTACTTATATACGAGGACTATGGTAATGTTACAAAGCCCTTATTACAATAACTAGCATATCAAGATTTATATCACAGCTTGCTGTGTTTCAAATCCGGAATAACCTGTAATATTAATAGTACGAGATAACTTAATGCAGAATTAAACTTAGCATAGCGTATAAACAATTCTGTAAAGTAGCATTGTATTATGATTGTAGACTATTAGCCATGTTTAGTATAATATGCGGTAGTGTCGTTTTTATACTTATCGTATGATATATTTAGCGGCCCAAATTATAGACTGTAATGGTAGACTCTATGCTAGAGTACCGATGACTATATACAGTAAGATGTTGAGCTACTAATTAGGTTAGAGGTAAAATAGAACTACAAATCATATATTAAGATATGGTTCGTTCATTGTACTTTGAGTGGTAGGAATAATGTCTACGCAAACACGGTAATCGTTTCCATATTGGATTAATGATATTCCACTGTAAAATAGTATTACTAATAATAATTTGATTGCGTGTAAAATAAGGTAAAACGTTGCTATGCTGATGTAGCTACATGACTACAGAGAGTATAAAAGCAAGCGACATTAAATGATTTGCTTACTCTTTCTAAAAGCTTTTCAGTGGTTTAATTTGGCTAGACTAGAGCTGTGTGGAGCTAATCCTTGTATTAAATCTAATAAAGTTCTAATTTTCTACAAATTTTGAATTTTCGTGATCGGATATTATCACAAATTCTAATCCGTTTGTTATTCTTAACTAAAACAGATTGCTGCTAAATCTTTTACTATACTAAGTTCAGCAGTACGCTCATTTTCTTTCTAATATTTTCTAATATTTTAAAAGTTTGATTTCTAATTAGTATACTACAATTATGTTTACTGAATTGCTACATAATTTCATTGCATTAGCCTCGATTTGATTGATAACATTGCATAAAAATCAAGTAGTATAAATTATATATTTCCAAGCAGACTTTTTCTGTTGTGCATGAATCTAACTTTTTGGAACTAGCTGAAGCATCAAAATGCCGTAAAATTCATTGTCCTTCATGTGTCCAATGAGTTATATACCATGACTAAACAATTAACTACACGTATATGGATTCTAATGAAGTTATTCACTGCATATCAAATTTTAAAGCAATTTTGATAAGCTTTCATGTACTCTTCAGACAAATAAGTTATTTATTGATCATCTTTATTTGAGAGACAGCTTTGATTTAGATGAGAGTGTTATGTGAAGGTAATCTCCCGAGAAATTGCAATAGTTGTTACAAACATAAAGTTAACCACAGGTTACTAGCGTAGTCTTTATCTTTGTCAACGTTTAAATTTACGTAACCCTTTCATAATGGCAAATAGCAATTTGCCTAACTACTTTTTGACGGAGATTCTAATTGACAAATCACATATCCATCATTTTGGACGTTATATTCCATGTAAGCACCAAATAATCCATCTACAAGAAGGGAATTCATCTCTAGTACAAGCTTTGTTAACTTAACAAAGAGAAAAGGAAAATTTCCTGCATTTTGGTATCTTATATTCGCTTACCTTTAATGGCATCAGGTTTATATGATGATCTTAATTGAGAAATAAAATTTTGGTATAGCACTTTTGATGAATCTGCAGGCATAGATTTTCGGAAATTTAACGAATTTGTTTTTAGTTCCCCGTATAAAGTTATCTATAAGATAAAGAATATCGATACTTGGTATTGGCTATTCGATCAAAAAGTGACGATTTTAGTACGTGTTTACGGAGCAAAGCACCGTATATATTAATTAAGTAGATTTCGTTATGTAGCTAATGGCAATACGGTGGGAAGTAATTATGAATATTAATCGTGTATAGTTTTGCTAGACAACCAAGATTTAAGCCTGTTTTGAAATTAATTCGTGTGATAAAGTGATCTTCAAAACAATAAATCAAGAACTACAGTTTCTTGCAAATTTCACTTTATTACAGAAGTTAGGTTCGTCTAACTACCAAGGACTATCTGACTATCTGATAATCTACTTATTACAGCAAAATTCACGATTTATATACGATTAGTTACAGAATGCTTTTACTGTAACAAATCTTATCTTGCCCATTACAGTAAGTCGCAAGATCAGATCTAAATTTACTATCGCGCAATCTATTCATAAATCGCGCGTCTATTTAAAGCATTACAATACAATATTTACAGTACTAACATACTAAGCGCAAATCTATTTACTGTATATCTCAGATCTTTATAGAAACATCTTAATACTGTAGATTCGCTACAATACGTACTGTAAACATCTTCTACAAATAGACTCTTACAAAATCTTACACTCTAGCTTACAAGTTAAGTTATTCTCGTACAGTCTTATAATAGTAATCTAAGCTATATTTGGGGCTGCACTACAATTCGTATAATCTTTATAGATATTTATATTGGCATCACCTTAGCACCCACTGTGAAGTGCGAGCGACGTGCGAGTAGCGTACTGAGCCTCCTTTGTTTAATTGGCTATTTATTAGTTATTGCCAACTAAAGTTGTCTACTAGTTGTATCTATAGTAAACTATATAGTTTATTGAGGGTTATTTTCCCATACGAACCATGTAAATGTTATGTTGCTAAATTACTAGGGGTGCACTACAAGTTTAGTGGTAGGATGTAAAAGGTGGAGTGAATGCTCAGCTCGTCAGCCCTTGATTAGATAATGTTTTACCTACTCTATTAATAAAACTATACGAAACTCTTAGCAACAGTCTTATCCTTGTGTGACCGTAAGTAGTATCGGAATACCAAACAGTAGACCTCCAGGTGTAGTGGAGGTAGGAATAAGTAATCTATTAGTTTACGGTAGTAGTTCGCAAGTCAAGTTTGTGACACTATGATACAATGAACTAATTATTCAAAATATGAAATATAAATAGTTTGGACAATATTACTTTAAACTACACCATGTATCGATGTGACTACTTGTAATGTTATCACACCTGGCTTATACATAGTATTTCTAAATCTTCTTCCATTACATTCTTCATACAACGCTGCTGTTCGTTTTTAAATAAACGTAATTTCAAGACTTTTCGGGACCTACATATCGAGTATGCTATCCTTGAATACTTTAACGTCTTAATTTATCGGTTAAATACAGCTTAACATTGCAGGTAACCCGTAGTTAATATTTACTGTTAACTATGTAAATTTTTATGCTATATCTAACATGTAATCAATATCCTTATCTGTATCATATTTCGATATGCTAATTACAAGGCAGAGCCCTCGGCCGATTGAGTTGATCAGCTTACCATCAACTAAAACAGAATTTAGTTAATGCACTATGAATTATAAAAATATAATAAAATAGGCGTACTATATATCTATTAAAAACATGTAAAACGTCGTAGATTAAAAATATTAATAAATTCCTAGATAAGTGTGATATATACCGATCACGAAATTCCAAATTTTAGAAAAATAAGCGCTATATTAAATCTTTTACAAAGATTAACTACACACAGCTCTACTCAAGCCGAATACTAATACTAAAAACTTCTAGAACGAACAGAATAATCTAAAGTTGCATGCTTTTATACTTTTCGTAGCATTCGCAGCTACAATCCGCACGGCAACCTTTTACCTTATTTTATACATAGTTAAATTATTCTTAGTAATACTATTCTACTGCGGACCATCATTAATCCGATATGGATACGACTACAGTATTTACGTAGACATTATTCACACCGGCCAAAGTACAATGAATTAACCATATCTTAATATATGATTTACAGTACTGTTTTTACCTATAACCCTATTGGTAACTCAATACCTTACTGTACATATTCATCTGTACTCTAGCATAGAGTCTATACCACTACAGTCTATAGCTATGGCTACCAAATATCTCTTCGGATAAATATAGAAGTTACGCTACCGTAAATTATACTAAACATGGCTAACAGTCTACAATCACAATACTAAGCTACATTACAATAAGTTATCTTAAGGAAAGTATATTGCGACAGATATACAAAAATTACTTCGTAACTGACAAGTACAGTAGTAAGTAATCTCCTTTCTTGACTTCAAAACTTACCTGTAATATTGGCACATTTGACACGCTGAATTAATACTCTCATGCTTTTGTACTCCTTATGTGTAACTCGAAAATTTTTCAATGTGTTTTATAAGTTATGTGCAGACGCTTATGCTATGAAATCTTCTTGAAAGTTGGTACCACACCACAGTGGGCAAATTAGTTACTTCAATGATGTTCGTGAGTATGTAAGAAATGAAATGATTTCTAATTTCAGTCCTTAGTAATATAAATATGGACTTTGACTTTGAATACTAAACCTGATTTGGTCCATTAGTAATTAATTACTGTAAATATGCCGAAATGCATATGTTTAAGTAGTACGGTACAGATTTCATGACATCCATGATTGACGCGTTACTGTTTGAATAAAAGCAGGATCTTATTAGGCTTTGTTAATGATAAATTAAATTAAAATTATTCGACCGAAATTTAATTCAATTTAATTTAATTTAATTTATTTAATTTAATTTATTTAATTAAACCTAGGCTAACTCAACGTTAAACATAAGTTCTATAAACTTATTTAACTACGACGAAATATTTATTATGACATGCGATACGATGGTATCTCTTGCAGGCGTATTTTACCTGTACTATGATATTTTTATACAACAATGGAATGACATTGCGATTGGTGTTTTTCCTTTAATGCTCGAAATATTATACCATTTTACAGGCACTCAGCTAATTGATAATACTTATGGTATGCGCTTAGCCGATTTTAAATTAGCTTTTTCGGAGTTCTTTTGATATCAGCTAATTTAAAGTATCAATTTACGGTCAAAACTTGAAATTACACGTATAATTCATACGTAATGTAGTACCAATGCTTTACTGAGGTGAAAGGTAGCATGCTTGTGGGAGGATTTAAAAATCTGTCTAGATAGCTACGATGTCGGTAGAATACTTTACTGTTAATATTGGGCGTTATTACAGTATTATACTGCCTTACCTGGATCAAATATCGCTGATAGAGATAAAATATTAACAGTAATGTATAGAAATAGTGATGATTCAGCTCCAGCCATATTGCTCTTTGGCTTATTTCTTGGAATACTTAGAAGCCTGTGTCACAAAACAGCTTTGTAACAAGATAACGTAATATACGGTTAATAAGTCAATTCCTTGAACCACGTATCAAGGAACGATATCTGCACTATCACAAACATTTTTGCTCTACTAGCAGACTACGCAAACACTTAAACGCCTCGTATTTTACGTTAAATACTAAGTTTGAGAATTCTGTTTATTACACGATATACTGCATTTATATACTGTTCCTCAATAGTTCATGAGTCATAGTTAATACAGTTAGCATTGGAATCATTTACAGAATTAGATATTAATTTTAGCTACTGCTCCCTTAATGCAGACAACAGTATTTACAAACATAGACATGTAATGACTAATACAGAATAGTCAGATTACGATCGGTCCTATCACGGAACATTTCCATGATAATTTACGATCTACCATAAGTAAATTACAATCAAAATGATTGGAACTGTAAGTAGATGATTTGCATTCCCTATTATAACTATTAATTTCAGTATGTGTATAAGTGTCACTGTGTTTCAGTACTGCTGGCCTTATTCCTTATGAAATATTCCTTATAGTAACTTACATTATCCATTCTCACATATAGGAATATTTCATTTAAACGAGTATGTTACAGTGTTATATACTGTATTACAGTAGAAATATCAATGTTAGGATAATTCTATTAGACTATCCTTATTTAGTTAACTTCTAATTTGGATATACTGTATTTTAATATAGCACTGACTTTTTATGACAGTGATACTTATACACATACTGAAATTAATAGTTATAATAGGGAATGCAAATCATCTGCTTACAGTTCGAATCATTGTGATTGTAATTTACTTATGATAGACTGTAAATTATCATGGAAATGTTCCGTGATAGGACATATCGTAATCTGACTATTCTGTATTAGTCATTATATGTCTATGTTCGTAAATACTGTTGTCTGCATTAAGGGAGCAGTAGCTAAAATTAATATCTAATTCAGTAAATGATTCTAATGTTAATTGTATTAACTATGACTCATGAACTATTGAGGAATAGTATATAAATGCAGTATATCGTGAAATAAAGAAGAATTGTCCAACTTAGTGTTTAACGTAAAATACGAGGCGTTTAAGTCTTTGTGTAGTCTGCTAGTAGAGCAAAAGTGTTTGTGATAGTGCAGATATCGTTCCTTGATACGTGGTTCAAGGAATTGACTTATTGATCGTATATTGCGTTATCTTGTTGCAAAGCTGTTTTGTGACAGAGTATAAGTATGATTTCGTGATAAAATGCGGAATTACATCTGCTAAAATGGTCATTTGTGCATAACTTTAAAGGATGATTTAATATTGCAAGAAAATGTAAAAACAGGCTTAAACTTATTAATCCGTTATAATATATCGCATTCCCATACATAGAATTTTTCTATAAAATTATTATAATCTCCGTATGTTATGGTGTCACGATACGAATTACTGTGAAGAATTAAATGACAAAATTTAACGAATTAGCATTTATATATGGTGATTACAATTAGTTGCTTACAGTATGAATCACCGAAGTGTCCCACCCACCTTCCCGAGCAGCGCGGGGGTATTTATACTACTGTTAGATGACTCTGATTATAGGTTCATTTTAATAGGTCAGTATAAGATTCTTACAGTATTTTTTACCTCAAGATTTCTTCATGTAAAACGAATAGCTCTAAGGTAGTAAATTCTACAGAGTACTGATTTTTGAAATAGTATTCGTTATATTACTAAGGGTGGCCAGTAGGCCTTTAAACTTTGATTTGATGTAATGCTCAGATGAAAATTGAATAAACATAGAATCTTTATAGTGTTTTCTACACAGCCATTTTGATTGTTACATTTTCTTATAATGGTTGCTATCGATAAAGCAAGCTTTGCTTGCATACGCAAGCGACCCTTAGACACGTTATAATGATTGGTATAAAATTGACCACAGTACCAAGGATATTATACCACACTGTAGATATCTTACAGTACCTTCTAATCTTAACTTGGTATGTCCATCACCGTAAATTAGTTATCATAATGCGCTTTGGATTATTAACTAATCTTAATATAGCATAGTACATTACTATTACCGGGATATATATAATATCGAATGATAATACTATCTGTTAATTCTATTAATAAATCGAGCATAAACGTATATTTGACAGTTTCGCTTACCAACCTTAAAATAGCATTAATACTGTATATAGTAACAATCCTTATTCGGTAAACATACTAATACGAAAGTTACTTAAGGAAATTTGAATTGGTATAGAAATGAATGATCTCTAGGGTTTATGTAAATATTATTGAGAAGATATAAGTGATTGATACACATCAGTAGGTACTATTAGTTCTATTGCTCTCATGCATTTCGTGGTGTTACCCTACTGTAGTTCCCCTGTCCCGGTTATTTTTGATTGCTATGTATCATATAACAAAAAGTGTTTCTAAGAGGATAATGTCAGTTAGTCAGCGATCTAATAGGCGAAAGCGAAGTGAACAACGTGGAAATGCACGATCAGTACGTACATTAAATCAATCTGTTTTAAATATAGTAGTACCCGGCTATTACCGGGATATATATAATGTCGAATGGTAATACTATCTGTTAATTATTAATAAATGGGTACATTATCGTAAACCGTCAGCAAAGCGACGGGAGTTTGGACTAGTGTTAGTAAATTATATGTTGTATTTTAATACAATTCTTATATAATACTTAAATACAGTACAAGCTCTTGTAAATTTAATTGAGATTAATGCTAGAATGTAGGTGTATTGACATGACTCTGCGAATACATATTGTAGTCCGATTAGGCAAAATCAGTCAGTAAATATCCATATCGATAAATATTATTGTAGAATGATTTATCAATGTTGGCCACTGCCGATAGGTATTTAAGCTAGGTAGACCATTGAATAAAAATCAATTCTATAGTTTTGCAACCTAGAAACAAAGGCGTCTAAGTTCTTGTGAGTAGTTAAGAGACAATAAATCCCACCAACTTTAGAAATTTGGAGATTTTTTTACGTAAACTTTGTCGTAAAACTGTTTTGTGACATGTGGATCTTATTACAGATTCGGATGAAACTAGTATGGTTATCATAGAGTCAATTATTATAATTATTGAAAGCTACGCATTTCAACTCATTAATTTATGAAAATAGATAATTCTAATACAGCATTATTTTTCTTAAATCTTTAAAAATTTCTGTTATAGAATAAATATTACTGTATGACTAAATTAGTCACTGGTATTAACGCAATGAAAGGTGCAGAGCCTGAGAATTAAGGAACGCTCTTCAACTTATTCATCTATTAAATCTATAGCCTTAAGTTTTATACTTATGTAATTTCTTTACGGCATGTACTGTAGTACTATGTATAACGAATAAATGTTGTTACGTATATACCATAATCCGTGTTGGAAACGATGATAGCGGCATAAGACCAATGAAATCGTTGAAATATATCTGCTAATACTCGACTTTGCCACTTATCGCTAGGTGACATGCGAACTAAATAGCCCATGCTTGGTCGGTCATCAAAACCTGGATAAGTTGCAATCGGTGCTACTTGTGGTACCCTTAGCGATGTTGCCATGTACTGAACAGCTTCGACATCACTCGATGTTGAAGGCCCAATAATTGCCCAAACTTTGTCATCGACAGCACGACAACCTTAAAAATATTTCGGATAAATCTGTTCATTTACATATACAGTTATATGAATGTCACGTATTACATAAGTATAATAAACACGATAACGGAAATACATTGCATTCATCTAGGATAGACGAAAATTTATTTTTATTACGGGTGTCGCTTTATTATATAAATATCCATATATTCTATACTTGCAGTTTACTATCGTGCTGGAGATTAAAACAAGAGTATAATTTACATCTTAAATCTGGTACACATAATTGAATGTCATCATGAAAGCCATTCAAAAATTGAACTTTTGTCTGATATGGTCGTACAACATCAGTTTTGCTCATTTTTTAATTTATCCAAAATTCAAGTCGGATTTGTACTCAATGCTGCGATCTAAGTATTATTACTGTATACGACTGTGATGCTAAGTATAGATAGCGCTTTTAACCTAAATTGCTTTAAAAAGAGTAGAAACATTTACTGTGTAACTGAGTTAGCAATATTATAGTAGCATAAATTATATTACCTTCTTGTTGACACAGGAAAGGTTGATAATTTGTCTTATTATAGATTTTCAACTTTATTATTATATTAAATGCAAATGTTGGATCTCCATTAATGTGATCCGTAGCTAGTTGGATGATATCGTAAAATTTCTGTTCTCGTCCATCTGCTAGGACAGCTATGATAAAGAAATTATATTAAAATAATTGTTAAGGTCAATTCTTCTTATGTTTTCCAATACATAATGTTGCTAAATAGACGTGATTGTATTACAAGTGCAATCTGATGTATGATACTATGACAACTATTAAATATCAATAGAAGTAACGGCGGAATAATTTCAAATATTTGCTCTACTAATCTAAAATAGGCGTTGACATTTTCGAAATCAGACAGTATAATTAAAACTAAGATTGAGCTATTTTTAATGCTCTTATATGAACAGAAATAAGTAATTATGCAAATCCTATAAAACATATTAATTACAAAAAAGAACAAATTCTGGAATCTCCATGCTTCATTTCGGGGCATTCCTGTTAACTACATTACATTTTAATTAGCAACTACAGTAAAATTGTTATTTGATTTAACCATTCTAAAATGATTGCTACAGCTCGTAAAAATGAAACTATAGGGTCTATTGGATGGGTAGATCAATTGTCTAATGACATAAGGCTAGCCTAGTAATCGTATTAGAATTAATATCATGGATCATCTTTTAATATTAGATGATTCTTGCAGATCGAAATAAACATAAGAAAAACAGCACTGTGGCTGTTTCACTGTCGGTAATTGTTATTGATTTACTTAAAATTTCGCATTTTCATTGTTGGATCGATCATTTTAAATACTATAATAAATTGGCCTAATCGCTGTGGTAGAAGTAATGGTTTGAACTTATTTATTACATTAACTTGACTTTAATGCCTTGATACACTCTGCTGCCAAACAACTGTTTCCCTATTTGATCGATAATTTAAATAATCTAGCATGGTAACCGCTTGGTTTAATAAATTTGATCCTATTTGTATATTTTAAACGATTCCCAAGGTTTTAATCTCACAAAAATGCAGTACATTTACTAGCTATAAACTAATTTAAATAATTTAATATTAATGTATGTCGTAGTTGCATCAAGATTAACCATTTTTATCCTCTTGATAGATATTAATGGATCCTCATAATTAAAAACTCTAAAGAAAAAATTTAACTCTTGTTTCGTTACCACAGAGGTACTGTATATCTTTAATAATATCAAATAATAGTTTCAGTTCCTTATGCTTAAAATAAAATTTGCGTTGGAACTGTAACTTGAACATCTTATTTCTGCCAGTGGTTATGGAACTAAGCATAGTAAAGCCATAGATTATCAAGACTAAACTAAAGAATGGGTTAGTTCTTTAAGTAGCGTAAAAGAAATTCAATTTATGATGAGCAAATATTAAAGCATCTGCATTAGACTCTTAGTATTTGCGTGCTAACTTTACAATAGAAGTGCTAATTTGGATAGCCACCTATGCCGGCCGTTAATAGCTGTCGATTGGATGGCAATAAACAAAAATGTAAGGTAAATTGTTTAGCAGTGAAATTAATAATTTAAGATAATTTCTGGCCCGAAAACTCTTTGCTCTCATTTACATCAAATATTTTTTACTTTATATATAATATCATAACAAAAAAGCAAAGATAAAATCTACTGCATTCTCTTCCATAAATATTGGCTATTATAATATTTTTCTAAAAGAATAAAACAAATAAAAGATGATATGAACTACATTGAATCACAATACGGGAGATATTGTAAACACGACATTTTAGCTTATTTGCGTCATGATACTTTCAAACATGATATAATATATAAAAAAATTCATCAAATATTCAACCTTTACAATAATGTAAGTATTTTCAGTATAAAGTGCCGTATCTTTGTGATACTTTAGCATGTTCTACACGGTACTAACTCAATATGCTCTTTTATACCCTGAATATTAATTGTGTACACATTTTTATGTGTTTTTAATATCCGTGTTATAATCAGCTTGCAACAATTTTTAAAATCTAAATACTTGCAATCAACGTATCTTAAGCGGCTCTAAAGTACGGTACTTTTGAGAGTAAACAGATTGTTCACAGCGGTTTATGGACAGACTCTAGTAGGCTCAGAAAAAAATGCTGCTTGATTATTCAAATTTAGTTACATTCTTAATAAACAGAATGTATATAAAACTACGCTCATTGGGTAACTAAACGCACAGAATTAAACGTATAGCAAGAATAATAATAACTACAGGGACGAGATGAATACAGGTTATCATGCTCCTTCGTAGAAAATAAAGTTAAGTGCGCGTAAAGTAATATACTTTTGCAGCCTATCTGTAAATTTTTATTATGAAATGTAGCGTAAATAGCACCAGTTGCCAATAAACTAATTAGTAACTAATTTGAGCTCTGAGTCTTGGCACGATATAAAAGATTACACTATAAAAATGGTTATCTCATTCTCTATACTTCTTGTAACCACAAATGTAAATAAACTAGATAGCACTTAGTAATTTAGAATTGTTATCTAATTGATACGGCAAGCCATAGCCATAGTATGACATAATTATTAACTGCAGCATTATGAAACCTTAGCGCCATAACAATCCGATTCTTGCCCGATGTACGAGCGTACATATTACTCGTATATGCATTTATTTATGGGTGCCCTAGTGGTACTGCTCAAAGACAAAA